GGCTCGTCCCTATGGAATGAGTTTCTCTTCTTTTTTTTTTCAATGATCTGACAGCCTACAAATCAAATAGGTGTGGCACCACAGACCCTGTTCACCTCTCCTGTAGGGCTTACACAATATCCAGGGTCAAAGGTACACCCCTGCCCAGCCCCCTGTGTGTTCTAAACATCTCTTTCAACCCTGCTGAACCCTCAGGCTGGCAGGGACCTTCTCCAGCATGAAAGTTAAATTGATTTCCTACAGGGAAAATTCCAGGAGCTGCCAGAATGGAGTATAGGAGAGTTGCAGATGACACGCAAGCCAAAGGTTCTTAACAAAGGAACAAAAGTCCATGCAGATGTCAGGCAATGCTTATTTTATTTGTCGATTCTTAATTTCTTGAATACAACAATTCAATTTCTGAACTGGAAGATCACTATGGAAGCAGAGCCCGAAGAGAAAGCCTGTACCTTGATTCAGCAATTTACCAAGAAATAAATGTAGAAAAATTCAGATGTGCCAGCATATTACACAAGTGAATTATTACAGTGTAAAAGTTTATGTTTCCTGAAATTGGGAAATCACTTATTTTCTGGCCATAAAATTCCATAATTGCCAGTCTGAATTAAAAAGACATAAAACAGTCAGATGTGTCCCAACTGACTTGTTATATGGTTCTGACGAAGACATTTGTAAAGCAATGTACCATTTGGGAGTGTGTACATGTTTTCATTCACAGCCCTCTTTTCTGTTGTTTTCTTACCCCCAGAGCTTGAGCATGTCACAAGTATGGCCAGGCTAAGGTTATGTTTTTCTAGCCTAAATGGCAGAGGTTCCAGTGTCTTGACTATAACATCTCAATTTTGCGGTAATGTTTCCCCCTCCCCTGAGCGCTAACATTTACTAATCCCAGAGGTCTCCCAGGTTGTGTATGTTACTAATGAAGCGAGAACATCATTTAGGGTAACTGCTGGTGCAACCATCCACACACCTACTGGGGGTCATACCAAGTCATCTGAACACCTGGGTGTTATACTGCACTAGTATTACAAGTCTGGGGGTTATATTAATGCATAGATATAAAAAGGATATAGAATAATTAGAAGATTATGGGGGGGGGCAGTTTTCTAATAGTGCACTACATATAATACTCGTAAGAAAATTCAAACTCTACTACTGGATCAGTTACGGATTTTTTTTTTTTTTTTACATATAATAGTTTGGAGGAGGGGACATGTATGTTTGTATATGTAGGATGCAGGAAAAGAGAACGAAAGAGCATTAATCTTGCATGTAAATCAGGGAAGGGGCAATGTATAAATTAAAGCTTAAACAAATGAAACTGTATCAAAAGTTACTTGATCACAATCATGTATCTATGTATGTAGCTTTCATCTGCCTTATGACAGCTGGAACCAGTTTCACCACAATCGCTGGTAAAAGATTAATCAAATTCTTTTCTTTCTTTTTTAAACAACAGAGGCTGAAATGTCTCACTTGACCACTCAAGTCCATGAAATATGGCAGTGCAAGAAAAACTCCCGGCATGCAAATACGCCGAGGTGTTTGTACTTTGGTTCTGGAGCTTGTTAAAAGGGTTGCTACCTAACAGGAGGGAAAACAAAAACAGCGGAGTGTGTGCGGATGTTTTGCCTGTGAATACCTGCTGGTGGCTGGGATGCCGGGAGAGCCAGGCACAGACGCCCAGGCGAGGAAATAGATTACTGAGCAGAAGTCCTTCCCCACAGACAGACAAATGCCACTTACTCAAATACTGGCATTCCACCCTGGCACCAACGTTTCCTTCATAATCCTTCTAGTTAACTCTTGGCTTCGTCTTTACTACAGGATCTTCATCTCCACGTGGAAGTGACAACATGAGGCTAAAAAGTTAAGTTGGAGCAATAAAATCCTAATTTGTGCAGATAGAGAAGCTGTAAAACTTACTAAAACGTTTAGTAAAAGGAAAATTGTGTCTCGACGAATCGTCTGACATCCTAAACTTGCTAAGAGCACACGCATTATCGAGAACCTAAGGCCTGAAATCATTATCCATTCATAGGCAGGGCCCAGTGAGCCGGTGGGTATCAACTGTTACCTGTCCTGTTTACCTTCCACCCATCTGTGGAAAAAGACAATGGGCTTTCCCGCGTTCCAACACACCGACCTCTCCCCCCATTCAAACTGATTTACCTGCTCCGCTGCTTGATTCTCCCCTTGTTTTGACAGGTAAACAGCATTACCAACCCAGCAGAAAGATTACAAAGCACCACGAGTCAGTTCTGACACATCAGCCTGAATTTCACTCGCAGATTCCCGCCGAGTTAGCGCTGGGATTGTTTGAGCTGATATGAGAGATGCCAATACCAACCAAAACAATCACGTCTCAGTTACTGGTGAAGAAATGGGTGGTCTGTATGGAGATTTCATGTCCTGCTTTGAATATATTGCAATCTAAACACTTCATTCTCATTTCATACCACATAGTACATAATCATCATTATTATATCATGTAAGATTCTATTCATTATCGATCTGCTACTAGTATTATGTCCATTTCCCATTGCGGTATTGGCACTAGATTTTAGATATCAATTCGTCACAGATAAAACTGTCATCTATATCAGTTGTTGCATTGACAACCAACGTCTTTCAATAAAATGGCAACACAACACCTCCCCTGGAAAATTACATGGTCTTCCCTCCCCCAAGAAAACTGCCATGAATCATACAAATGTTCACTATTCAAACATGTTTCGAATTATATTGCAAAGAGCCCTAGCAACAGCGAATGTTCAACGCCCACATTCGAGGACCAAATATGCAGGTAATAGGTGAGGGAGCCTAGCCTGAAACGCACCAGACACATTTGCACATTCCACTGTTTGCCCAGGACCAACAGTAACGGTTTACACGGGAAGCTTTTCCCACACGGCCTGGCATGTTCTCGCCTGGATGTCAGAACTTCCACATCAACATCACCGCCGAGGTCAGGGATTCCAACACTGTTTTTTCCGGCAGGGAAACATTCTACGAAAATCGTCCTTGGATTGGGGACAGATCCGTGTCTGGTTTGGCAGTGGATAAAAGATATTCTAGCAATCTGGCAATCCTCTACCACACGTAATCAATGCTGCCTGGAAAAATCCCTGTCTAGAAATAACCCTTCTCCAATATTCCTTGCAATGCAAGACTTTAGTATATCATAATACGAAGTAACTCTTGCACGTGTAAGTTCAGGACAAAATGACTGCAATGTAAGTTTGCAATACTATATCATCTTACCAAATTTCAACTTGTAATGTTCACTGACAAAATTCAATCAAAACATAGTATCATTACAAAAATTGTTCTTCCTAACCGAAAGTTTCTCTCATTTCTTTGAAATCTGTCATACTCCTTCCCCCCAACAGTCTGATCCATTGTGCATCTCTGATTGACTGTTAATCACTCTATTCTCCTGATCCCCCTCGTCCTTTGCAAAACACTGAAGTTCGTCTATTGTAATTAAGGCTTGAAAAGGGAGGTGCTGAATGGTACATAATGGATTTGCGATGTGTAATCAGCGAGCGAGTGATGACAGGGGTGAGGACCTAACCAGGCCCAGCTGACTTTCCCTTCACAGACAGGATGACAGCGCTAACAAGAACCACCCCACACTGCTGCTGATACTGCCTGAATGATGGACTCCCTAACTGCCCCCATTTCCTTTGTAGCAGTTTTCTTGTGCAGCTGACCAGAGCCAAAGTAACCATAGGCAAGTGACACAGACGGGTTGCTGCCAGCGAGAATTCCTTAGACTACGGTTAGTCCACCATGCACCACAGACTGGCTAGGTAAACATGGGAACAAACAGAACGTGTTCAGACCACTCCAGACCTTCGCACATCAAGGACACAGACACGCAATCACCCAGACTCCACCTCACTCCTTCAGGAGCCAAATAAATAGGAAAAACTGTACAAAATAAAGTGAATTTTGCTGACTTGAATGTCTTTTAGCAAGCTAACATCTTTGATAATTTGTTCGCATTATTTTGGCCAATTCCTATTATTAAAGTTGAGTACTGTAGAGTAGAGTTATTTATCAACTCTGAATTATTTTTTGTTGAGAGTTTAGCTTCAGCATCAAGCAAAGCATGTCTATTGCACCTTTTTACTCAGTCTTTCTCTATCTATGCATAAAATATGACTGCAAGAATATCAAAGATTTTTCTTGGCATGTTGACATACACTGGTGTGTGACTGCAGAATTGTTTACCAAGGCAAAACCTATCATGAATATTCTAATGAAATCAAAGCAAATTGCAAACAACAACAAAATGGCTCGGAGAACAAAACAGTGAAGCCAAAGAACAACTTCATGAATAAAATCCCCTGTTCTAGTCTAAAATACGACGTGAAATAAACAAGACGACTCGATGTCTGCGGATCTAGGTGAGAGCGGCTCAGGTGATGTAACTAGTGTTTGTTGTGGGGTGGTAGATTTCGTCTCAGCTGATCCGTAGGTTTCAACAACAGTTCCTGGTCGGACAAGCTGAGGGATTTTTTTACACAGTATTGCAAGGAATGCAAATCGCTGTCCCATTGTAACGATAGCGGGTCGGGATTTTGTTGGAAGGATATTTGCCGTAATTGTTTGGTATGCAGTTCTGCCTTAGGCGCGCCGGCTCGAACAATGGAACACTTTTCCCCATCCATACTTTTGTTTACGTCTGGCCCGTCCGTTCAAAGGGACTTGCCTATAACAAGTCATTTATTTTACAATAATCAGCCCGCCATGGCCTTGTCAAAAAGGAGCAGGGCAAGAATACCTGTGTACACACACTCACACATGACCGGGAAACAGGAAACCGGCTGTACGGCCGCAAACAATTTTATATCGATTCATCGCTGACAAGTGGAACATGACCCCCCTCCCCACCTTTCATCATCCAGGTGTGATAAAACGGACGGCCTGTTCCCAACATTCAAGGCCCTCGCCACCGCAAGTAAAACACGGAAAGGGAAAGCCAAACCCACCTTGTTGATGGTGAGAGGTTCGCCATACTCTGCTCCACCTGTTAGAGAAAATCCCCACGGAAATCCGCCCAGGATCGAGACTTCGAGTTCGGTCTCCATCCTTTTTGATCAAGAGTGGCTGATTCCGACTGTAGTATATGTTGTAGGTGTGCGGAAGTAGCTCCGCCGTACGTGGGTCCGTTCCTCAGCTCGCCAGCGGGCTGTCCGCGGGAATTCGGGCCCGAGCCCGCGGTCTCATGGTGCAGGGGTCCCGTACACGCGTTCAAAATCCGGCGGGCGGACGAGGGGTCACTCGGGGCGGGCGGAGAGCGCCGAAAATTTGGCAGCGGCTCGCAGGAAAGCCGACCCGACACAGATGTGGGACAAGGAATGGAGCAGACGCGTCCCGGCATGCACTGCGACCAGCCGGACTATTAGTACACGAACGACACACCTCACATTGATGTGATTTGCACATTTTTTGCCAATTACACATAGTTGGGTTCGTTATAAAAGAACTTGAGCGACGGGAAACTGCAATTAAATATAAAACAGAAATTCTGAACATTTTCTCGTTGTCTAGCGCACCTGTTGGGACAAAAAAGGCATTCAAAAGCCGACTGAAAGAGCGGCTCCAAGCAAGGTCATTTGCGATATTGAGTATCAAAAGGCTGTTTGTGGTTTCAACGACAAACGAGAGGTGGTGAAATGAGATGTTTTTGATTTACAAAAGGAGATGCATGACTTTTGAATAAGTCATCTTGTCTGCTTTTCTGGCCCTTTTTATTACACATGAGCTGACCGAGATAGCCTGAGCAGAAAATTTAACATATTTCAGACCATCTCTTTCTCTCAATATTGTAACCTTAATGCAAACGTTACCTAGACACAACACATCGCGTTTGTGTTAAAGGCAAACATCCTTCTTGTCACCACAAATCCCTAACATAAACTGAATAGTCCTAATGTCCCAAAGAAATTCCTAATTATACCCCAAATTCTGTCCCCTGTATTTAGCTCTGACCCCAAGGATAACCCTCCTTTGTTCCATCCAGTTGTTCCATCTATCTACAGAAAGTAGGCTGACACATTTTTAACCCTTATGTACTAAAGCAGCAGTCGGTAAACATGCTATCTTTACTGTGTGCCAATTATCACATACTTCTGCAGTCCATCAGATTCTGGTTTCTCCACCTGTTTGCATTGTGCATAACTGAACTGGGGTGTTATAATATCATGAGAATGGATAAAGCTTCTTTAACCAAACTGACATGTTTTGTACAACTTTGCTTGTATTGGAACAGCAACAGGGTCTCCTTATAACATGCACGTATCAGGTAGATATAGATAGTTGAAACGAGAAGTTGACCAAGAATGTTTTGTTTAATCCACACAAAAGTGCCACCTTGTGAGTGATAGAAAAACTGCACCCACTGTGAGTGCATGGATGCCAACGTTTTCTTGTGAGATTTCAACCCCATTATTCCACAGAAGTCTTTACTTCTTTACTCATCTTGACTGGAGATGTAGAAATGAGTTTTAACTTGAGTGCAGGAATACTTTATTCTTGTCTTCGCTTCATTTAATAAAAGAAAATACATGTACATGGGTAATCTAATAAAACAAAACGGTACAAAACAAAATATTGGTATCAAAAACCTTACAAAAGAAATAAAACAGCAGCATTTAAATGTTCATTGAAAATATACGTACATAACACACTCAGTTAAGGCCACACCAAGTAAATTTTATGGATGACGTCCGCGCGCGCATTGATTTTGGCCTGTTCCTAGAAAAAAAAAACAAGAAATTCCGCTTCCTGTAAATATGACCAAAGAGTCACGACAGTGCCGCAAATCGTCAGATTGATGTGAAACCCGTAACGCCAAAAGCCTGGGCCTGGTTAAAAAATGGAAACAAAAATGAAAAAAACAAAAAAAATGGCACTGAAAAAAATCCTGTAAATAGCTCCAAAACAGTGCCGTTTTTGGAACTATTAACAGACAGGACGGTCCTGTCAGCAGTGCAATATTTCTTATCTTGGCATCTTGTTTTTTAGGGCCCTTCTTGTTTTTTTTTTGCCCTCTCGCATTAGATTTAGGGTCTCCAAAGGACGTCATCCATAAAATTTACTTGGTGTGGCCTAATCATGTATCTTTGGACTGCAGGTTAACTATGTACAAATATGAACTGCTGACTGATGGAACTACTGTAACATCAGTACAAACATGGAAAACTTACATGGACCAACTGCAAATAAAAAATGCATGTACTGCTTATAGCTGCATAAGCAAGTAAACTGATCGGTGAAAAATCTCTTATAATTGGAATTCATATTTCCATTCTTGTGGACAACTTTATTCATAGAGACTCTAGTGAACATTTTTCCGATAAATCTTATTTTCAACAGCAAATGTATTGGATACAAAAGGCACCACTCATAACTTTACCTCCCTAAATAACTTACTACACATGGAACAGTATCACACTAAAATACAAAAGTTTTGGTCACTGTTTTCTGCATACTTAAGTACATACAGTCATAAGAGTTCTACAGTCCAACATCATCTGTGAGAAACATTGAGAAATAATATCTACGTTGGAGTATATATTTGGGACTTTTTACAGAAATCAGAACATAGCTGCCCGTGAGTTATATGTAGAATGCTCTGTTTGTATCTATATAATCATATTTCTTTTTAAACACAGTAAAGAATATGTACAACTTGACAACTCTGCGTTTGAAAAAGTCCACCCTGTCCATCTAGTGGTCTTGTACACATATTGCAGTTTTAAACATACTGTGCAGTTTTGGTAGTTGTGTGATGAAAAACAGCACTGGTCTCTTACGGGACACCCACATTAAAAACTCTTCATAAATTATTCTGTCTTGCAAACAGGCTGCTGGTTCGTCATTTCCAGGCCTTTTGCACTGTTTTCTCAGTTTGGCGCACACGCTTGAGTTGGCGGTCGTGACTCTTGATCAAAGCTGCCATTTCTGAGGAGACAAAAACAAATCAGATGCAGTGCAATCCCTCCATCATTCCTGTGTATCACACTACAATGTATTAGAAGCAAATTCATGTGAGAAAATTAACAATATTAGACATAAAAAACAATGATGATTTAAAATACTGAATATTGCTTGTGAGTGGGGTAGGGGAGTACTGAAGCAGACTTAAATTTTAATTCCATCTCTCTTAGTCGTATTAAGTCAGTTGTTGGTGAGCGAGCTTGATGTTTCTGACTTGTGGAGAAGAGATGCTGTGAGTAAAATAGATGGGTTCAATTGACTTAATATTGTGATTAAAAGGGAAGATACAGAAATCGTCTCCTCTCCTGCATATCTTACCTTGATTCTCCATCTTCAGGTGATCTCCCACCTGCGACAGGTGCTGCAGCTTGTCTTCAAGTCGTCTGCACAGCTCCACTGTCTCCCGCGACAACTCTGTACCTGTTTTCCCAAGAATTCATGGACATAAAGAGAGTGGTATCTCAATGCAGTTATAATTTTACTGTAGGGCTAGTCTAGACTTCCACCTGACAAGACATTTAAAGGCAATGAGTTCAGTAAACAGGGAACCATAACTTAATGTTCTGTTGAAGACTAAAACCTTCATCTGAGGGTACAATACTTTCGTTGACACCAGCTGTGATCCAAACTCTACAACTAGCCCAAGAGTGACTCACTCAACTCAACCCCTTCAAGTTATCTTAAACTAGACATGATAAATTCATTATTGTTATCATTTACAAATACATGTAGAATCAATAATCTATAACAGAGAATAAACCATTACCTCTGCGAGAGGGTTTTTGAACAGTGCTTGGTACAGTTGAAAGGTCATCTGTGGTCAGCGTGATTGCACTCTGGTTGCCCCTGGTTATGGGATGAGATGACAGAAGAGACTCGATGGGGGAGGGGGAGCGGTCAAATGGCCTTTGGCCTCGATAAGATTTAGCCGTTCGCCCCTCTGATTTTGTGCTCTTCTTAGGGGAGGATGAGGACATGGGCTTGTCCAAACCTACAGGACATAAAAATGAATTATTTCCATTATGTTCAGCTTCCTATATAGTCAACACATGAAGGCCAGTCCAGTACAGTAAAAATACAGGTTCAATGTACTGGAGAAAATTCCACTCTTTTCAGCAGCATGCAAATCCTGAAAGTGACAGCAGCTGGGGTTCAAACTCTCAACCTTCTGGTAGGGTTACAAAAAACAGTGTGGCACACACATTACAATGCCATCTCAAAACCATGAAAAGCTAACCTGCATATCTGACAGTGTCCTCTGATGTGGTGGAGTTGAGAGCTCTGCTTTGTCTGTCTGTCTCAGTCTCCTCCGTGTCCGACACAGTTTCACTGCTAGGAGGGGACCTCCTGGGGACAAAATGACAACAGGCTTGTAGACCTACATGTAACAAGTCTTGCTTTATGCACTATGATACAGAGAGCCTTTCTTCATCATCACTGTGTTCTGCTGCTACAGTGGTCTGGACACTCTGAGGCTGCAATCAGTCTTTCGTTTTTGTTTTTTTGCAATAGGCTTCCATATTGTTCATGTCCTTGGTGCTAATATCTTTGCTGATGCTTGAAATGATGATTCTTGTTGTATGTCAAAATCATTCAGCTTCTTGTAACAAGGGACATCATGATTGCACTTACATCATTATATTTTGACCAAAAAACATATATTTCCTATCCTCGAGTGTGCTGTGAGTAGCATTTGTCATTTGTCGCAACATGAGTGACTAAGGACATGTAGTCAACTTGGAAGTAAGAGGACTGTGAGCTTTATTTGTGTGGGGAAAGAGGAATAAGTGGAAGATGTAGGAGTAAGATCACCCAAATTTGTCCCCAAAATTTAGAGAGCAGCCAAATGATTAAGCTAAAACTACGAAGGTTTACAGACACCAAACACTGACTTTTTCCCTGATGTGCGATGCTTGTGGTGTTTCTTGTCGCTGTTTCTGTGATGACCGTGCTTGTCCGCTGACCGGTTGTGTCTGTCTGATGACCGACTGTGTCTGTCTGAGGACCGGCTGTGCTTGTCAGACGGCCGACTGTCCACGATCAGCTGGCGCATGTCCGTCAGCAACCGGCGCAGTTCCTGTCCCGCATCAGCATTAGCAGCAAGGCTCTGGAGATAGCTCTGTTATCAGAGTGTTAGGGTTAGAGTAAGCAGATATGAGAAGGTCATTTAGTACATTGTACATTTTTTATTTTAATGCTAATCTACCTCAAAAAGTTTATCCATTATCTAATGTAGATTGAAATCTTGTGTGAGTATGTTTCTTCAGATCACTGGCACTAAACTTCAATTCAAGTCTTAATTCACAACTCTCATGCTAGGAGTTAGACAATGTTTTCCTACAAACTTGCAGACATACTTACATCTGAAGGCTTTTGGGAGACAGGGGGTGACCTTGGTGCAATGGTCTGGTGCAAAACTCCCTGAGTAGATACCCCTGCAGAACCGAGGCTTGCCACACCTGCCACAGCTGCATCAGGTGCTGCGTCAGCTGCTGCAGCACCTGTGACACCTGCAGCCCTGCGCTGCAGCTCCCTGAGCTCCAGGCTGTGTCGCAGCTTCATGCGGGCCAGCTCCTGTTCCTGCTGCTCAATCAGAGCCTGCTGGCTCGCATGTTTCACAGCAGCCTGTGGACAGGAAGAGGGGAATGAGTGTTTGGATGGACGGATGGATGGAAGGATGAATGAATGGGTGGATCAAGGAATAAATGGATGTATCAAGGAATGAATAGATAGATCAAGGAATGAATGAATTGATCAAGGAAGGAAGAAGTAAAATGAATGCATGGAACAAGGAATGAATGAATGAATGAATGAATGAATGGGTGGCTGGGACTGTGGGTGTGTGGATCAAGGAATGAATAGATGGATGGATGGATGGATGGATGGATGGATGGATGGGTAGACAAAGGACTCAATGAATGGATGGATGGATCAAGGAATGAATGAATGGGTAGGTCAAGGAAGGAAGGAGTAAATTAAATGGGTAGATAAAGGAACGAATGAATGGGTGGATCAAGGAATGAATGGATCAAGGAAGGAATGAGTGAATCAAGGAAGGAAGGAAGGAATTTATTACTCAGCCAGGTATCTTTCATTTGAGTGTTAACACACACTGAGAACACTTACCCGTCGACTCAACATCTCCACCTAAGTGCAGCCATGTAATACAAGAAGGCCAGGGACATTTTTTAGTTTCGTGTGACAGCATTCTTGAGCTTGGTGATCTCACCAAAAACACATTGCTCATTGGTTTGTATTTAAGAAAATTGACATTGACAGCATGATATTCAAATCCCCTGACCATTTTTCAGCTTGGTGTTAGATTAGGGATGAAAATACTGAACACTAGTTCAAACCCACAACCTTTTGTATTGTTCTAACACTGTGATGCACAGGTTACCTTCTCCAGAGCATTCTCCAGCTTGGTGACCCTGTGTCGTGCCTCCTGTTCCCTGTCCGACACCGTCAGGAGCTCCTCCTGCAGGCGGCTGATCTGTCCGTCACTCTTCTCCAGCTTCAGGTGCAGGCCATCGCTGGACGTCTGCAGGGTCGTCTTCTCCTGGAGATCACAGGAAGTTCACAATCATTGGATCATTGGGTAATTCAATGCTTGACATACTGGAAAATCATATACATGTATGTATGTGAGAAATGTTCTAAACAGTTGAAGTTAAGCATATGAATACTGTCTTTCTTATCATCATTTTTTGTGTGTTTCAAATGACTGTTCAGTTCCTACCTACCACACTTCAAAAGCAACCTTTGGAAATGTCAAATACCAGTAAAAACGTTCCTTTCCTTGGCATAGATTTGTGTCATGTCAAAGAGATGTTCAGGTAATGTCAAAGACAAAGACCTTAATGGTTATACATTGGTTATACATGTACGTTGGTTGTATATTACAAAATGGTTTCATGATTACAGCAAAATCTGAATGCATTGACGGAATGAGACTAGGAAGTAACTAAGAATGGTAGAAGATATGCTGAAGAGACAGACCTTATTGGCTGTGTCCAGGCACTCCTCCAGCCAGTGTAGTCGGCTCTTCAGGGAGTCAATTTCGCTCCTGCGGTCTGTCACCTCCTGCTGGATGGTCTCTGCTACATGGTAGGCTGAGAGGGAGGACATGTGTCTTAAGTTTAAGAAGGAACCAATAGAGCCTTGTCTTAGAAGACAGAAGATACAAATGTACATGCAGTACTTAGGGAAGAGCACACAAATGAAATTTGTTTCTCAGTTTGCAAAAAAAGAATGTTTAACTGAACACGAAATCTGAAAGTCTGATGGGAAAGTCTGTACCATGGTACACCCTGGGTCAGGGGGTAAATATAGTCAACTTCAAGTTTGGGGTAAATATAGTCAGATTCAAGTTTTTTCTTCCAGCCTCCTTTGTGTTTTCTTCTTGTCCTCTTGAACCATTTTTGTCTTAAAATGTCTTAGAATCAAGAAGAGGCATTCACTTGGCATGGCACTTGCCACGGTACAATTCTTTGAGGAGAAACATAAGAAATTGTAGTAGAATTAAATTAGTTACCTTTGTTGTCTACACTCTCCTTGGCCTGCAGAGCTTTCCTGGTCTGTTCCAGCTCCTGTAGGGAGGCCTTCAGCTTACTGGACAGGCGTCTGATCTGTCTCTCCGTCTCCCCCTCCCTCCCCTCCAACAGGGCCTTCAGACTGTCCCGCTCGTCTGTCAGGTACGCAACCTGGCACGCCAGAAGTTAGAACAGTTTAATGGCTTCTGTATATAGTACATGTATTAGTATTTAAGTGGATTCATCCCTAAGCTAACTGACATTGAGAACACCACAGTCGTCCCTCAGTAAGACATCTGGAGCCACATACATGTAGACAAGTGCTCTGTCGACCTGTTTTACTCCTGACCTCTACTCTCATGCATATTATGGCCAATTTGATGTGTTAATAATAGTTTGTTGCTAGTTCTCAGATCTAACTGCTTATCAAGAAAATGAGCATGAAAACAGTCTTATACTATAGAAGTCTGTAACTTGATTCACACAGTTTTAGGGAGGAATATAGGTTTCAGCCTATAATAATAGCTCTCTGTTTTATTCTTGGCCTCTTGCTTTATTTTTACATAAAAAGGTCTATGAAAAAACTTTAAGGGAATAGATTGTTCCAGCCTTAGATTCAAATGTGTGTCATATGCAGATATTACATGAAGAAACTGAAACCAGACTACACCAAAAGTGAACATGAAACCAGTTTTTCCCCTGACCTGAAACCTGCTGTCCTTGAGCTCCTGACTCGCCCTGTCCTTCTCCCTCATGACCTCGGTGACCTCCCTCACCCTGTCGCTGACCTGCTGACTCAGGTGTTTCTTCTCCTCCTCCACCTTCTGCAGGAACTTCTCACGCAGCTGCAGCCGCTGGCTCAGGGTCTCCTGCAGTCAGGGGCAGGAAGAGTGTTATTATTTACTGCACTGGTACATGCACACACTTTGTAAGGGAGGCTAGAAACCTTATGGTTGATTTTAAGAGTCTCGCCCTTATTTGGTTGTTTGCTTGAGCCTTTGTTTATTCATTAAATAATCAAATACGTAGTGACTATACCTTTATTCTTACCTCACCTGTTTTTCCTGAATTGGCCTTAAAACAATCTACTTCAAGAAACATGTAAAGATGGACTCAAAATGCACTTTTGGAAACCTGACAAACACAAAAAAAAAACACAGAAGACAGGTATTTTGGGGGGAAATGTATGAGAGCACAAGCAGGACTCTGGTGGGTACAACTGGTGTTGCTTTAAGAGCTGTAGGTTACAGAACTCACATAGCCCATCCTGAGCTCCTCCGTCTCCACCATCTTGTCGCTGAGTGCCTTGCTGACACGGTCCAGCTCCAGCCTCAGTGTGGCTGCCTCCTGTCCGCCCTGGTGCAGCATGTGGGACACGTTCTCACTCTGCTGCTGCAGGGTCAACAGGCTTTTCTCTCGCTCATCCAGCTGAACCTAAAGGAGAGGCAAATGTTGGTGACTTTCTAGTACATCTGTTGATAAAGAGTTGTAAGATAAAGAACTGCTGCAACGTCAACAGGCTCTTCTCAAGCTCATCCAGCTGGACCTGCGGGACACGCAAATGTTGGTGGCTCATATGACTGGTTTATTGAACTTCCAAAAGGTACAGTAGCCCTTCACAGATTGCACTGATCTTTCACAAAAGTACTGCTACTTTAACCACTAGTGCACTAAAATCACAAACAAATTAGGGTAACCATAACCCTAAATTAGGGTTAGCCTCTTTGTTCTAGACTTACTTAAATGGCAAATGTTAATGACTATGTACATCTCAGTATAAGAAGGTTCAACAGCCAGTGTGCTTTTACATCCAACGTTTTGGTGACTGTCTGTCACCTTCTTTCTTCAGGGAAAAAATGACTGGTTCTGCTTTGTACTGCAGCTAGCACTAGTAAACCAACAGACTAACCCGTAGCCTATCATGGCTGCTCTGTAGCGAAGAGAACTCCTCATTCCTCTTCTCTAACATCTGGATGTAGTGTGCCCGCTCCTGTCGCGCTCGCTCCACGTCCTGAAGCCGCTCTTCTGCCACGGCTGACAGCTCGCTCTTCTCTCCTGCCTGAAGTAACAAGTTTTCATTTTCACCTCAGTTTCAGTTTATTGTAACTTGTTATTCAGATATCACTTTAATAAACTTTATATGAGCTATCATTACATTTCATTCTGTTCCTGTTGATTTTGGCAGAGTAGGGCAAAAGCTAGATGTAAGCAAGAAGACATAAATACCTACACTTAGAGCCAGAAAGGGTAGTTTGGAACTCTCATTCTACTTACACAAGTGTCATGTTACAGTTCCTTTGAGTAGCTTTTCCATGTGTTATCAATATGAGCTCTATGTGTGGTATCACTAACAGCATACAAAATATACTACTACTTTAAAGTATACAAATGATCAATGTATCTTCCCTTCCAATTAACACCAGCACATACCACTGAGCCCAGCTGTTTCTGGGCATCATCCAGAGCGTGCTGCAGTTCCTCCACTCTCTGCCGGAGGGCCTTGATGTCGTCAGTCTTCCACTCGAACTCGCGGCCGAGCTTCTGGCTCTGGTTGCGCTCGGTCTCCAGCTGGGCGGACAGCATGTTGATCTGCTCCTGGAGCCGCTGCTGCTCCTGTTCCTTCACTTCTAACACCTGTCAGCAAACAAGGGAAAACTTTTCTTTCAAATCTACAGTTCCAAATAGACCAGTCAGCCCTCCCCCATTCACACACATACATACACGCACCGGTGAAATGGTAGATTAATGCAAAAGAGGAACATAGAAATTTGAAATCTTGACATGCAGCCACTCTCTGTTTGGTGTGTTGTCAATATCGTGTATCAAGGTTGGCTAGTGCAAAGAAAAGTTCTGAGGGTAAATAAAAGAGTGATGTAGCTGTCTAACTAGCAGTGGTACTAAATTGTCATGACGGACTGATGGGATCATACACAACACCCACCCTTTTCAGACAGATTCGATTATATTACTAGTATTGCTTAATCCAACATAAAGAAAAGAAAGAAAGAAAGTGATCCTGAACCAGTTAAGCTCAACAAATTCAATGAGCTATTCTTCTACTGGCCGTGACAGAGAAGACAGATGCTATGCACAGTACATACAGCTTGTTCATTGTACCAGGAAAATTGACCTAGCTCTTTTCTACAAGTACAAAAAAAGTGGACCACAGCCTAGCAGCCCATCGTAACGACTGCGACTCTTTCCAGTAGCATGCATGTGACATTATGGCACCCAACCAAAAACTGTATAATTTTGTGAAATCAGAGATCCAACAAAAAGTAGTCTATGGGACTGTGTGATATGATAGGTGCATGAAATTACATGTATTTAATGGCCTAAAAGTAGATAAAAAAGGATGTGCCTCTTTTCCCCAACATACAACAGTCCACTTACAACAACCCAGATTCCATCCCCTTCTGATTTGTGGGAGGGAAGCTTCAGAGTCAGACAGAGAGGGGAGAAGAAACACAGAGATCAGTAGGATTGTTTCTTTTAAAAGCCACACCAAATGTCTTGGTTCTTTCTGCAAGAAACAAATGGAGCCACAAAAATGAAGCGGCAGATCAGAGAACCAAGACATTGTACTGGTGTGGCCTTACGAGTAAATTCTGGTTGGATAGGAAATGTAGTTCATGCTATGTTATTTGTTGCAAGCTAGTATAACAAAACAAGGACAGCAGAACAAGAAAATTACACTGATAGAAAAGCATTGAAAAGGTAGGGAGTCCATACAACACTTAATATACATTTGTATACAATAGTTATAAAGACGTTTGACTTCAAAGTAAGTAATTAGATTTTCCAAATCCCAGTCTCTTCTAATTGTTGCTGCAATAAAACCAAGACAGTCTGCACATGCTTGAGTAACTGTTTTCTTGTGTATCTCATCACCTGGATATCTAACCTTTGTATCTGCACATATATTTTGCTTTTTGCTGGCCTCTGATCTCTCCCATTAATTTTGAATATCTTATATGATTATGTTGTATTGTATGGACTCCAGGAAGAAAAGTGTCAATGTAACAATAAGAAAACAAACATACCTGTTTGTCCATCTGGTTCTTACACTCCTGCTTGACCGTCTGGACCAGCTCCTTGAGCCGCCGGACCTCCAGAGACGCGGCCTCCAGCTCGGCCTCCAGCGTGTGCACGCGGCGGCTCTGCTCCTCGTCACGCGACCACAGCCGCTTGGTCTGCTCCCGCTCAATCTTCAGGTCCTCATCACCACGCACCAGGGTTTGCTGAAGGGGTGGGAAGAAAATTATGTAATGGTGAGAACTTGTGGTAGTTATGCTTAGCTGAAAATATTCTTAGATACATTAGACATATTCAAATGCTTTAGCAGATTATGGCTCTCCATATTTATCTCCATATTTAATGAATTAATGAAACGTAGGATCTAACTTAGTCTCAGAGTTTTACCCCCGTTTTTGCATCATCTAGCGCGACTGTTCAAAAGTGCATCTTTCCTACTCCAGGAGAAGGAAAAGAGTGAAAAGGTGCACTACTAAAGAGACACACTAAATGGCACAAAAATACAAGTACAACTCTGTGACTGACCAGGATCTAACATTGCTTGGGGATTGGGGGTATACTAAACTGGGTAGTAAGTGAGCGAGTATACAAACAATACATGAACCATTTGACTATCAGATGCAGAACATTCCAAAGCCTGATTTCTGACCTTTAACTGAGCCATCTCCTGTTCACACTCCTCCAGGGACTCCTGGTAGTGCTCCTTCTCCAGCTGCAGGTTGGACAGTTCCGAGTGGAGCGTCTCTAAGGCTCGCTCCAGCTCACGCACCTGCAGGGAACACAGGCGGAGGAAAAATGGGAAATTAGCGGATCTCACCATCACTGAACTACAGCTGATAGACAGCAGAGGTCGGGGTAGACCAAGGAAATTCTGGATGGAGAGTGTTAAGGATGTAAGAGAGTCTATTGCCCTCCCATGTCACAAGCCCCCGCAGCAGTATAATCAAAGACTGGATACTACTACTACTTCTCAATTTCAGAAGTATTTATTTCCAGATAAGCTTTTTTTTCTCTATAACAAGAGGGACAAATGCTAAGGGAAGAAGAAATTTTCCTTGTTATATTTAACAGAGACAGTGAATAACAGTTGAACTTCTTAGATATGACAATAACATAAAACAGAAGGTTCCACAAGTACTCACCTTCTTCTCATACCCTTGCTTCATGTCCCTGTGTTCATCCTTCAGGGTGGAATACTTGGCCTCAAGGTCAGCAATATGGCCGTCCTTTAATTCCACCTGACTTTGACTCTGTTCTCTGAAAATTTAAGACAAACGAAACATTTGATTCCCAATCAATTTCTGACAACTAGCCAGTTTCTAGTATATTTAGTGGTTCTATAAAAGACCCTCAACCCCCTGGATTTGGTCTTTAATGGTCTATAGTCTTAAAAAAACTTACTGTAACAGTGTAAGCTGTGTCTGCAGGGTGGTGGCCTGCTTGCGAGAGTTGTTGGCCCTCTCCGTGGCGCTGTCCAGCTGCTGTTTATACTCCTGTACGACCTGCTGCAGCCTGTCCTGGCTGTCCCGGGACAGCCGATGCTGTTCCTCCTGCAGCTTCTGCTGCGACTCACGAACTTCCTGCTCCAGCTAGAAGGGGAAATTACAGGAACAAAATCTCAATTTGGATTAGAGTACTGAAAAGCCCTTTATCTAACCCCCTCCAGTCATTTCCACTAGAACCTATCCTATTTTGTTGTACCCTACGTTCCAAATCTTTTTTAACAAGGCAACTGGAATTGGCATACCTAAATCATGGAAAGAGGAAAAAGACACAAATTGAAAGGAATATTTTAGAGGAAAGGGTACAAAGGAGACTAAAATAAATGTTAGGAGAGAAATGAGACATTTTGAAAGAAAAGTAAAATGACTGTCAATAGAAAAAAAGGACTGCTGACACTAAAACACAAAAAGAGGGAACATGAAAGAAAAGGGGAGGGAACAATCTGTTTACTAACCCTGGTGACTTTAGCTGTAAGAGTCTGTATGTGCACGTCCCTTTCCTGTAGACATTTCTGAAGGACCTGAGGCAGTAGTGCCGCTCCCGTCTCCCTGACGTTCCCCCCGTCCAGGAACGGCCGGCCCTGCCCGTCCTCCTCCTGCGCCAGGAAGGTCCGGATCTGAACCAGCGCCACGTCCGCTGTCTTCAGGTTCTTCTGCAGGTCATCCACACGGGCGTTGGTTTCCAGCATGGCCTAGGAAAAAAAAAGAGATAGAAGATTATAGTTATGAAATACTGCTACTGCTTCCAATGCTTGGATTGTCCTCAGCTTTACATTTTGTTTAGCAAGTCTATCACTTCCTAGTAATTGAAATCATAATGGTTGATTTTGTATATGCTTGAATCACAAAGACAATAGATGAGGAATCTCCACCTTTTCCTGCTGCTTGTTGTTAGACTCCAGTTCCTTGAGTGTAGACTGAAGCTGGCTCACAATTTGATCACGTTCCCGCGACTCGTTTTCTCTGGATGGAGGGAAGAAAAACAACCAGTCAATGGTGCGATGATTAAGATGCTCAACAGTCTGGTGACTGCTATGGTAAAGCAGTTGTCCTAAACTGAGATGAAGCACGATGCAGCTTTACCACAGTTTGTGTTAATAGCCAAGCATACATGACCCCTACTCTTGCCTTTCTACAGTAGGCCGATTTCTACTATCTATTCAGCCTACAAAGGAGTCTGGTGGAGACTATCAAAACATGACCTGAGCTGACCTCTGTTCCAGCAGCCTCTCCCGTTGCAGCAGTGCCTCCTGTAGTTTGTCCTGCAGTTCCGTGATCGCCTCCCGGAAGTGATGCTTTTGTAGGTCCGTCAGCTCATTGGCCTGGGAGAAGAAAACATTTTTTACAGATGAGAAAACAGATTAATTTGTAGCAGCTGCTAAAATCATTTCAAATCATAGAGTTTTAAAGATGAACCAGAAAGAACTGTGGGAAAGCAGCATGAATTCTGACCTCTCCTGAATCAGAGACGCTGTCCGGAGACTTTGCAGCATGAGGGAATTAGAGGAAATGTGAAGTCAATTTTCAAGGCTGGTCTGAAATACTGACTTACTATGCCATCCAGTTAAGATTGGTAAGATAATCCTCACCTGTTTGAGTTGTTCCTTCAGGTGTTGTACCTGGAGGGAGTCTATTGTGGACAGGGACCTGCAGAGGGAGAGAGAAACAACAGATTCATTCCTGAGTGTTAGAAATAGGTATACAGTGTTTTGATTTTGATCACCTTGAATGCTCACATATTAATTGAAAAGCCATGCCTCACTATACATGTGTCTTTCTTTCTATCACACCTTTCATACATGGTTTAGAGCTAATTAGATTTCCAAGATCCCCAGTGCCCTTCTAAATCTGAAGTGAGCAGTGTTCAGACTTCTAAGTGTATGCGTGTGCACGTGTGTTCATGTCCATGTACTGTGGATGTAGTTCAGGAGACTTTACTGTACAAGGTGCATATTATAAGGAACATACTGTGGATGTAGTTCAGGAGACTTTGCTGTACAACATGCGCGTTATAAGGAACATACTGTGGATGTAGTTCAGGAGATTTTGCCATGGCTCGTTCCTTCTCCGCCTGCAGTAGCATCCCTCCCTCTGCTCCCCTCCCCACGGTGCTGAATGCGCTGGTCCGTTCTCCCGTTGCCATGGCGCCCGCCGTCCGGTCCTGACCGGTCTGTGCACCGGACAGCCTCACCTGCAATGTCGGTGAAGGTTAGACATCCAGGTAATAAGACATGCCAAAAAAAAAACAGTTACTCAAGCAACTGGATATGATTTTGGAAATGGTCAGACATTTCAGGTAGAACTCTCAGGGCCTTGAGACTTGGTGCTACCAGCCCCTAGGACAAAAAACACTTAAGCTCCTGTTCTGAAACAACAGGAGCTACGTGTATTGACTAATATTTGCATCATCCTTGTCTAACTTTTGTTTCCTTTTGGGCTTCCAAAAAAATAGTCTTCACTTATTTTCATATCAATCAATAATTCGTGCTTATAGACCCGCCTTTCTCCTATAAGTCTCTAGTGTCACTGACAAAAAGTAGTGGATGCTTACTGAAACGTCTGACCGTTTCCAAAATCATATCTAGTTGCTTGAGTAACTGTTTCTTGGCATATATCAATCAATAGTTTGTGCTCTTTTCTCCTGCAAGTCTCTAGTGTCATTGATGAAAGGTAGTGGATGCTAACTGAAAAGTCTCACCTCCTGACCGGCCCTCGTCCCCAGCAGCTTCTCGATGACCTCCGAGTTGCTAGGTGACACGGCGATGCGCACGGCCCGGGGGCTGGGGATGAAGATGTGCGGGTCCTTACCGGAGGGGGAGGAGCGCACCTGGACGTAACTCTGCCCCACAGGGCTGCTGCGTAGGCTGGCGGCGTCTGTGGACTTCTTCACTTCACCCTGCAGCCGCCTGGGAGGGAAAATTGCAGCATGAAGCAGGGTTCTCCCCAAGCAATGAAGCAAGGGTGCTCCCCCTCTCCCCAAAATCCTAGCACCCCTAATCCAACCTTTAGGGTTTTCTCTTAGTATTTACATGAATCATCCCATTAGAGGGTCACCAAAACGTCAGCTGAATAAACCTCTTGGTAAACCTCTGTGTAAAAAGAGTCTCTTTATACAGCTAACCAACATCTAGCACACTACATTTAAAACTTTTACTCACAAGTATAGATTTCCAATCTTTGAATCAAGTGCGGTAATACTGTTCCAAACAACTATTTTCCACCTCACCGAAATTGCTTTACTCTACCATACCACACCTGCAAACACAGCTCTGTTGCTAAGTAACAAGCTTCCATCCTAATATTAGAGACACTACGGTATAGGAAATAGTAATAAATTAATTGCTCACAACATGAGTCCCATTTCTAAATAAAAAGTGGATGATAAGTGCTTACCTGAGTTCAGAGAGGGAGCCCTGACTGGCAGTATTAGCAGCTCTGGTGGTGGCTGCAGAGTCTGGTCCTGCCTGAGGTGGTCAATAATTAATGACGTGTGTTAACGAGGTACCGTGATTGACAAGAGAGAGAGAGGGACATAATGCTTAACAATTTCCACACCAATTTAATTTGTTGGTTCTTGGTAAAAAAAGTAGTCATGCTAAACTGGGAGATCATCATAAAAAATAAACATTAGTCTAAGGGGAAGTCTGTACCTTGGTACACACAGTTTCACAGCATATCAGATACAATTTTTTCTCGCAGCTACCATGGAGGTATCTTGACATATTGCTTTATTTTTACCAAGTGTTTGAGAAGGAAGAAAATCACTTATCGTGGCCTAAGGACTATACAAGTAATGATTCCCCAGAGATATGTGTCATTGATCCATCACTCTTTTGTTGAGAGAATCATTCAATGCGGATGTATTTGTAGTGAATGACATCATCAATAATTCATCCATTTTTCAAATCTGAGGGGGCAGAAAAACACTTAAAAAAAACAATAGAGAAGTTTTGGAAACAAATTTGTCCTTGTCATGACATACACACCCTTCAAGCTATTTTGGGGGATTTGCTTTACAGATTTTATACAATATAGAGACTGGATTCGCCCAAAAAACAGTTGCTCAAGCAAGTAACCTGGATGTCTAACCTTCACCGATATAGAGCCTGGACTAGTATTAAGCAGAAATGTGCAGGGATACATCATTCTATCCTATAAATTGTACCCTAAATGCTTTCATTGGCTGTTTCACATTTGCTTTAAAAGCAGTATCAACTGTTTCACTTTGGTGTATTCTTGTTACTACAATTGCTCAGTATTGCTTTATCATTTTCATATCATCTAGGTATCTTATATTTTAGGCAATCCTGATTACTGAGTATTTCGACTTCCTCCATTTTATATATAGGGTCTCCAGAATATTATATGGCCTATAAAAGAGACAATTCAGGATTAGCAGCAGCACGCAGGATGGGAACTACCTCTGATGCCCGCAGCTCTGCTTTGATGTTGTTGACTTCGTATGACTTCACCTTCAGCTGGTCCTGGAACTTTTGCAGCAGCTCCACCTAGAGGCAACATGGCATAGTGCAGGGAGGGGGACATGGGAGGGTGGTTTGGGTTGGAGGAGGGTTTGAGGGCATTTAGGGAAAGGTGGCCAAACAAGAGAAAAAGTTTATGAATGTATTTCTTTTATTTGTTAGGTAGTATTATAATAAGATAGAATACATAATAACGGAAAGGATGGTCAGGTAGAGAGTGGTAGAGAATTTTATCGCTAAAAATTCTGGGTCTGTTCTCAAGAAATAGTTTACAGACAACAAGGTTTACAGGTAGCAATTGTTTTGAGTATCAAGGAAACAAAGTCGAATTGTGTTCTTATCTAAGTAAGTAGTCTAAGGAGTAAGTAGAGTTTCAAAGTGGTTTGTATTATTGATAAAAAGACAGTTTATCTGATTAGATATTGCAGCCTTAGGCAGTTTGGCAAATTTATCACAGTTAAAAGCTAGTTAACAAGAGTACAAAAGACAAATTATGGCATCAATGGGTATCACGTACATTGAACATTTTTATGCAAATCACAACAAAGCATTTCTGCTTGCATTTGTATCACTAGCAGACAAGTTTTTATCTACAGAAGTACACAGAAGGACTATTATTTCATCTACTGAAAGGGCTCAACAGAGGGTATTTTTGTATCCAGTCATTCAAGTATCTGTGTACCATTTTACTATCAATTTGCAAGGAAACATTAGTATGTAACGGCTACTAAATTTTACTGCTGGTACTTTTAGTAGAAAATTTGGAAACCAAACACAAGACTATTCCTGAAGAATTCCTGTAATCAGTGACAAAACTTTCTTGATTTAGTGTTGGCAATACTAACAGGACTTTCTGCACAGAAAGTGGAGGGATAAAATACTAGTAGTTGTTCTTGTAACCTGGTACATGTACATGTATTAGAAAAGCAGAACACAAAGTTCAGATTTATCCTACCTGTTTCTGCATGTGTTGTTTTACACTGTCCACTTCTGTCTGAAGGGCTCGGATTGAGGTTGGTGGACCTGGAAATAAAAAAATATGCTGTAATGAAAATACACGATAGATAAATTTAGTATAACTTCACATGCACTTACTTGCTGTGCTTACACATTATAATTGCAGGGGCTACACTTGGAACTAAAATCCAGTGTACCGTTGTCTTCACCACGTATATAATCTCTTTAGACAGAGTAAAACTAAATAAGAAAACACCAAGATCATCCCTTACTGTGGCAGGAAACTATGCTTGCTTCCTGAAGAATTAGAGACTAAGAGTAATTCCTACAGTTCAGCCTTGTTTTTTCCGTGGCCATCGCTGCTGGACTAATGATAACCAGAGAAGCGTCTGTGCCACTTATACTGGGTTTATGACCAAACCAGCGTGTGTAATTATCAGTGCTGAACTGGGCTAGCAACTCGTCTGGGCCTTTCATGTTCTGAAGGTGTCAAATGTTTTCTTTGACAGAAACAAAAAAAAGGAACAAAGTTTACAACAAGACCTAATTATCACAATTAAAGTGGTAATGTATATCAAATACATTTCTGTATTTGAGTTTCAGCGACTTTGACAGACTGAAAAATAGTGCTTCTTCTACATATAAATTGTAAAATCCATTAGATATGGCAGAAAATTAAACTATGCTATCACCACTAACAACTTTATAAGGTTGTTTCTTTTGAACACGGACCAAGCGATAACTTTGATCATATTTCTTCTATGGTTGATCAAACAAACATGCAATTGGTTGTATGTTGGTGAATTGTACATACCACAATATAAGAAATAAACATGCATCCAGTAACAAACTTCATGTATGTAATTACAGGGCTTGAAGTAGGGTTTTAAGTCGTAAACTTTCATTATGGGATGGTAATTAGTATGTAAATTGCAGTTAACATCATAATTACACATAAGTGCTCCTATCTATACCTATTTTCTGCTGTGGGCCTCATATACCGTAGTAATTTTGATTCTATCAATAATCTATGTAACTTTTATAACTGCCTTTAGCATAACACACCAACTTCTGGGCAGGTATCGGATGTATTAAATAGATGTTTGCCAATTGCCACCAAATACAACTACATTGTACCAGGAATAAACTGCTGTAGGATACTTGTGATTCATTGCTTGACAAACTGTTTGAAAATTAAACAGACCATGATAACTGTAAGCTGCATGTCTCACATCCATTCAGTCCACCATACAATACACTTAAACTTCAGGGAATTCTCATGCTTCTCATCTAATACGATGTTGAACAATGATTAGACTGAGACCTACCTGCTGTAGTGGCCGATGCAGAAGAGTAAGGAGTGGTTGTGTCCAGACTGAGACCAGGAATCTCCGGCCGGCTGGACGATCGACTGACCGGCAGGCTGTGAGGTCCCAGCCCCGCCCCCAACCGCGCCCCCTCCAGCTCTAACCTAACACACAGTCACAGCAAACTCCAGTAACAATAGTAAAAGTCCAGTTCTAAAATAATTATAACACACAATCACAGCAAACTTGATTACAGTAAAGGTAAAAAAGGAAAGTATCATTGTCTAAATTGAATTGTGAAGTACATGTACAATCCTTTTGGTTTGGGCTGATAGCGCAAAGAATGTTTGAGCTAGTGAACACTAGGCAATCCTTCAAATTTATTACTAACAATAAGAAGAACAAAATTCAAATGCTATCAGTATGACCACTACCGGTATATACAGTTCAACATAACTGCAGCTGGAAGATTATCCTTATCTGTTTGACAGGTACAAAATACAATGAACAGTGGGCCACAGTTTAACATCCCCTCCTAAGCGCTTCTATCCTTCAAGTAACATGTGTGCCAATGTTAAAGGTAGACTACAAATGTACTTGAACAATATTGTCCATAGACTTACCTGCGTATTTCCTCGTCGTAGTCTGAACTGGTGCGTAGACTCTGCGATGACGAGCGCTGTCGGCCTGGTCTCACCACATCCTCCAGTGAAGCCATGTCATCTCCCCATCACTCCTGCACACAGCTACTAACTACACGTACACACACCCGCTGTGACCTGCTGAAATATTCACACATGATGGATGAGTTAATGAACAACGCGAACGCAACCTCCTTATGTCCTACTTTGAGTTCTTGTGACATTTCATGTGTCAACAGAATACACCATTGGCAAGGGTCAATGCCATGGTAACCTTTTCTATCATAAGATACATCTGCATTTTGTACAAGAGATTAGAAAACTGTTGTACAATGTATAGGCTTAAAACTCACCACAAATTCAGTAAAAATTTATGATATTCATCATATTTAGTTAAAAGCATTATACACTGAAAAGATTCCTAAAACATGCATGAAAAAAGGACACAGTGTGTGTACAATAGAGGGTACATACAGAAGTTTGAGTCTTCTTGTGTTATAATTAACTGCTCACTTGCAGAAGTGTCACCTTGACATTTAACGTTTCATACAGACTTGTCAGCTGCCATTTTTGTTGCAGGCTATCATGGCAGGGAGAGGAATTTATGCTTTGAAAGTTATCCTCGGTAGACTAGAAATGTTCAATAATTTACCTAGTTTTATAGTGGAGTCTGGTCTATGGGGAAAACTGTAGTAATCATATCTGAATGAATGCCTTTGTCAAAGCGTCAGATGACAGTTAAAATTACCAGGTATTGAAATATTTAGCATTTCATGAATCATGAATCATGAAAAGGTGCTTAATCTGGCTGCTCCAGTTCATAAGTTCACAACATTACAAGAAGAACCAGGCCCTGAACTGAAGAAGAACGGCCTGTTTGCTTCTTGTTGTTTTCTCATTGTGGAAGTAAATAATAGGTGTCATGAAAAGTTTTCATTAGATTAAAATTACCAAAACTGATAAGACGTTACTGCAAGTAGTTTGCGTTGTCAGATAACCATGTGAACGATTGCCAGGTAGGGGTGTCATATGAAACGTATATGAAAGACCCTTCCATCATAAAAATGTTGCACACGTTTGAATATAACTATGAAGGGGGGGCACTGTGCACATCGAGCGCGTGCCGTTCGAAGGGTATTTACCAAAATTCTAACGTCCCGGTCAGTGTTGGTGACGCACAGAAAACTCTAGATTACCCCAAGACAAGAAAGGAAGCGGCAAAAAACAACGATCTACCAGAAACAGGCTGCTTCTCTTAATTTTTGACATCGGATACAGCAGACTACAAAACTGTTCCAAATTCAATTTTCCCGGGTCGGAATGCACTGGGTTTGGATCATCCCAAAAACTCAGAAACACGCGACATTTACCTGAATCAAACGGTACTGGGAAGGTTTACGACGTCCTGGTAGTCACATGCCTCCAACCGTCATCACGGTTAAGTTGAGGACAGCGGAGAACACAAAATTATTGACAACTGACGAGGATTCTTTTCACAACAAGCACGCCATTTTATTTCCCGTCGGCCTCTGCGCCGGAACAACCCATTTCCGCAAACAAATGAGAAAATAGGGGTGTTTGGTTTGACAGAAAAAGATCCTCATTTCCAAGCAGATGTTGAGATAAAACATTACACAATAACATACAAAGAATATTACGATGTTAACTCACGGCGTTTCCTTGGATATGAAAAAACTGAATACATGCAAACGACACCGGCTTGGATATGACCGTCAAGTGAAGTACCATGCAGATTCAGATTCAACCTGCAAGTGCCAATGCCTGGTGCGACTTTTGAAAGGTTTGTTTCGTGCTTAAAATACCAGAAACGCGGTGACATGGAAACAGCAACGGTTGATGGTGTAAAGATTTATAAACACTATTTTCGACAACACTATTTACAAGTAAGCTAGAGTAACGTAAGAAGAACATCCAAAAGGACTAGAGTCCATTCCCACATTTTGTTGGGGGAATTCTCCGGGCAAGTGATAGCAATGAAACTTTATTGTCGCTCACTGACACCTCTTGTTCTACAGATATGAGTAGATAAGGGATGAGTGAACGCTACGGATCATGACCCTGTCTCTGAAAAAACTTGTGGATTGATGGCAAATCCCTTATCAGATAGCTTAACGTTAATTTAAAATCGTGTCTCACAGTCGCCGCACTACTACTAGTAGTACATGTAATCTGATTCCTGCCACCTCCAAGTGTGATTTCTGCCCGTGACATTGATCTACGTCACCTGTTTCCAGGTAACACCAGATGTTGAGACAACGTTACAGGTGGATGATTCTACAGGTGGGCGGGGTGCAAAAGACGCTTGAACACAATTGGCCCTGGTCGGACATGTATATGGCATGCACGCGTAACGCGTAGGTTCGTCCTTCCACGCCCAGAAGACCAGGTCCACCATCAAGAACACGACACGTATCCGGAAGTAGGTCGGCTTGACTACTAAACTTTTCAGTTTACATACAGCGTACTACGATTGTACCACAGCCCTACCATGTACATGAACGCTGTGTTGTTCTTGCTCGTGGCCTGTGCCCACGCCACGTTGGGAACTGAAAAGTGTTCTACAAGTGCGACTAGCACGACGCCAGGCTGCATTTGTCTCCAAGAGGTGGTGGGCGGGTTGAAGAACCCACTGGCCATGTTGCAGCCAGACGACGGAACGAAGAGGTTCTTCATAGTCGAGCAGATCGGGCTGATTCGCGTGACCGACTCGAGCGGGCGGCTTCTGAACGAGCCTTTCCTGAACATCACGTCCAAAGTGCTGACGTCTGACGCCTTCGGGGACGAGCGAGGCTTGCTCGGCGCGGTTCTGGACCCACAGTTCAAACAGAACGGGCGGTTCTATGTGTACTACAGCTCCCGGCAAGGAGCGGGCAATGTCGGGGGCGGGCACAGATCCGTACTGGCGAGACTGCAGGTTTCGAGTGACAAGAACCAGGTGGGGTTATGTGTGGGTAAATAACTAGGTCAATCTTTAAGGAAGTAGAAGGTCTGAAGTGGAAGATCCAAGAAGGTTTAGATCGTAACCGTTACGATATAATAATAACAATTCTTTATTTGCAAAATCATGCCCGAAGGCTAATTGCTTTTACAGTCAAATCTGCTCTTCGGTACTGCGGCGATTAGAAAATGCGGTCTTCCCTTCCAGCAACATCTGCTTGGAGAGAAGCTGTCTGCTATTCACCCAGGCACGCAAAAGTAATTCTCATTAAAACCTGCAAGTTTGTTTGTACAACACTCGAACAGTATTCGGCAACCGTGCGCAATTATGTCCCCTTTTTTTGGCTCGTGTCCAATAACAATACCTCCGTGTTTAATGTTACTGTAGTAGATGTATTTTTACATGGCCCCGGCTTAACTTCACTTTGTGAAGATTTCTTGTATGGTGATAGTCCGCATACCAGCCTGGTTAGTCCGCTCCCCCTAGTTCCGTCGGGCTGGGAGCGAAATTGCGAAGTAGACTAGAGCTAACATGGCTGGTATGGCCAAGTGGACAGAGCTAGAAAGCCACTCCATTAGACGAAAGAAGACTCGTATAAAACAAAACGCTAGAAAGACCCTACGGAAGTCTCGGAAAATATAAGAGGTAAGCGTGCGAATAACGTTATCGCAACAGCTGTTATTAAACACGAACATTTGCATTATTAAACAGGCCACAAAACACAACAAAAGATTGAGCAAACTCGTTACACTTTGCAAAACTGTTGCCTAGTAGTAACAGCATTAGTAGTCACAAAGACAGTAACACCGGTAGCGTTTGGGTAACAATTCATCAATAGTCCTTTTGAAAGCCGATCAAGGAGTAAGAGCAGTTGCATAACTGGTTAGTCCAAGGACGTTCGTCCTTGGTTAGTCGAGGTCCTTTCCGACACTCAACGGTATCAAACAGTTCAAAAGCGCCCCTCGACGACCAAAAATGTAATCGATGATACTAGTGAGATGCACATTTACTCATTTACTAGACAGACTTATCAATATACCTGTCTAACTCGGCCTCATTTCAATGCTTAAACTTTCATTTACTCGTTGAGGGAAGGTTTTTCAAACCTTGATCGTTGCTGTGACAGCTTCACCCTCGGTCTGAGCGAGCGTAAGGAGCCCGATGCAAATCGGACGGTACACAGGTCACGTTTTATTAACGTTATTTTGATGTTTTTGATGCTTAACACTGATCTGTGTGGTTTCCCAGGCCGACGCGAGTTCTGAGCGTGTGTTGCTGGAGATCGCGCAGCCGGGAGATCGGAACAACGGCGGGCAGCTGCTGTTCGGGGCGGACGGGTACCTGTACGTCAGTGTGGGGGACGGGGGAGCAGGCCCGCACACCGCAGGGAACACGTAAGGACGCAACCAGAACGCGTACCGTAGGGGATCATAGTTGGCACAAAACTTTCATCGGTGAATTAGTATGGTAACATTTGTGAGTAAATGATGTTTGTCAAGTTCCAAGACGGATTTTTTAATGTTACAATAGACTTTTAAGTCGTGTAATATTAGCGATATGTTCCAGGATTTATACTTGTTCTAAAATGTCTAATGTTTAAGTCCTGATAATATTTGCAGGACGTGTTCACAGTTGTGTACAGATTTTTTTTATACACATGTACTGAATAAACCAATAAATCAAACCACGAAAATCTTGTAAAGATATCAATCCAGTAATACAAATATGACTTTTATGACTTTCAAAAAGACTTTTTGATATAGTAGACTTTCAGAAAAGTGATAACAGTCAGATAAGACCTGTCCAATGCGTATCAACCATAACCTATTTATTGCAGGTCTTCGCTCCTTGGGAAGATTCTGCGCATCAACGTGACCGGGGCAGACTCATCAGGCCTGCCGTACAGCATACCTCCTGACAACCCGTTTGTCGGACAGGCACGGCCGGAGGTGTTCGCGTATGGCTTCAAGAACCCGTGGAGATGTTCAGTTGACAAAGGAGACAAGCAAGGTGGGTTACCAATTAGGGCTAGATCTACTCGTACACTGATTTATTTTCTTGGTACTTGGACAACTGCAAACAAACAGCGAGCAATGTTAAAACAGCGTGCTAGGAGGAAAACCGGAATCCGACTTCATAGTAAAATGTAGACTACTTGTATATGTATATTCTCTCATGTATGTGTGTCAAGATATAACGTTAGAGCAAAATGGTGAGGACTAAGCATTCTAGAGGTGTTTAAGGTTTAACAGCGATAAATTATTTGTATTTGAGACACCACTGGATGAGTAATTTTTCTATCCACAGGTGTGGGCCGCGGCCGTGTGTTCTGTGGGGATGTGGGGAACTCCAGCTACGAGGAGATCAGCATCGTCAGGAAGGGCGGGAACCACGGCTGGCCGGACAGGGAGGGACACACGTGTCAGGACCCCAGCGGCTGTGACGACGGTGGGGATGCTTTCATCTAGTCTCCACCACTCATTTTACAGGCTGAATGAATAGTAGAAATCGGCATAAAAAGGGGATATCATTTGTCAGAGGAGTTGGTCGCACAGAGAAGCTACATTTGCCTATCATAGACGTTCAGGCTAATGGGTGGCCAACTCCTCTGGCCAATGATCGATATCCTCTTTTTAGGCCGATTTCTACTATTTATTCAGCCTGCAAAAGAGTCTGGTGAAGACAAGCTTTCTTGTATTGTATATTGTTAATGATGTCACATGTAATTGAACAATTTCTTTTTAAGTCTTCAATCCTCTGAGAAATTTGTTACACATTGTAAATTAGCAATACTCCAGGTCAGTAAGCCTGCCAAATGATAAATAGAGTTTTTCATTATGATGATTCTTCTCCTTAGGCCTTGGTTCAAGCCCACCAAGAGCTAGCCTTAGAGTTAATACTAGTAGTCTGAATGGATAGGTTTTGGGCAATTGCACACCTAATCCATTTCATCAATTCCTATGGCAATAATGAAAGAAGTGGAGTTTCACGTGTACTTCAAACCTGTACATAGTGTCCTTCTGGTCACAATCATTGAAAGAAAAGCCTTTTGTAATCAACATTATAAGAGGTTATGACATTAGTGCTCAGGACTTTAATGCAACACTGTACCATTTCAGATCACGTCCCACCCATCCATGTGTACTCCCATGATGAGGGAATAGCAGTGATTGGAGGTCCTGTGTACCGGGGGTGTGGCATACCCAGCCTCACGGGGAAGTACCTGTACGCTGACTTCACTGGCCATGGGTAGGGGACATACCTTCAATTAGTGTGACCAAGAAGAGAAAAGTAAAATGGTGTAAAATGATCTTACAATGAATAGGTTACAATTCATCAGGACAAAAGTATTTTGAACAGTCAAACTTACCAATGGTTATCCACAGGGGACTTGAAGAGTCGAGCCACTGTTTTGTAATTCCTCTGTGATTCTTTCTTTCCCATAATAGAGAAGAACAGATCTTTGAGACATTTGAAGAAAACTTTCAATTTCTTCTGTCTTCCCCACAGAAAGTTGTTTTATCTGAGAGAACTATCAAACCGTTCGTGGACGAACGCAGCCCTGTGTGTTGGTGACAACAGTGTGTGCAAGACCAGCCAGCAGCAGGCCTGGGGACCTGGGAACTTCATCCTCGGGTTTGGACTGGATGTGTCAGGTTGGTATAAATGTACAGTAACATTGATGAAGGTTAGACATCCAGGTGATAAGATACGCCACAAAAACAGTTGCTCATGCAACTGGATTTCCACAATCATATCAATCTGCTTGATTAACTGTTTTCAGGCAAATGCAGTTACATTCTCCTTCCAACATCTCCTGGAGAAAATTGAGGTTGCAACACATTTTTGAACTTGGTTCTGTTGGTGAGGAGACTTGAGTCTTGTCCTGAAGTTAAAAACTTACCCCAAGGCAGACACCAAAGTCATCATGCTTTTACCAGTACATTTTACCATTTTTTTAATCTTTGATTTTGATGGACAGGAAGAACTGTGACATTTCTCATATCTTTGTTGCCCGATAGGTGAGGCCTACCTGTTGACCATGAACCCATCAGTATCTGCTGGGAAGGTGTTTAAGATCGTGGACCCCAACTCTCCCGTCAGTGCTGCACCTGTGCTACAGATGTCTGTCTTACTGCTGCTCACCATGCTTCTTATCATGAAGAATTTCATCTAGGAAGGAAAAAGTTACCAGAATGCTCAGTTTAGGTTTACTGGTAACATTATAGCAAGGACATTATACAGCTGTATAATGTCCTTGGTTATAGCAAGGAATGTGTTCTAAACTACATGCACTGAGCTAAGATAGATAATTTTGATAGTTGCTACAGGAGCTTTGAAAAAGCAAAAGCAATACATGTATTTGGATGTTGAATATATTGACTAGTATCTTACATTGTACCTGGATGTGTATTGAGTCAAGGTTTTTGCATTCTGTGGAAAGCATACTATTTCATTTTTACTCCAGAATTCAATCAGTGATACAAAAGTGCTATAGCTAGATGTTAACCAAGTAATTACCTCTGAGTACTGAGGCATTGTTTTTTTTGTATGTTTGTGTGTTTGTTTACTTGTGTGTTCGTAGGTATTTGAATGCAGTAGAAGGTAGGAGGGGGCGGGGGATTTTGTAACTGCAGATTGATTATAAGGTTGAGTTGACAGTCTAAATAGTCTCTTTGCAACTACATGTACATGTATTATTAAGAGCAACGTACAAGCAGTATTGTTGTCTTAAGTCTTTCTCAATTGCTGCTGGTTTAACTGGGAAATGTTGCATTTTTCTATGCTTAATGTTATTGTCAGACAATATTTCTGAATCTATTGTTATGTTCATGTTCAGCTCTAACACATAGACTTCTGTCTATGACTATCCAGTCTACAATGCTGTAAAAGACACAGAAGCATAGAAGGCTATGGCTGAATTTTTTATGCTACAAATTCTCCAGTACATCAGTACACCACACATGGATATGAAAACATCGATATTGCACAAGTTCTGTCAACATAACTTTTTTTGCCGGAACAAATACTTTTCTGGTGAATGAATGTTTCCATTAAAGCTTTTTAACTCACTTCTGTAGGGTCATGAATTGATTTCCTATTACAGACAGACTTCTTTTCCGCAGGTATTTTACAATGTAAAAGTCCAACATGAACTTAACACCAGAATTTTACGACTTGTTTTACCACATGGGTTCAACTTGCAGTTAGATACAAATGCTCTAAGAGACTGTAGGTCTGTTCAGGAGGGGGTATTGACAATATCTATAACATTTGACAACATGTATGGCAACATGGCACCCAAGATTGCAATGCTGAATGGTTAAGTTATAACACATCATGACAGAACCTGCAATATACATGCAACATTACAACCTTTCATAAACGACTTCCCATATGGCAGTATGATTTAATGTTGCACAGTCAGTGATGTATGTCATATAACAGCCCATAATTACCACCACTGTAGCACCATACCATTACAACAATATAACATGGAATGTCATTATAAACATCTTCATCTTTGTTACATTTAATATAAATGTTTAAAACAACCCTGAATCTGTGCTGAACATTTTTGTGCAGGTCTTACAACAAACGTTAGAACTGCTATATCAAAGTCACCACTACCCAGACATTCTTTTGGTTTTGATAATCATAAAAAGGCACAACCATTGGCAACAAGAGTAAGATTATCTCCTGTAAAGGTATAAAACTTTTAACACAATTCTTTTGTGTTGACAGGGCCTTGTAGAAATGATCATATATTCACTGGTTTGAATGCAATACTTTTGAGACAACCAGATTAAAAGACTCACTTGTTAAATAGTTTCTGTTTAATATCAAACATATATCTATAAATGCACAATATGATAACAAAATTTATCGTATAATATTTCCTGGGTTCCTTGATTCCTATCAATGTTTTACTGACTTAGGCCCCGTTCATGATTGGATATCTGTTGCGAATCAATTCGATTTAAAGAAATAAATCGATTCATTTAGGAACATGAACGCTCCAAACCGGTTCCGTTGCGATTTATTCTGAACCACCTCGCGAGGTGGTCTGAAACGATACGATACGATTCGCATTCGTAGAATTGTAATCATGAATGCTCGGATGCGAATCGTTCCGGTTCGACGCTGTACTCCCGGGTACGTGGGGGCCACGGTCGGTCATAGTTTGCGGCGCAGTGGCTTGTACTGCCGAAAATTCTACTTGAATCGTACAATCTTGACATCGAGTTCTAATTACTGGTCGACTGAGGAAACGGGACTTCGAATTCCGATATTGACTTGGGTAAATCAGGAGATCCAGAGGAAACTGGATGGTGTGTACTAGAACCTACCCTGGGCGTGAGGGCGAGTGGTATCCCAACGGGGACGTTGGGGCGGCGGACCGTGGGGGTTTGCGCCAGATGCGTCCGGGGCACAGCCTATGCCATGGGGAGGACATGAATCGGGAACGAGCGACCACTCAGCCCGGACAGGCGTAAACTCTCCGCCTTACGAGCCGGGTTCTCAGGAAATATTCAAAGAAATTGTGATATACATATGAAATGCAAGTCAATTCGAGGTGTGAAACCGTTTCCAGTGTGGGTTCAAGTTTTGAATCACGGACGCAAAAATGGCCAAAAATATATTCCGTTTCGATTCGGATCGTGGCCAAACCGGAACACATTTCAATCATGAACGAGGCCTAACAGAGTCTTGAAAAGTACAGACTTGTAATTTTACCCCATAGACTTCAAATCAACATGATTGTGAGAAGATGTCTAATTGTAAACTGACTCTACCCATTTTAAAACATACACAAAATAAGGAAATCCCCCCAAACATTATCCTGTGGAAAATGTTGGTGCAAGCGTTGGCGCTACTTTTCTGGAAAATGAGTCCACAATTTGTGCTATGGAAACGTACGAACCGGCTAGAAACCCTACGAAACCAAACAGGAAGATGACTACGTTCCTGAGGACAACGAACCAGTGGAGGCCGTCCTCGTATTTGACCAGTAGTTCTATAAGTGGAGGAAAGATGAGCGCCAGAGCACTGCTGCTGAAGGCACCCACAAGGGAGATGAAGAGACCCAGCTCTGGTATTCCTGCTGCCAGCCCAACTGTGGGGAGACATGAACACACTTAGTAAAGACATTTTTCTGATGAAGACTTTCTGATAGGAAGCCAAAACTAGGAAACTGTTAATCTCAGCCATCATCCTTGTGACAAATCTTTGACTATACTTAGTAAAGTAATCATCTCGGTAGGCATTTTATGCCTAAAAGACATCTATGTATATGCATGGCACCTTCTGTACATGTACAATGTACAGAATGTGTCATATACATATATGCCAAATTGGTATTCTAGTCATACATGTATATTGTTATTTGAAGGATATCTGTGTGATTGACTGCTCTACAGCCGACCGATGATGATGTAGTTATATATCAAGAAGGGAACAAATGATCGTACATCTACCAGTTGGCCAGTTTAAGAGGACCACAACTTAGTGTACCACTTACATGTAATGATGACCAGAGCTGCCCTGAGGAGGTATTCTGCGACTGTCTGGAACCGATGACTGACTCGTGACTTCAGGGAAGGCCAGATGATGTTGATGGGGACGTAGAATTGCACGGCGTAGGTGCAGAATATACAGAACACAAACATCAGCTTCACCACTACATACAGCCTGGAAACAGAAGAGAAAAACTACTAAGTGTAGTGCATAATTGAATCTTAATCTTGATATTAATCAAGTGGGGTCACATCAATAAAGCTGTTTGTCATGTTGGTGTCTATCTGCTGTGACTCACTGAAAATTTCATAGCTCATCAGTACATGGTAATTTTGTATGTCATTATACAGTTTCAGTTTATTGAGATGCCCTTTTCAATTTTGATAACAGTGGCTAACAAATGCAAAGCGCTGCAAGGTCTGTGCAAATCTGGAGGAAAGTACTCAATCCACTCACACTTTGATGAACAACTAATTTATAACATTCGTTTCTATGCTATAGGTAAAATGTGTGTATTGTACTGCAATTTTTATTACAACATAAGTAACATCATAGAAATTAAGATTTTTCTGTTTGAGGAAGAAACATACGCTTGCTCTGACGGAGTTACAGATGGTGAAGGCATGGTGGGTAGGTTGAGGGTGATGCTCCCTTCCACGTGATTCCCGAAGGCGAGGTATCCGAAGAACCCGAGTGACACGTACAGGAAGGTGACCATCCCCATGCCCACGTTTATCACCATGGGGAAGGACTGCGGGTTCTGCATCTTATTCTCCAGAGGAAGAACCTGGGGAGGGGAACATGGACATCAGTCTGTCAGTAAAACAGAATGTCTTCATTGTATTACGAGAGAGATCTTTTTGTAGGATCTGCAAAAATTTAAATACCTGTATTGTAAAATGTACGTCAGACAATGGGCAACCTGGAAAGAGGATGATCCTTTTTAGGGTCTAAATGTATAGTTGCTTTTCAACTTTTGAGTCAAAGTCCTCTTTTTAGTAGACAAGAAAGTTTTCTGTGTAATAATCTATTAGTAAGTTTAAAGTCAAAACTTAAAAGCTAGTGATCTTTTCCGAATCAGAAATCTATTCAAATTTATCAACTTTTTAACCTTTAGCTGTTCAACTACCAATGCTCTATTGGTTACTGGGTTACATAGTAGGGAGAGCATTAATTGATTGGGTCAGACTTACTATTCCTATCCCTTCAAAAGAGTATATCGCTGTGCCAAAGAAGAGCGGCAGCTCTCCCACAGAGGAGAATGCTGGGTAGTTGGCGGGGTTTTTGAGCCGCCGTAAGATGTACTGATAGATCAGCACCAGGCCGGCCACCATCACAACGTTTGCGACCGTGGAGATGGGCGCCAGGTGGTCCCAGTTCTGGATGAAGCAGATCAGCATGATGGGCAGGAGGAAGGCAGCGAGGAAGGCCTGGACTGGGGGGAACTCTGCGTGCTGCAGGCCGGGGAAGGACTGGAGGATCTGTGGGGATGGATAGGTACAAATTTTACTTCTAATTGTTTACTTTTCGTGATGATACATGTAAATATATTGACAGTTTTGAAAGTATGTTTATTACATTTCACAAATATTGATACAAAGGCATGAATATCTGTGGGGTCAGATACATGTAGATACAAATTCTAGATTTCATGATGGGAAAATATGCCATTACATTTGTCAAAATGATATTGACAGTTTTCAAGGTATGCTTAGTATCTTTCACAACTGTCGCTATAAATTTTATGCCAAGAAGGTTTACGATAGACTTGGTTCTTAGTCTTAGTTATCACTGGGCAAAGAGTCTAGCTTGCTTACTTCCACATGCTTTTTGCCAACTTTCAGTCATCGTCACATTGACGGACAAACAACATACCAACTTGCATATGAAGGAAGTCACTTTTCAATTGCCAAGAGTTTTCCTGTTATCACAGTAATACAGTAACTATGTCTCTGAGGAGCTACATTGAATACAGGAATATGAGTATAACTGAATTTCTGAAGACCAGCTGACCTGCTCTGCGTTCCTGGCCATGAAGACGAAGTAGACGCAGCAGAAGCCGAGCTGGGTCAGCAGGAGGAAGGCGTTCACGACTCTCCTCACCGCCACACGGTGTCGCCGTAGGAACATGATCGGCCCCACCCGACAGGCGTTCTCTGCCACCTCACCGTAGTCCATACTGGTGTGACCACATCTGGGGAGGGGGGCAAACAACAGCATTAAAAGGACTGTTCTCTTTGTGTCTAATGACGTACACAGTATGCACCCACAGGATAGAGGCAAATGGCGAGCTGTGATCAGGGACCGAGAAGAACTGACATTAAACTGGATAGTGAGTAAGTAAGTTAGTGTGAGTGAGTCGTAGTAATTTTTACTTCAAACAACAAAACACTACTATGGCAAGATATAACTGTCATAATATGTAACATTGGCAAATTTTATTCAACAATACCACTTTTGTTTGATTTAGAAAATAGATGGCTATGCTTTACCAAACAAGTTACTACAGAAAAGTATAGTCCATTCAGGCTGAATGCTATAATCTGTCCTACTGAGTAGAAATTGCAATTGTGTCCTTACTTTCTGCAGAGCTTGTGGCTACATCTGACCAGCATGTGCATACAGTATACACAAAATACAGCCATCACAATCAGGCCCACTGGACCCACCTGGGGAAAAAAAATCTTTTAGAAACATGATTATGCCAACAAAAGTCACTAATATTTCCAGAAGACATTTGATTCATAAACTTTATGATAAACTGATGATCACAACAAATCAAAAATCTGAAAAACTTCATCCCTAGCTGGTTTAGATTATACAGGAATTATCAAATGACCCACAGATCATTTCTCTAACTGAAAACATGTTTTGATCATCTTAACTAAGATCTCTGATCCTCACAAATTAATCAACGAAAGGACTAAAATTCAATGTACTCACAACGACCCCCGCATTCTTCACTGCCACTGGTAGACTCAGTAGCCCTGTGCCAATGTTACCTTTCAGGAGATGCACTAATGCTTCAAAGTTGCTGCAGAGTATACAGAAATAGTTGAAGATTACATCTGAGTCTTCTTTATCTAGTCTAATATCACAGTGATACATGAAACAGATGTTACTGTCCTCCTAAAATGGCTTAAACCTAAGAAGCAGATTAAGGTTAAAGCGATCTAGTGATCAATATGCCCTAGAGACATGTCAGGTTTTTAACAATTTCTGTCTCAAAATAACCATGTACATTGCACTGCTTGTTCACTAGATGTGAGAAAAGTGCAACAATGAATGGTAAAGCAGCCTCTGCAAAAAATGTCAAAATCTCTGTGACTTTTTGTTTTTTTTTCAGTCACTTTAAAAGTAAATCATGTACATACGAGACAGAATTTGGGGTGAATGCTCTTGCTTCTGACAAGAGCTCCTTGTTGTGAGAGTTGGGTACTCGCACGTCTGTCTCTGGGTCTGTGTCTGAGCTGCCTATCAGTGGCTGACGCTCCTGGTTGACCGACGCTTGCACTGTCTTCACGGCGCTCATGTCGAACAGTTCTATTTCCTCGGTCTCGTCTTCTAAATCTGACTTGGAAACTGACAGCTGTGTCGGTGCTACGTCTTCTACTTCTTCTATGGCTGTAGAGTCTGCAATTGAAAATATACAAAATAAAAATCAACATGACTGTGTAGTAGTAGGCAAGCGCAACAGCTACCATACAGATAATGAATACACAATAAACAGTTAGATTGTCTCTTTTGGTGTAAACAAACATCTAAATTCCATTGAAGATAGCCTAGCCGTAGGCTTGTATTAGAAATCTCTACAGGAGCAAAATCACTTATGATTTTACAGAAGCAGGATGTACCCAAAACTGGCTCAAATTAATTCAGTTTTATTTGTAGGAATATACAAAATCTGACAGCTAGATATCTGACAGCTTAAGAGGTGCTTAAGGCTCAGCAACAAATGACAATGGTAAGACTAAGAGCAAGGCAAAATGGTTGTTTGCCCAATGGATCATTACAATGATCGTACACAGAATGCGACGGACACAGCAAACACTCGCAAAACACAAGAGTACATTTCCTTTGGTTCCATAACCATCCGTCACATGTATTCACTACTCAAGCTAATTTGACTGGGATACAAATTGCTCTCTCAGTAGAAGATTGCTTTCCAGAGCAAGATGGCTACAAGAAAGCTTAATACTACTGTAGAGTGGCTATATTCTGTATGTGTTATGACTACTATGATATGTACCTGCCATGACACCTTGTCACACCTGCATCTTACACAGATCCTACAGGTGAGGCGCCCTTCTGGCAGCAAATCCGGTGCACCGGAGAAACTCCATAGTGCCACATAGGCCGGGTAAAGTCCATTCAATCCATCTATGTACCGTATTGATTTTCCAGGCTGAACCATTACATTTACGGGGGAGTCACTGTGTACCTTTCTGGACTGGACCAATACGTGCACAACAGGGGAATCACTATGGAACCACATTTCTCTGAGTCTGTATTTACATTGCATCTTAGCCTTTAGTCAATACACAGTGCCAGATCACATCTGTTGACAAATAATGCTATTTACATGTTGGGTTACAAGGTCCTGCTTAAGGTTATACAAAAAGCCCCCTCAAAAAGAAATGGTTTGTCCTGAGTACATGTTGACTCTTCTGTTTGTTTCCCAGGTCATACATTTGTACTCTAGCTGAGATTCCATAGCATGACAAGGCACTGGCCCAAACAAACTCTAATAAGTGCGATATGAGAGCAATTGACGCCTGCAAAATTTGTGAATATGGTGGACCCAGCTTAATATTAAAGCCAGGTAAATAAATGTAGGAAACAAATGTACATTTGTACGAATGGAAGATCTGGTGGTAGGGTCAGGTCATTTTATAGTGTAAGCGCATTGACTTTTGGTCTATATATCCCGTGACCCAGACTAGAGCCTCACATGACCAATGTACAAAGTGCAGAATAATGCAAGATTATGTAATAAAACTGTTGGAAAGCAGACATCTGCACAAATAAATAGCTTCATCAGCTACAGATGATGGCAGACTTCAAACCCTTACCCATACTGCTTTGCATGCCTTCTAGTCCCACAGACAAAAATAGCAACACTAAGGAAATCAATGTATGTCAATGTTCCAATGTGCGTATATTTATATCACAGAAAAACAGACAGATAGAACTTATTACAATAACAAGGTTAGACACATACACAGACAACTTACAGATAAGCCAAAAAAACAAGACTTCACTCCCTTGGGGAAATAAAGATAATTTCCTGTTTTTCTAGCATCTTCCTGATTGACCACAAAAATCAGGGCAAATGATCTTTCAAATCATGTAATGTTATACATGTGTATATCATTTTGTGATGCACACAATACCAAACACATGACGTTAGATAATAATCCTTGGCAGTGGCACCAAGGACAGCCTGCATCTAAACATAGCTGATGTTTTTCTGGGCTGTTTTTATTTAGCCAATCAGCCAATCGACTTTCTAAAGAGCCTCTGTTTACATGAACCATACTTTGAAATCCATCAATAACAACAAAACGGAAGTACACAATCACACCAAGGAGGTTCAAAAAGGAACCTTTTCGAACCTCCTTGATCACACCGTCCAATTTTGGTAAACAATTAATGGTGGTCTACTGTAAGTAAAGGTAACGGGAGGGGTCCTAATTCCGACCTATGTTCCATGCAAACGCACATACCTTTGGTAATGGTTTGTCTCACCAAAAACCCGCCTAACACGAGCTATAATATTTACAGATAAAGATAACAACGATTAAAGCTAAATAGCTGACGTGTGTATTTCACTTTAGTGTGGCGCCTTGCACCCAAGCGTAATGGTTCGCGAAACTTACGGCAGGTTTTTCGTCATTCTGCCGGTGGAACGTTCTATCGCAAAAGGGGTGCCCTAATTCCGACCTAGTATCTAACAAAGGCCAATCTGAGGAGAGAGTTAGGTATCTAAAGTACACAAATTATGACTAAAACAATCTATAACTATTTTTCTGTCCCAAACAAGTCTTCTTTGTACCATTACGCTACTTGCTCCCAAGCGGCTGTTTCAAAATCAAGCTGCGTTTTTTAACACGCTCGTCAACCCCCGAACAAGAGTCGAATTTATACAGATTTTTCAATCATTTGTTATCGGAGCGTGCGAACTGGAACAAACTTTGTGAGAATACCGATATCAACACAGAAACTTTGTCCATTCTTGTGGTTATTTATAGGCACGTGCTCCCATGCATAGCGCGGCGACAAGGATTTTTCAAACTAGTACGGAATTAGGGGTAGGTCGGAATTAGGACACCCCCCGTTAAGTATTTGTCAACATCACTAAACCTTGAGATCTGAAAAAAATTATATTGATCATGATTTGATACTGTATTTGATACTGGAGTAACACACTCAGGGAAGTGCGATACGTGGTTTATTACTGGTTCCTCAAGTGTCGGATTACTCTAAATACGTGGCAGACATACTGGGAGAAGCTATAGTTGACAAACCCAAAACATTCTGGTCGTACATAAAAGGACTGAGGAAAGACCTTGTCGGGGTAGCACCCCTAAAGGTGGGAAATACCATCATCAGTGACAGTGGGAAAAAAGCAGAAGTACTCAGTTCACAGTTCAAAAGTGTTTTCACAGAGGAAGACACCACAGATATGCCATCTCTAGGCCAGCCCTGTACTCCTCCAATGGAACATATAGTAGTTTCTACTGATGGTGTCGAAAAAATGCTTCAAGGTCTCAATCCCTCTAAAGCATCCGGACCAGACCAAATACCACCTTGGTTCCTCAAGTTGACAGCTAGTGAAATCGCGCCTGTTCTAACCAATATTTTCCAACACTCGCTAAACACTGCAGAAATCCCTAAAGATTGGAGGGATGCAAATATATGCGCCATCTTTAAAAAAGGAGATAGAGCGGTCCCCAGCAACTACAGACCTGTTTCACTGACCTGCATATCCTGCAAACTACTTGAACATATTATCCATAGCCAAATCATGAAGCACCTAGAAAGTTACAGTATATTAACAGATTACCAGCATGGATTCAGAGCCAAACGATCCACAGAAACACAGCTTATACTAACAGTCCATGACATAGCATGCGCACTAAACAGTAAACGGCAGGTAGATTTAGCAATACTTGATTTCACTAAAGCCTTTGATAAAGTCCCCCATGGCAGGCTCATCTCAAAACTGGAGTATTATGGAATCCAAGGCCCTACGCTGAATTGGTTAAAGGCTTTCCTGACCAACAGGGAGCAAACAGTAGTGGTTGAAGGGAAGGCGTCGGCTCCAGTTAAAGTAGCGTCTGGGGTCCCTCAAGGAACCGTCCTGGGGCCATTGCTCTTTCTCTTGTATATAAATGACCTACCAGATCAGCTTGACTCAAATGTGAGGTTATTTGCCGATGACTGTCTATTGTATGTAGAGCTTTCTACACAGACCGACTCACAACTTCTCCAAAAAGACCTGAACACCCTGGAAGAATGGCAAAGCAAATGGCTCATGCAGTTTAATCCCGAAAAATGCTACATTATGCACATAACAAACAAACGAACACCACATGCAACTAGCTACCAGTTTTGTGGTCAGGCTTTAGCAACCACAAAAATCCATCCGTATCTGGGCGTCACGCTGACAAGCGGACTGAAGTGGGGTACACATGTTAATAATATCACAACTAAGGCGAAACAGACATTGGGAGTGATTAAACGTAATCTGTGGGCATGTCCAACTAGAGTAAAATCACTTGCATACACGTCACTTGTAAGACCGAACCTAGAATACGCTGCGACAGTATGGGATCCATATACAAAGAAAGACAAAGACAAATTGGAAAGGGTACAGAATCAAGCTGCAAGATTCTGTATGAACAACTATGTAAGAGGTGCTAGTGTCACGGAAATGAAAAGAAACCTACAGTGGACTTCACTGGAAGACAGAAGAAAGATGTCTAGACTATGCATGATGTACAAAATGACTAATAAACTGGTGGATGTCCCAACTACTAAGTACCTAATACCAGCCCAGAAGAGAACAAGAAATAGCCACGCATTCAAGTACCAGAGTTATCAACCAAGGATTGAGGTGTTCAAGAATTCATTCTTTCCTAGAACTATCGCAGAGTGGAACTCACTGTCACCAAGTACAGTAGGGGCATTGTCAATAGATAGCTTTAAACAATGTCTAGAGCTAGAACAAACCAGATTATTCCACACCAAACCCATTCCAGTACGTCTAGGTCTGTGGCAGAACAAAGTTTGCGGAATAAACAATCTCTAAAATCAGGTTATTAAATAAAAATATTGTCATAATCCTTCCAACATCCTTGGGGGAGGGGGGGTCTTGTGAAAAATTATGTCATTCATTAAGTTGTCTAAAAGTCGCAGTACGTTTATAGAAAACACACACACTAGACATACCTGTGGTTAGCGCCGTGTATTCACAGTCCATCCACTGGTATCAGGCCCGCTAAACCCGCTCCAAAAGGCCTCACGACGCGATCACGAGTCCGTGTGAACAAACAACTTCATAATTCTGGGCATGTCATGTCAGCTGATGAGGTCATTCTGACTCTACACTATGCAAGTGTCAATAAACCCGGAAATGGAGTGAACCATGTTATTACGGGGGTTCTTACTCTTTTTGATTAGAAAAAGAAGCGTATACATTGGTTTGTTTTGCCTTTAATCCATTTTTAAAACGTGATAAATAATTATTATAAATTTTTACATCAGATTTTTACATTTAATATTAAAATTGTTTGCTTTGTGATTTTTCTTTATTGTTAATACAAATTGGCTCACCCCCGTATCAAGTTGTCCTTTAGAAAGACCCACCATCATGGCGGACGAGCTGCCTACAGAATTTGATGCGATTGTTTTGGGCACTGGTAAGCCGTAGATTCTCGACTGTTTCTCCTATTTCTGTAAGCAAAAGAAGAAGAAACAGCGTAGAATTTGAAACACCACGTTGTATCACCGATTTCTCTTTAATTTTGAAAATATCACGAGAATGAAAATGATATGAAACGCCCCTGGCCCTGTCCCTTGCACTCAAATTCAAGTAGGTTTATGAAGGGGAACCTCCTTGATATTATATATGGTGGACGCCCCAAAAAGGGAAGTTAATTTTCCGTGTAGGGCCATAAAACATAGAAATTGCATGTTTTATAGGTATAATAACGTTAAAACGTTACTTTTCTATCGTGCTAGCCATATATCACATTTCAATCATTGCCAGAATTTGCATGTGATAATGATATTGTAATCAGATCTGAAACCTGTGTGTTAAAAGGTGTGATGAAGAACATTATAATGCCCTTGGTGTGATCAAGCTTTTTTAACCTCCTTGGTGTGATTGAGAATACAGTGTATATGTCTTTGAATGCTTTTGTATTTCTGATCAATTGTGTCTCCAGGGATGGCAGAGTCCATCCTGGCTGCTGCCCTGGCCCGCTGTGGACAGAAAGTGCTGCATTTAGACAGGTGAGTGGATCTTCATTGATTAACCATGTCAACCATTATGTTTGATTAACCAGTTAAGGGCTTTGATATACGAACAATCAGAATCAATGAAACTACTATAAAATGTCTTGCTATGTTTTTAATATGCATCTTTAATTTTATTTGTTCCCTTGCAGAAATGACTACTACAGCGGAGACTGGGCCACCTTCAACTGGGATGGTCTACAGCGGTGGATCACCAGACAGACAGTGGGTAAAATGGTTATGGACTCAAACACTGACCTTTACCCTATTATCCCTGCCTCCCTTGATATTTTATATAAAGACTGTTCATCATAATCAGGATCTTCAGGCTCTTTTGTTTCAGAAAGTCCAGGAGATGTGTTAACAAAAGAGTAATTTCTAAATTTATATTGTAGAGAAGTGTAGCGAGTACATTTGTACTCTAGCAGTTTTCATTGGAACTGCAGCTGTTCATTTGTTAGTTAGATGGTTATGAGGAGGAAGTGATGAAGCCTCCTCTCAATTTCTGTCAGTTTTCCTCTAATGGGTGGATATTGGGGTTCTTCTATAATTTTATTATTATATATTTTTCCAGCATCCAGTTGTTCAAGCGATGAATGAAGCAGAAGGGACCAAACCTGTGGAATGTTCCAAGTTGGAGGAGGGGGAGACAGCAATGTCAGTCCCTCAGCAGGCAAACACCATATCCAACTTAGAGATGTTTACTTATGTCAGGTAAGGGCAATATTCCCACAATTTGTCTCATAGAGGAGGAAAGTCATTGTATTGCAATGATGTAACGGTTAAGTCATCAGGGAGCAGTGGTTGACCATTGTAGACCATTGTAGCATTTTAAGACCAGCATATCAGGTTGTATTATGTGTTCTTTATTTCCACCTCTTTTAGAGAAAAGGCAGAAGAACTCCCACCTGTAGAGAAAGAATCACAAGAACAGTCGGAAACAGTGACTGACAAAGAAGAGGAACAGACAACCACAGAGGAAACCCAGCAGCAGATTCATACTACAGAAGATTCAGAACAACCCAAGGATGTGGGTGAGCAGTCAGGTGAAGCTGCAGCTGGATCTGTGACTGAAGAAACTGTAAGTGATGATAAAAGTGATGACAGGTGTGAAGAAGAAAAGCAAGACAGCCCAGAAGAAAAGGAACAAGAGAAGAAACAAGACAGCCCAGAGGCAGACAAGAAAGATAGGCAAGAAGAAGAGAAACATGACAGCCCAGCACCAGGTGGTAGTGGTGTACAGCAGGAAGAGGTACAAGTAAAAGCAGACCCTCCAAAGAAAGTAGAACCTAAGAAATGGACCATGGACGACATTCACAAGGAGTGGAGGAGGTTCAACATTGACCTCTCTCCTAAGGTCAGTTGGCTGTAGTTATTCATGCACAAATATTCAAATACATTTTGTACCTGAGCCGTTATTCCTGTGGTATCTCAGTTGTATGAAGACTATACATGTACTATCATTGCGCATAGCTTCATAACTTTAAAGGGGTGTCAAGGAGGTTAATTGAAACCTCCTTTGGTGAGGTGACTTAAAGGCTGTGATTTTTTATTCTCATAGCCACACTACTCCACAACAAACATAACCATTAAACTCGGCCTGAATTCCCTCATTCCTATTCAGGATTCTTGCCATACATTGATAACTTGGTTGTTTGTTGTTCCTCAGATGTTGTTTGGGCGCGGTTCCCTGGTGGAGCTGCTCATCACCTCCAACATCAGCCGGTACTGTGAGTTCAAGGCTGTCAGCAGGATCCTCACACTGCTGAATGGGAAACTGGAACAGGTGAGACTAAAGGGAAGCAGTAGATGTGTGATGGATGTTATTACAAAATGTACTTGTGATGATAAATTCATTCAGAAACTTGCCCAAGGTGACTGAGGTAAAGTGGTCTTCTTGGACATGCCTCCTTGGTGCATGTATGGAAAAATATTGGAGACTGGGAAAATATGGTTGTTATGGCTATGTGGCCAGCTTGAACTGAAGAGATGGCTTCTTGGGCAGGTGTGGCTTTACATGAAATGGTTGATCTGCTATCATCAGCTTGTGAAGTATCAGCACTTAAGTCTGATTGGCTGTCCCCAGGTACCATGTTCGAGGGCAGACGTGTTCAGCAGTAAGTTTGTGACGGTGCTGGAGAAACGGATGCTGATGAAGTTCCTCACGTTCTGTGTGGAGTATGAGCAACATTCGGAAGACTACCAGGGTAAGTACAGGAAGTACAAGTAAGGTTGCATCAGTCTAATTTGTTGGTCCTCAGATTTAAAAAGAAAAGCTGTACTGGAAATGGTCAAAGGAGTCTTTCTGTCCTTCTGGTGGCATTACAGCTGGCCAGCCATAGACCAACTTCTAAGAACATGTTTTGTCTGAAGTGTTGGGTATAACTGTTGGGTTTATCTGTGCTCCAGGCTGGGAGGAGAAGCCCTTCTCCGAGTACCTCCAGTCCAGACAGCTGACTCCAAACCTACAGCACTTCATCTTCCATGCCATCGCCATGGCAACAAGAGATGCCACAACTCTGGAGGTAATACAAACCTTAAGTTAATAACCTTGATGTGCAGATGTCCAACCAATTGCTTTTCTTACGTTTTTCCAAAAGGAAACATTTTTGACTGGAATATCTTCATACTCTTGAACATAGTACATTTGTAACATGCTGTACAGCAACAGGTTGGCATACTAGTATATAAGGGCCTGTAGTGATGAAGCCAACATGTTAATTTTTAATTTTGTAGATTTTTATGCATGTCCTGTTTCTCTTCAGGGTTTGAAGTCTACCCAGAGGTTTTTGCGGTCCCTTGGTCGCTATGGCAACACACCGTTCCTGTGGCCGCTGTACGGACCAGGGGAGCTGCCTCAGTGCTTCTGCAGGTCAACATTTTGAACCTTCAACCTTTGCCCCAATTGTTACCAATAGTTAATCTCCAACCAGATGTTGAAAGGAAAAGTAATTTTATTTCCAATGGATGGTGCCTTGTCAGAAAAACGGGAAAGCCAGAAAATGATAAATTGATCATCTTGACATCTGCTTCAAGATTCAATGCCTTAAAGTCTTATATTATATAAGTTATACTATATAACCTAAAATAGCATTTTCTTGTTGTACACCATTGGTTGTATGTTACTAGTAGTCAACCACTCTATACTGCTTCCCTACAGGATGTGTGCTGTGTTTGCTGGTATCTACTGTCTGCGCCGGGCTGCCAGGGAGTTGATCATAGACAAGGATAGTAACAAGTAAGAGCTGTTTATTGCTTCTCTGCTTCTTCAGTTTCAGTGAAAGATGTCTGTAGTTCCATAGAGAAACATGTGTGTTTCAATGTCATTTTACTTTTCTCTAGGTGTAAGGGAATAGTGTGTACAGAAGGACAGAGGATCAGCTGTAGGTGAGTTAACCACCATCAAATATATTTTGTATACCCTCACAAAGACTGAATTCAACATTCAATCGACTAGTAAGTTAAGAGCATGCCTTGGACAGCACATGCATTTTGGGTTGCGTTGAAAGAATATCTCTCAAGAAGAGATTAAACTTGATCCAGCACACAAAAATACTATTACTATACATGTATATTATAATGTCACCAATTTTTTTGCTTTGTCAATTACAAGCAGTGTTTGTTTACAGCTGGGGATTTTGTATCTTTCCAGATGGATGGTGATGCAAGGCACTTATGTGCCTCAGGTGTGCAGAAAACCTGAGTCTCCTGCAGGGTGAGTTACTAAAGTACAGTTCTTCATACAAACAGTTTGGCAGTATTGCCCATGATTTGTACCCATCGCTAGTTTAAAATTTTTAGGTTATTCAAAGTGTATCAAATAGATGTGCACACATTGATTTTGGCTTGTTTTGAGAAAAAATGTTGCCTATTTTGTGAATGCTGACTCTTGTTCCTCAGGTCTGTATCCAGAGGGATCTTCTTTACGGACAGGTCCATGAAGGCTTCGGAGAATGAACAGGTACTCAACACATCTGGGGGTTACATCATTTGTTCCAATGTAATTTGACAGGGTAACAGTATCTTTCACATACCCCCATGTAGATTAAAGACAATGCATATGCTGTGAGAATGGTATAATAGTAATGGGAGTAGATTTTTGTCAACTAGAAGGAGTTTTGGAGCAAATGTTTTGATAAACATTTGAAGGAAATGTATGTCAAGTTGATTGTCAACACTTGTGAAGTGTATTTCACGTGAATCTCCTTGTTCTTTTAGATCACCCTGCTATCTGTCCCACCAGCAGAAGGCAGTAACTTCCCAGTGAGAGCTGTGGAACTGGGGAACGGGGCATCAGCCTGTCCCAAGGGCATGTGTAAGTACATGTGACATGGGACTCTGCAAGGGTGTGTGTGTGTGTGCTTTACACGTCTGTATACATGTGTTTGTGGGAGTGTGTTGAGCTCGTACAGGCATGTACATGTATGTATGTGTGTGTGTGTAGAATGAAAATTGGTTGTCTAAATGAACCCTGTTTTTGTACAAGTCGGTAAACACATGTACATGACATTGTACTGCTTGTATCTCCCACAGTTGTTGTTCACCTGACAAGTCAAGGCACTGGTTCTGCCCAGGCTGAGCTACAACCTGCAGCTGAGCAGCTGTTTCAGCCTCTGGACAAAGGTAACTTTTTCTTCCTTCTTAAATTTTCTTTTTCTTCCTTCTCTCTTCTGTCAGGATTTGAGGGTTCGGTAGTCTGTATATATTAAGCTTTTTCATTATGTATATGTATATGTAAATCACTCATTATTTTATACTTGAGCCTATTGTATTTGTATGCTGTATCGGGACGAGGGCTGGTAAAGGTGTTACACCTGTTCCCCCGTCCCTTTCACTGTTGTGATGAATTTTAATAAATAAATAAATCTTCAAAGTCCAGGCCTGAAGCCAGATTTCAATTTGACACTTGGTTATCAATATTAGTAGGTAGTATCCACTTGAATTAAACCTTACTTGTATGTCAAACTTTTCACTTGTCAGACTTGTCAATCTAAAGCTTGCTGCTGAGGAAAGTTTTATTTAAGCACTGTGAGTAGGAAGTAAGTCACACTTTTGATGAAGATAACACTTCGATTTTTTTTGGTCCACACAGAAGATGCAGACACAGAGTCAGAGAAACCCAAGGTGCTGTGGTGTGTGTACTTTAACCAGCTGGACACCACAGACTGTGACCCCGGCACCCTCTACACAGGACTGCCTGAAAACATCGTAGTCACGTCTGGGCCAGGGGTGGACCTGGGGTACGAGCATGCAGTACAGCAGGTAGGACTGTGTTGTGTAACAACAGCTTTTTATGTATCTCTGTTTGAGCTATTTTGAATTCTTGTGTATAGAAGAACTGTATCGTTTATGAAAGTGTATATCATTAGAGAAAAATTTCAAAATGCAGCATACGTTTTATTTTAAAGTAAATTAAACTCTGCTCTGAGATAATGTGTTGTAGTTCAGTAAACCCTGTTACCTTCTTTGTTATGCTCTTGTCAGGGGTACCGATAAGCTGTTTATTATGTTAACCTCCAAGCAGATCCTAGGGTGACAAAAGACAGTATCAAATTGGCCAGGCAGTATCCATTCGCCAGAGAGGGTCCAATACGCCACCCAAAGGGGCCAATGGATACTGCCTGGCCAATTTGATACTGTCTTTTGCCACCCTAGGATCTGCTTGGAGATTATATATTAACATCCAAAAATGTTGAGTTTTCCCGCTTATTCCATTGCCTGTTCCTCCCCAGGCGAGGCGCCTGTTTGAGCAGATGTGTCCCGGGGAGGAGTTTCTGCCCGCGGCGCCCAACCCCGAGGACATCATATACGAGGACGACGACGGCTACAAGTCTGGCGAGGCACCCAGCAGCTCCGACAACTCCGAGGAGAACGGGAACGACAGCGAGTGGAAACCCGACCAGGAGAAGCTGGACGAGGGCGTCGCGGGCGCTGGCAGCGAAGTGTCACAGGAGGCAGCGGGAGGGGAAGCCGAGGGTGGGGACAAGGGGCTGCCCCAGGGAGGGGGCGAGGATGCCCCACAGGGTGGGGATGAGGGGCTACCTCAGGGAGGGGGCGAGGATGCCCCACAGGGTGGGCATGAGGGGCTACCCCAGGGAGGGGGCGAGGATGCCCCACAGGGTGGGGAAGGTGATACACAGGCGACACCAAAGGATACAGAGGAGCAGGCTGAAACGTAAGATAGTATTAGTAAGGACAATAGCTGTTGAGGTGAACTACCGTAGTTCATCTATTATGTGATGGGCAAAGAATTGGCAATCTGATGGAGTTCCTTTATAAAAAGGCATGATTGAAATGAAAAGGGGTTTGAAGTCCAAAAATCAAACTTAATTCCTTCTCCTATGCAGGATGGCACTTCGAAATTCTTGCACTATTAGTATTAAACAATACAAACAATGCAATACCGTACAGTAGTCTGTACTCCTTTCCATGTAGCATCTAACCAGTAGTGAGATATTATTGTAGACTTGCCAAACAGGTCAGTATACCTGGTGAATAGGACTAGATTAATATTTATCTCACCACAACTTGTTTGATTACTTATCAAGATATGTCATCTTGTATCATTTAGATGCTGTAATTTTTGCTGTAAATGTTACTTGTACATGTTATTTCCTTATCAAACATACGCTGTGAAAGCTAAAATGCAACAGAAGATTCGCTACATTTTAGGTCTACAATTTCAAAACTCTTAATTGCTCACACAAACATTCCCACTGCAGGACTTTTGCTAAGTCACTGAAAATTTTCTAAAAAGTTAGATGTGAGAAACTGCTGTTTACCAAATGTTAGGCTTTAAGTTAGGTCAGCAGTTTGGGAAGATGAAGTTTTCTTACAAATTTAAGTCACAAAACTCTCATCATGTTATCTAGAATATATCTATACAGAGGAGTTTTAAAATTTAAGGTTGTAATGTATTTGATGTCATTGTAATTACCAATGATAGCAAAACTTGAGTTGTAGAAGACTGATGTTAGCATGTTAGAATTATGCACCAAGACTATCATCTATTAAATACCATCACGATTCATATTAGTATGTCAGTCTCTAAATCTCGCCTTTTGAAATACATGTTGAAGAAAAACAGACACAGAATTTTACACATAACACATTTATTGGCTGCTTGGTGCAGGAGACATGACAGATTTTTTACAGAGCCATTTAAGAGATGTTTAATGCTACCTTAACTCATTACTGCCTTGTGTTTCAACCAACCAGATGTAAGGGTTTGTCAAATTTGTCCCTTTGTTGCACATATGAAAAGCTGTTATGTTTTGTTATGGAGCAGCATCTGACTGTTTAATCAGTATAATAAGAGACTGCTGGCCAAGCTGGGCACTGGCAGGGTTATTTGTATCTTGCTATGAACAGCAAATATACAGTTTACATAGGGCTATTGGCATAGTATGTTCCCTCCCATGTCACACTGGTGAGCGTATATGATCTGTAGTGTATATACATCCTAAGTTTATCATAAATCTTTTTGTTTATTCGCAACGTCATCCTTTTGAATTTATTCCTAGATTATGCTACAGTCTACAGCTATCATTGCAGATCACATGGAGACGTGCAGACCACTACGAACACTGCCACGGCATGCTCCAATGTTACACATTTACATCTCTTTATTTCTTCCTACTACCTTTTTGTTTTACCTACACTATTTCTTCACAATATTTTCCTGACATCAAGTCTAAATCCAACTTACTACCTTGGCATTACCTCACAGATTTAAGGGAAACAATATATCGTACCCAAGAAGTTTGCGTCTGCTTTACAACGAAGGTTACAACGAAGTCAAACCAATGTTGTTTGCAAACACCAAACTCCTGAGGTAACCACTGATCTACCCCACCAAATATTATATACTATATCCACGATAAATACATCTGTGACATTGATCAATCTGTTTCCTTTTGGAGACTCGGAATTACCCTTTTCATCAGGACAAAAACATTTTCTTCATGATAACTACTCCTTCCTGGCTCCTGTACACAAAGAACAAGTTTTTCACAGATACATTATGTACTTAAAATAATAATTAATTCACCCACCTCAAGTTTCGTGCAGCTTTGACTTCACTAATACCTGTTTTACAGATTCACCTTCAGTACAAAACGAAAAATTCATACCACTGTTTACAATGCTTCACTCTATCTACTGTAGCCTATGATATTAGGCTTCATAAGAGAACTGGGATCACTAGGATATAGAGTCAGAGGCCAACATCTTGTAGACAATGGGTGGCCAACTGGGCTTGACTTCTAAGATTTGAGTGGACTTCAACTTGACTGTTCAACTGTTTATTTGTGCATCATGTAAGAATTGAGGAAGACTTGTATTCAAGCGGCTAAAAGTTTGGAATGCTACCTACAGCAAATATCATACATCTTCCTACTCTCCTATTGTTTTCAAGGGGAACTATGGGTCCTACTCTGAAGCAGGATTTTAATTGTAATTTCCAACACAAGGAAATGAATTAAAATCCTGCTTTAGAATGACTTCTGCTCACACATGTTTGGGTTATCATATTTTCTCCACAGTGGACTAGCAGCTTTAGAGAAGAGGGTCGAGTGGAATGTTCTCAAAACTTGCATAAGATCCAAATGGTAGATAAGTATTTGTTATATTTCATCTACTACAACTGAAGTCCTGCTTTCATACTTTGCTCTGATCTCTGATATGATTTTCTTTCTTTAATTCAGCAAAATTCAAGTCATAACCTGATTAATACATGAATATATGATTTTCATTTTATCCCCACCTGATTGCTTCCAAAAATAGCAGTTAAGTTCAATGAAACAAGTAAGCTGTTTTTGGACCCCGATTTTGTTAATTTATCTGTTTGTCTGCTTGAACTCAAGCTGTCAGTTGGCCCACCCATTGCCCTGCCTAGTCCAGGTCTGAGTTAAGTAGAGGTTGGCAGAGTTCCCCGGGACTGTCAGGGAAGCGTTTACGACTTCTTGGTGGAGAGAATGAGAGCCACGATCAGCCCATACAGACCCAGCACCTCCGCGAAGATCAAGATCAGGATCATACCTGCAAAAACACAGCGGTTCAAACATCAATATATCTGGATAAAACAGAAGCTAATAAATAACAGCATCTCTTAAACAAGAGAGGGGAAACATTTGTAACACAGTGTGCCTTTTACAGCTTCATATGAAGAAGCAAAGCTATTCCAACTGTCCTGCATTCTAAAGGCTAAAATCACGAAAGTTTTTACTTGAATGGCTCATGTATGTTGACATGATCTGGCCTTCATAATGTTGCTTTTATGTGTAACCCACCACACCGTGAACTTACCGACAAATAGCCGAGGCTGTTGGGCGGTTCCTCGCACGCCTGCATCACCCACGATCCCCACGGCAAACCCTGCAGCTAGTCCGCTCAAGCCCACGCTCAACCCTGCTCCCAGGTGTAGGAAGCTCCTGCAAACAGGGGAACAATACATGTACAGTGTAAGCAATACGGAAAATACACCTTAAGTACATGTAAACAACAAGAAGAAAACTGACTGGACAACATGACAAGATTAATGCACTACAGATAATTATTGGGATGAAACAAAACATGTTTATGCAATACACTTGCAGACTATGCAAGACTGCATGTTTCCAAATTGAAGATCTAGTATACGTATACTAGATTCTATGACTAAGAGAACAACCATGAATGAATTCAATTCAGATACACATAATACAGCCACTGTTCATTTATATCATATATATATAACGTATACATGAGGTAAAGCTGAGGCCTCAATAGTATGAGTACTCAATTGTGCGACCAAGTGTACCACATTTGGTATTCTGCTCCAGTACCGAGGCTGTACCCTTTATGAATTGATTAATGAATGGGCATGTCATTCCCAGAGGATAACCGTCCTGAATGATATCCTTTATGTTAATCACCACTTTTCATCACAGCATGCCTTTCATCTAACCTTCAAACAAGTCATCATCACTGAGCAAAGCAAATTCCACTTCCAAGAAGACACTCTTGTAGACAACATAGAAATTGCATGGCTGGAATGTAAACTATACTTATGGATATGTGTATTTATGAATAAGCAGTCCCTCTTTCTAATGGTATACTTATTCAGAAAATACCATGACCAATGTGCTCTTGTTGGTGATATAATGGAAAGGTTGCAACCTGAAAAATTACTGCTGCAGTTTCCCTTTCTAACTTAAAACAAGAATTTGCAGTGAGGAATGAACAAAGTTAAAGCTAACAGCCAGAGATCTATCCAATCCATTATGATGAGCCTCTGTACATTAGCTATTGATTAAGACATTTGCACCATTGCCATGACGTCAAGACAATTTGTCATAGATTCAATTTGCACTCTAGGATAAATAGTGTTCCCTCAAAAACATGCTCTTTTATGGACATACTTGGCACATCCAGCAGCAGCTGCTCTAAAAGATAATCAGATTTAATGATTCCCAAGTCTTTCCATATTTGAAGTGATCTTTGTTGGTAGTATAGTGTTGACAACGTATGACTATCTTCACATGCATGTTGTACAGGCACCCATACCGTCTATGCTCCAGCCATCACATCACTAACCACCAAATTAGCATGTATCTTAAGCTCATTACATTTTCCCATTTCCCAACCTCAGCAAATCTAATTTGACCACTGTTTAGTATCGTTTACATACATGATCCTTGTGGGGTTGTGTTGTGTGGCATAACGGCAGTGCATTCAGCTCAGAATTAAGGGATCCTGGGTTCGAATCTTGCCAAGTCACCAACCTTGTGCCCTTGGTAAAGGCACTTTATACGACCTTCCTCACTTCGCTCAGGTGAAAATAAGTATGCCAGAATGATGGGCATTAAAGGAAAATCAAATCAGACCAAACCACAGCACACCTGTATGTTGTGTAAGCGTCCGTGTTGTCCATGTTGCTGCCGATGAGAACAGCGACCACCAGCCCGTAGATGGCGATGATACCCGCCATGACCACAGGAATGATGGACTTCATGATGAGCTCTGGCCGCATCACACTCATGGCCGCGATGCCCATTCCACTCTTGGCCGTACCGTAGGCGGCACCGAATGCTGTAGTATGGGTCAACATGTAACAATAGATGAGTTTTTACATCTGTATAATACTATTTGTATCTGTATCAATGATGATCTGGCCTCACATGGTCTGAAAGCCAACCTTGTGTCCATTTCTACCAGGTAGTTTGTTTTCACCAGTGGCTAGCTACAACAGCAACCAACTTTTCATAGTGTGATACCTGCACATTTGTAGTACTGTAATTAGTGTAAACCTATTAGATAAACTGGCACCTATAATTCTTGCTGATATTATCAGATAAAAAAAGCCACATTTTACATAATTCATTCTATAAGCATCTTTAACCTACTGTTGCAGGACAGGGCTCAGTTTCATATGTCATGCATTTTAAACAGTTACATCCTTGATTCTTTCTCATAAGATGTTGGGGGTAGAAAATTGCAGTTATCCTTGATTCTTTCTCATAAGATGTTGGGGGTAGAAAATTGCAGTTATACTTAATACAATATATTTTTTAACCCCATAGCTAAATTGTCCATAAAACTTAAAGGTCATGAAAAAACTCAATCACAGAGGTTTTTGATCAATGAGGCTAAGTAATTGATTCAGTTAAAAAATCGAGCCAAGCATTATCAATCAAAAACCTTGATTTTTGAAAGTTGATATCAATCAAAAACCATTGATAACTTGTTAAGTTGTTATCTTCTTTAGCATTTCACTTTTTCACGGTTTTGTTTATGAGCCATTCCCTTCCCTGCCTTGTCACTGTTTACTTATTGACACAGTAGCACATGACCAATGCCTCTTATGGCAAGGTGTCAAGAAGCATGTGATTATTTTGTAATCCGATATACAAATGTGTCCACCTAATCACCTAGTCAGATACACAAGTGAAAATTTGGACATCTTGTCCTAAATTTGCAAAATGCTGTATCACATTTGCTTCAATCCACTCAGTAGATCTATTTACGATAGTGCAAAATATTGATGTTAATAATGTGTGGATCAAAAAAGCTTTCAATAGTTTAAACGAAATTCGGTCAACAATATATAATTTGTAATCCCGTATCCCCCCGTTTTCCCATTCCTGTTTCACAAAACTAATACTTTCAACTACCAAAGATCTTTCAATATCCTGTAACAAATTATACATAAGTCGTCAATGTAACAGAAATATTAAAATGATACTCTATCTATGTAATTGTATTATGTGCTAGGAATACATTGTATGTTTTGAAAAAGCCGTTTTCTACATTGTTCAACAAATAAAATCAGAAAGAATCATGATCTTTGACATTTGCTCCGACCTCTCTATTTCTGACACCTTATAAATTCCCAAGGACACCTGAACAGATGGGATATCCCTTGATACCCAAAGCACGACCTGGGTGTTGCATAATTTATCCCATTCAGAGAATGGATTTAAAAAAATTGAAATACGTGCAGAATAAACAAGAATTTCATTGCTGTAGATGGTGGAATGGATGAAGCTATCCTTTGTAACAGGCGAAAATGCATGGATGCTTAGTAGTCTACCTGGCCCGTGGCATCCGCCCATATCCGTGATTAATTTTGGGATACCTTAATTTTTTACAAAATCGGTTCTAAACGCACCGAACAGCTTTGTAGACGTACTAAACATGTCAATTTTCCCTACAAGCAAATTTAGCTCTAAGAGGCATAAAATTTCCGTCATAAAATGACCTAAAACCATGATCCGTTTCTTTCATGTGGTTTACCGGCTAGGCCCAACCCCGGCCACCATGTCCATGCGATTTTGTTCATGCGATCATCGTCACCAAATGAACTGAGGAAAAATCACCCTTACCGCTGAAAACGATGGCTGAGGTGGCTCCCATCACGCCAAAGAAGTGCACGTACTCTGGTGGGCTGTCGGACGACATTGTGATGAATTTGTTCGGTGTTTTTGGCTGAGAAAATCGGCGGAACCTCGGACACCTTTCGGGCGCTGTCAGACAAGATGGAGGAAAGATGGCGGTCATGTGATACTAGCGTAAGGTACTGACGTCATTTACTGAGCGAAAAACAGCAAATTTACGTCGGAAACAAATTATTTACCCCAAAAAGCAAAATTTTTTATCCAGTTTACTGTAACTGTGATATTTTGCGACAGAAATAGCGTATATGTTTTAAAAAGTTGAAAGATCGGCTAGGGGTCAATGATGTGTCAAAGGTTAGAGGTTGCATCTCGCACATGTGAGAAATGATCAGATCAGCGTGATCGATGCCATTTTCCGATGTTCAAAAGTATGATAAGCTGATAACATTGTTTTCCCAGATTTGTCCCAACTGTTCTCTGTAAGTAAAAGTACGTTCCCATCATGAAGTTTTCGTACAAGGTGAGTTTGAACGTTCCAAGTTGTATTGCTTTGTTAGGACTTGCTCAACTGTAATTAAAATTTAACTCAAAATTTAAAGTACTTAATAATTTTCTTGTAAGAGCCTGTTTACAGCACTGGTGAAAAGATACTGGAATTCTAGAAAGTCATTTTGATTTAACTTTCAACTTGTAACGTTAACTTAATATGCAAGTGTGTAACTACATTCACCTAATTATGATTTATCCAATTATAAAAAAACTTTCATCCGTTGAATAATTCTAGATAAGAAGATTAACATTGTTTTGTTAGTTCTCCAACCTACTGGGTTCGGTGTACCGGAGAGGGAACGTGAGTTTCACTCCTGATGGCAACTCCATCATCAGTCCTGTGGGACACAGGGTCAGCGTCTTTGACCTTAAAAAGTAAGTCAGGAAATTATGGTCAGCCATATTGAAATATGATGCATTAATCCTTAAAAAGCCAGATCCTATTGTATGATCTTACAACTAAGGAGGTTCACAAGTGAGTAGTTTTACATGTATAATTACCTACCTACCTACCGCTCCACCGCATATCAGCTACTGCTGAGGCGGGCCATCATTGATTTCCATCTTCCTCTATCTTGCGCTGCTCGTTGCGCCCCCTCCCACTCACAACCCATCACTGCAAGGTCTCTTTCCACTGTTTTTCTCCACGTCATACTCTGACATGTATAATTAAAGCATTGTCGAAAGTGTCTTGTTTAATTCTTGGGGACTTTGACACTGGGGATGTGCAGACTATTACTAGTATTCAGACCTCCTTTAAAATATATAATAACATCAACAGTCAACACTCAATTCTCACGATGAAATTTCAGCTTGATAATGTTATTGAATTAAGAGGATATATTGTTTCCTTGCAGTAACAAGTCGGAGACACTGCCGGTGGAGGCACAGATGAACATTGTGTGTGTTGCACAGTCTCCTGATGGAAGCACTGCCATTCTGGTAGATGAAGGTGAGTGCTACAACTAATTATAATGGATAGGACCAGTTTGGCAGCAAATGTTGTGTTTGATTGTGTTACCAATACAGGAAAAAAGCTCCATTTATAGAGGCTATTCAAATCTTGTATTTTTCTTGTGTTTTGTATTTTGAAAATCTACATTTAAGATACATGAAAATGTATTTTTCATGTATTAAGTATCTTAAATGAGTGACAATGCTTTGAAACTGTTATGGTGAATTGATAGGTACATATATCTTGTGTTTTATGATGTTTTGTGTATCCTCTCATGACTTACAGCTGGAGCAGCACTCCTGGTGAGCCTTGTGAGTAAGTCTGTCCTGCATCACTATCACTTCCACAAACCTGTACACACTGTCAAGTTCAGTCCTGATGGAAGGTGGGTAGTTTTCTCTTCAGGTTTGTCTTAAGAATTATGATACCTACTTTGTTTTAGACAAGATGAAGATGTATTTAAAGTTAAAACTTTTGTTCCATGACAAGTGTGTTTTAAACATGTAACTACCAAGACAGAAAAGGAAAGAACGGTGCTGCACTTCAGCCTTCACTTGTGTGATCTGCAACAAGCCCTGCAGAAGCAGGGCTGGGTTAGCTGCACACTGCCGGGCCCACAAACTGTGAACTGATCGTCCGACAGGATGTAAAGGACTATGATGATGATGACCAACACAGATGAGCTTTCATGACAGTGTATATGAAGACCTTAACCCCTGCCTTAAGTATCACTTAGAGATTTGTCTTTATCATTATCAGGCACTTAAATAATGATAATGTAAATCTTTGTTGACAGGAAGTTTGCTGTGACCCGTGAGAACCACACGCTGGTGTATCATGCGCCCGGGAAGACACATGACTTCAACCCTTTCCGTCTGTACCGGAGTTACCACGGACCTTACGATGATGCCACCTGCATCGACTGGACAGACGACTCCAGGTATTGCACCATATAGGCAGATTGTACAGTAATCTGTGTCTGTATCTGTAACAGAATAGCCGGTATAACCACCCTTAAGCATAACACACCAGCTAATGGATACAACATATAGAAATACACTGAAGATAAGATGACATACTAACATACAGATTTCTGAAATATGTACAAACTATCAGATCTAGAGCTAATCAGCCACTGGATGATAGTATTTTTTTTAAGTATTGAAGGGTCTGTTCAACAGAATGCTCTCTAAGGAATAATTGTGTCATACTTATTGTCTAACTCTGCTAGTGCCACTGCCAGTAGTGGTTTTGTGGCCATAGAGAAATTTTAAAGAGAATTGTTGCACGGACTGACGAACATGTGTGCTTTTCACTTGTGAACAGAGCCTTTGCAGTGGGCAGTAAGGACATGAACACACGTGTGCATGCTGCGACAGCCCTACAGAACCTGGCCGTCTACAGCTTTGGGGGACACAAGGATGCTATTGTGGGCTGCTTCTTCGAGCACAAGTCTTTGGATGTATCCTTAATGACTCAATAACTGCCACTGTGTTGATTTCATTGATAATCTAGCCATTTTACTAGAAAAGATACTATAATCTTTTGAGTCCAGATTGCAGAAATCTTAAGTATACTGTACAGAATCTTTTATGTAGTGGAAGGATGCATACTCTTTCTGTTGACGCATTAATTACCTTCTTGGATACCAGTGACCCTTGACCTTCCCTTCAGTTGTACACAATCAGTCGGGATGGAACCTTGGTGATCTGGGAATGTGACACTGACCTGGATGGTCTTGTTCCCGGGTCAGCACGACCAAAAAAGGAGAAGGAAGTGGAAGAAAAGGTCAAAGGTGACTCTGAAGGTCAGATACATGTACCCTTAACCTTTGACATTCCTGAATGGCAAAATTACTCATGAAATTTGTAAGATTTCCACTTCAATGAAACAATCTGTTTTTTTTGTTCCATGAATTTATAGAAAGTGAGGAAGAGGAGGACAAAGACAAGCAAGAGAAGATTCTATACAAGAAAGTTTCAAAGTAAGTAAATAACCTGGATCATTTGAAACACTGTTGTATTTTAAGAAGTTGAAGTACAATGCCTTCTTTATACTAATAATACTAATGTTCTTTTGACTTTCAGGCATTACTTTAACAAGGAAGGTGACTTCAACACCCTGACGTCATGTGACTACCACAAGCGGACCCACTTCCTGGTGACAGGATTTGCGTCAGGAATCTTCCACCTGCACGAGCTACCTGACTTCAACCTCATCCACTCCCTCAGGTGTGGTATTGTCAATCAGGTGTAATTATGTAAACAGGTGCCTCTTCCATTGCACAATAAAATTCATTGTCATCAAGTAGCCTGGTTACCAAACCTGCATGTATTTTAGCTCCTGAGTTCTACATCCTCTCCGGAAAATTAATAGGAGTGGATGTAGGACTTGGGAGCTATAATAGGTTTGGTAATCAGGCTCGTCACCAAGTACAGTAGGAGCTGCTTAATTTTTGGCATAGCCCCAAGAGCAAAGTGGACATCACAAAAATAAGTGTCACTACCTACATGTAGATATGCAATATAGATGCAGATACTTATAGGTATGCAGACACTGAAAGAGGAGGATTCGTGTCAATTACATTGTTTGTATTATCTTATTATGACACACTCCGTGCTGTCCCTCCAGCATTTCTGACCAGAGAATAGCATCCGTGTCCTTCAACTCCGCCGGGGACTGGATTGCGCTGGCCTGTTCCGGTTTGGGCCAGCTGCTTGTCTGGGAGTGGCAGAGCGAATCGTACGTCCTGAAGCAACAGGGACACTTCAACAACATGTCATCATTAGCATATTCACCAGACGGGCAGTACATCGTCACAGGAGGGGAGGATGGGAAGGTAACCCTTGAACTTTTCATTATAGTATGATTTAGCCTGAAGCAAAAATGATTCAGCATTATGACATCCAAGAAGTCAATATGCTTCCCTCTTAAAGGCTACAAAGGTCAACTACGTGGTATACCTACTTGCCTACCTTGTCCCTTGACCTCCTGGTCGTTGGGGGGACAAGGCAGAAGCGAGGTATTCCAACTACAAGAGGCTAAGAGTAAGACCATTGCCATCCTTTGTGCTGTCATTCCTTCCTAAGCACTGAAACATGGATTGTGTTAAATCCTATGTTAGGTGAAAGTTTGGAACACAGGAAGTGGTTTCTGCTTCGTGACCTTCACGGAACACACGGCGGCCATTGTTGGAACCATTTTCACCTCCAACAGACACGTCGTGATCAGTGCTTCCCTGGACGGCACGGCGAGGGCATTCGACCTGCACAGGTAGAGTAGAACACCTGACAGGTGTTGCTTCTTGGATTTGAAAAAAAGTATATGCTGAGCAAAAACCACAACAATATGAAAACAGAGTCTGAGGGAAAAGTCTGTAACTTTGTGCATGCAGTTTCATAAAGGGAGTATAGTCAGATTCAAAACTCTTCCCTCCACCCCTCTTTTCACACACCCCATTTCAAGTGTTGTCCTCTTATTAGATGTATTTGAGATGTTTCTTAAGGTCTTTCCCTAATTATCCCCCAGGTACCGTAATTTCCGTACCTTCACGTCACCGCGGCCTGCCCAGTTCTCGTGTTTGGCTGTGGACCACAGTGGGGATCTGGTGTGCTGCGGGGCTCAGGACATGTTTGAGATCTTTGTGTGGTCCATGCAGACTGGCAGACTGCTGGAGGTTGGGGATATAATCTGTTCTTCTTGGCAAATTACTAGTAGCAGTCCCCTTTATTCTGAAAGTCTGGTTCTAACAAAGCTCATTCATTTAGACATGAAAACTGAAGAAATATTCTACAAAATAGCGGATTATCAATACGTGGATAGCTCATGGTTCATTTACTTTCTTGATACTGTTTAGTGTCGGGTTATCATTGTATGCATTTCCATGACATTTCTTTACACATAACACACATGCATTCGTTTTGATTCCTTTTTTTAAAGGAGCTACAATATATCTAAGGATTTAATGAAATAAACTATATTTTTTGTTATTGTAGGTTCTTGCTGGCCATGAAGGTCCCGTTGCCAGCCTCAGTTTCAGTCCGGCAGACGCCATTTTGGCTAGTGCATCCTGGGACAAGACAGTGAGGGTCTGGGACATCTTTGAGCACAAAGGGTGTCGGGAGACTCTGCAACTGGGGTCAGATGGTATGTTATAGATGAGTAGGAAGACCTAATTGTATAACAATAAGAACAGAGGTTTTTGCAGTATATACAGTTTCATTCACTGATGGCAATTTTCCTACCTTTTTTCAACAAGTATAACAAAGGGACTGAATGTGGGTCATATGTCATCAATGTCATAAGAAGGGTGCTCACTTTTTGGGAAGACACCAGAAATACTGGTACAGAATCTCAAATTTTTAAGTCAAAATATCTCTGTATGTTCTTCAGCCCTGGCTGTTACATTCCGTCCTGACGGAAAAGAAGTTGCCATAGCGATGCTGAGTGGAGAGATCCAGTTCTGGGACCCTCACAACGCCAACCAGACTGGCAGCATCGAAGGTCGGCATGACCTTGGGGCAGGGAGGAAGGAAACGGACAAGATCACTGCCAAGACATCTGCTGCCGGGAAGTGAGTTTGTGGCACAGTTTGTGGAAATTAAGTTGATTTTCTTCATCATCATCGTCACCGTTCCCATCTGTCGATGATGCAGGCCACCACTGCTTTTCACTCTTTTCAGTCCAACGCTTGCCTTGTTGATTTTATTGGTGACATCTAAATAATTCAGCATTATCTGCATTAGAAAGGTAAACCTAAAGGTAGTCCCATATCCTTTTTGAATACATATGGGCAGGGGTTGTTAATCCACTGTGGCTAGGGCAGGGTATTGGAAGGCCTTTTACCTCCCCAACCAAAGTCAGGTACCCATTTTACACCTGGGTGGATTGAGGAAAGTCTTTAAAGTGCCTTTCCAAAGGACACAATGTCCAGCCAGGAATGCAACGAGTGGAACCCGTGATCTCTCAATATCATGTCTGGTCATCTAACCTCTCAAAGTCATGTGCAACAAATTAAGAATACTAGTATAACAAACTGCCTCTTGCTTCTAGGGCCTTCTCCACCCTGTGCTACACAGCGGATGGGACCTGTATCCTGGCAGGAGGGAGGAGTAAGAACATCTGTATCTACCACGTCGCTGAACAGCTGCTCATCAAAAAGTTTGAGATCTCCTGTAATCTCAGCTTTGATGCAATGGAGGTGGGCTGACCCTCAGACATTTGTATATAATATTATAAAGTTTGGTAGAACAGTCTCATTCAGTGTCTACCTTATCCCATTGATAATGACAAGCAATACATAGCTTGAAAGCTGTTACGTTATTGGTATACTAATATATGTAGCTGTTTCTTCAAGAATACCGGTATACCAGTACGGAACATTTTGTATAATATCAGGTACTTGACAGGATAGGCTGATGTTTTGGCCCCAATTTTTAGTTTTTGTCTGTCCCATTATTCAACACTTGAGCTTGAATGATTGTTCTGTTTTCCTGTTAGGAATACTTGGACAGGAGAAAGATGACAGAGTGGGGCAGCCTGGCATTGGTGGATGAAGGACAGGAGGAGGGGGAGGGGGGCACAGCCATCAGCCTACCTGGGGTCAGGAAAGGTCAGTTAGGAACTACCCTTTTCTTTACCTCTGTCAAGGAAGGCATGTTTTGGAAGTGTTTTTTGTTTGAATGAATGATTTTGGAAAGGTAGAAGGTACTAGGAACTGCCTTGTTTCTTATGGGTAAAAGTCACGTGTCTACAGCACTTGGGTCAGAAAGCTGATGAAGACCAAGTGATTGGGTCAAAAATTCCTGGTGAGTCATTTTTCTTGAGTTGGGGAACTCTCATAATGCCTTGTTTGTTGTCTTACTACAGGTGACATGGCATCTCGGCACTGGAAGCCTGAGGTCAGGGTATCATGTGTGCAGTTTTCTCCTACAGGTACTGCAGACATTTCATTCAACACTAAAAATCATTTTAACATTGAAGATCATTTCAATTGATTGACATAGTTTTTGCTTAATCTATTTCAGGCACATAATCATTGTTTTCCTAATCTTTCCCCAAGGTCGTGCCTTTGCCACCACGACCACAGAGGGCCTCATGGTCTACTCCCTGGACAACAGTTTGACTTTTGATCCATTTGACCTTGACATGGACATCACCCCGGCAACCATCAGGAGGATGCTGGGAAGGAAAGAATACGCCACAGCGCTGATGATGTCATTCCGACTGAACGAGGGAGCTTTGATACAAGAGGTGGTAGAGACCATTCCACACACAGAAGGTAGGGACAGTTTGATTTTGTACATGGATGCCCAATCAGTCAAAGGTAATTTCTAGGGGCTGTCCTTCCAACCATTGGGCCATCGCGAGCAGAAACAACTTTTACAGGCTCTCGTTCTTCCCCTGCACCATCAGGGAATGGAACGAACTTGAGCCTGGTGCGGCGGAGGCGGGGTCTCTCGCCCAGTTCAAATCTGAACTGGCGAGGACCCTGCTGCATTGAGCCACCCCATCATGTCTTGTATATATGTAAATATTACTAACGCACTAATGCACTTGTCCCGTCTTTAGCACACACAAAATCAGTTGTCTTATGTTCCTTTCTCAGTTATCCTTGTTTTTCCCTTTGTTTTTTATGTACCGGGCACAATTGTTACTAACAATGCGTAACGACTGCCAATAATACTACTCTGTAGGGCTGGGCAGTAACGAAGAAGAAGTTATCCTCAAGACAACTAGATTCATCTGAGTCTACTTCTGTGTGTTGAAACAACTTCAACCTTTACCATAAGGTTTTGGCCATCACACACTATGTTCTTAGTGGGTTTAGAAAGTGGCTGTCCTTCAATTACCCAGTACTAAATGTTGGCCTGTTCTCTTCCACAGTTTCCCACGTGAGCCAGACATTACCAGACACCTATGTTGATCGAATGCTGCTGTTTGTGGCCAGTCAGCTGGAGACTTCACGACATCTGGAGTTCTACCTCACCTGGTGCCAGACACTACTGATGTTACATGGACAAAGGCTGAAGAACAGGTGTGTGTGCATGTACATGTTGTGCACGTTTGCCTCTTGTCAATTGGAACTTTCTGGGATTTGGAGATCTACATAGCCAAGTGTCAGACATTGCTGATGCTATACAGACAAGCTGAAACACTATCCCTGTCCCTGAAAATACCATCCCTGTCCTTGGTATGGTGTTTTCAGTACCAAGGACAGGGATGGTATTTTCAGTACCAGGGACAGGAATGGTGTTTTCAGTACCAGGGACAGTGTTTTCAGTATCATGGACAGCGATGGTGTTTTCAGTACCAGGGACAAGAGTGATGTTTTTAGTACCAGCAACTTCAAGTGTGTGTGTGAGACACACATGTATACTCCAACAATACTCCTCCATTTTTCTACAGATCCATGTCAGTGTTGGCCATGTTGAGAGCACTGCAGAAGAGTGTTACTAGGAGATATGAAGACATCAGCAAACTGTAAGTAGAGCAAACTACTGCAAAATAAAATTGGTGCCTTTATATCATACATTTAAAAACTTGGAAACTGTCAACCAATCTTCAAGTTTTTTGGATGAATGAATGAATGACCTGTATTTGTCATTTCAGGTGTGACAGTAACAGGTACAGTCTGCAATACATCCTGTCAGTGGCACAGCAGGAGGGCAGCAGGAAACGGAAGGCAGAGGGGGACCAGGAGGAGGAGGAAGAGGAGATGGAGGAACTCGGAGATGAGGACTCCTCCATACAGATGTCTGAAGACGACCTCCCCATGCAATCACACCATGTCTGACAGATTTCCTAACTTTTATTTCTTCTAACAAATAAACTTCATACATTCTGCTCTACGGTTGTTTTCTTACATCATTAACTGATGGAATAGCATTTTCAGATGTTTTAGTATCATGGATATGGCTTACAGTAAACAAGAGTAAACAGCCATTGTGTAGTGGATGTCTATGTACATACATAATGCAACTTGCATACTTTTCATTAAAACATGGAAACATCTTTGTGGTCTTTGGTCAGTGACCTTGTTTACGTAGATAAGTCTTGGTTTTCAAGATATTTGAGACAACCAACACTTGATGTTGTCCTTTCCCAGCCCACAAGTCCTAAAGCCTTCAAACATGTACAAATTTTAAGTTATCACATGCCAAACTGGATTGTCCGTTTCCTCAAACTGTCCATGTAGTCGCTGGCCTTGTCGTACCCCGTTGGATCACGTCTCTTGGGCGGAGGCGGGCCCTCTTCTAGTCGCACCAGATAGTGGCAGTATCCACAGTGCATGATGCCAAAGTGCCCGCGACCGTGGTACCGAATCTGCTTAGTGTGGCGACCTTTTAAGGCCAGAGATTCAGCTATAAAAGGGAACAGATCACACCAGTTCAAGACACTGCATAAGTACCAATGCATAAGATCAAAGATAATCTTGTAGTTACTTGTTACTGATACCTTGGTTTTATTAGATGCCCCCATTGCATTCAAGATTAAACATACAATGACCACAAAACTGGTCATTGTATATGCATGGAAAAGTGTGGGTAAGATAAGATACGAAATTTTTTTAACATGGAGGAATATTATTTTTAGACCTTTCTTATTTGGGGATACAAAATGTTAGCAAAACTTACCGACCCACAGGTTTGACTTGTATTCAACATTACACTCCTTGACTGCTCTCTCCTGTGCTTCCAGTAGAACCTCCTCTATAAGACGGGCACCTTTCTTGGAAATAGCCTGGAGCTGAGCCAGGGCCTCGTCTATACTCATTCCTCTTACCTGGAATAAAAAAAGTAAAAGTTAAAGATGTAAAATTAGAGTGTTTTAGTAACGTTATACCAAAGATAAGTCCAGAAAGAGTGTAGTGACACTGCATCTATTATGTACATAATGAGGTACGTATAAGTACTTAACTACCCTAATATAGATGGAGTTTTGATGTGTCTTAATCATTAAGTCTGTTGGTTAGACTACAAATCAGAATGATACAAAGATCTGAAGAGAGACACCTACCATTGTGGCAATGTACCACAGTTTGTGGTGGCTGTACTTGAAATTTCTTCTGCTCACCCAGATGGACTGCAAGGCAGATCATTCATGTCAACATGTATCAGCATTATATATACAAAACCATCACCACTCATATGCCTGTATGGTGTCATGAATCACTGTAGGGGTTAGTGTACTTCAGATAGGATTTTAAGGTATCGGTGACTTGTATGTCCCATCCCCCAAAACTACAGTATTTCATAATAGCCTGCAGATTGTCAGCCTTTGCTGCCTGACAGCAGAACCAGTAGAAATAGATGTCAGGTATCACAGAAAGTCTGTCCAACTGTTTTTTCCCCCCAGTTCCCTTACATGTGAATTGAGTGTTGACTAGTTCCATCAGTTCATTTTAGTGATACTGAAGAAGAGTGATGGATGTTAACTAACCACTGCATTACTCCACTAGTACTACATATAGCAGAGTTTGTCTTTGAATATCACAGGAAGGCTTACTGCAGGGTTCCTGGGCTCCCCTGGGGCCTGAGGAGGCAGCACCGTGCGGTTCTTAGCATCCCAGAACCTTTTGCCATCCTGGTCTCGCTCTTCCTGTGCTGTGGCGACCGAAGTGTGAAGACATCGAGCTGACGGCTGATGCACAGCTGGGGAACAGCTGGCTGACAGCTGGACAGCAGCTATTCTGTTGGTGACAGCAGCTGTCCCTAACCTTGATGTCAAAACGGTAAAGGATGTTATATACAGTTATGAGCAATCTGGATATTCTGTATCATACGAAACAGTAGAGCACTAACCAACATCAATTTGGCATGGTGTCCTCTATGGTTTCCTATTCCCAACACTTGTATTAGCTGTATACAAATTTGGTGCAGTTTGACAAGAAGATGCTAGGGGTCCAGGGTAAACCTTGAGAAAGCTCTGATTCCTTACCTTGTGGCACTGGCAGCATTTGTGGACAGCACAAGTCTCTGCAGACCTGAAATCAACAGTGGCATCGGCATTTACGAACTAACAGTTTGCTAAATTTTATAAGTTAGGAATAGGAGTATCCTGGTTTGATGAAATAACCGAGGAGGTAAACCTTTGATAAAAAGGTTTTACAAAAATTATGCAACCGACGACGTCCTATTCCTCTGGCTTTAGCAACCTTAAACGTTAGTAACTGAGATGTACAGAGGCGATCTAGGGGTAAAACCCCAATCGAATGCCAATATATTATGCAGTGCAGCATGCAGTGGTGCAAGAGGAGATTTGGGGAGGGGGGCACGAGATGATTTTGTCTTTAGACGAGTAACTTGACTTCATTTTTCCTTCCACTCTAGCGAAAATGAAAACAGACATTGAACAGGCTAAAATCTACATCATGGTAACTTATCACGCGAGAAAATCTGTCGGAAACGAGGGAAACTGCAATAATATTTTCCACCCACCTCGCGACAAGGACGCTGCCATTTTTGCCGCAAATCGTTAATAGCTGTCGTAAACTATCCAGTGCACGGCTATTCCATTCAGGAGCTGAGGGGGGATCGAAATAAAGGGTCGTACCGTATTTCCGCGCTCCGCCACAGAATGTTGTCGTCGCTGCTGTCCTGACAACTGACACTGTTTTACAACTGTTACTATATATCCACCATTTCCAATCGCCCCATTCAATACACGATCGTACGAAACAGGGCGAAGCTTTGGAAAGTGCCGTACACAATCACAGATCAAGGACGTCCCGATCCCCGTCAGCTCACTTAAGGCGAACAATTCCCAGGGGTCGTCTTACAGGTGTTTTTGAATACCTGGTTGGACGTAAAGCAGCCACAGAACGTCGCAAGGAAATGACTAACTGTTAATGCAATGTTTTGGCTAATGGGGTGCTGACAGACGAACATTTAGGCCGCCATACAGTCTACAAGAGTAATGCCCGAGACAGTCATTTCTGCTTAGAGCAAAAGAGAGATCGCATAGTTGAAGGTTTTAAAAGATGCACAGCTTTGAAAGGCGCGCGTTGTCACTTACAAGTATTTCTAGCTTGACTAGATGGCGCTTCTTGGAGCCTTTCCATTGGTCAGTAACTAGTACATTCTGGACAGCGCGGGAGTTTGTGTTACACAGACACACGACAGTCGTAGGATATTTCCGTCACTTGACAGCTGAATTTTGTGCGACACATCTACGACTATCTAACTTGAGAATTTCCTCATGATCCACTGTCGTAGACCTATTGTGCGACGAATGTGACAGGGCCCTAAACTAACAACGAGAGCTGTGGACCAGTTCTGTCAGGTACTTGTGTCCGAATTGATGATTGATCTTCCAAAACGACGAAATTTAATACAACCACCACTTTTCTCCAAGTCTTCGAAGGTGTTCAGCCGAACAAAAACAGTATTTGAACGGCATTAACTCGGATGATTTGTGTTCCCACACTGAAGAAGGCTAGCTTCGATTCGCTGGACACTTAAACCCCCTTGGTGACATAGTGGCATAGTATTAAACCGTATGTGGAGAAATTACTTAGCATATACAGTGCGTAGGTACTGGGTACTGACTACGCCAAACCCATACATAGGCCAAATTCCAAATGTTTTATGAATAGCCGCATGATCTCCGTGCGGACGTAAGAAAGGAAGGTCGAAACAGATTTTTTACTGCCCCATGACACATTTTGGCACAGCAGTTGGCCATAAAAGGTTGGTTCGGCGCCAGCCAAAGGCTAAGCGAGTCGGTAGAAAAAACGCGAGGGTAAAGAATGACTGGTGGTGAATGAGACGCATGTCTGAGGTACAAAAGCGGGCGCGGAGACAGGTGGAATTTTGGCGGGTTGCCTGGAATCGGCCACGGTCATGACGGCAGAGGATTCTTTTGAACTTACGAACAGTTGGTCTCACACGCAAGTAACGTTAGTCATTATATCGTGGTGAGTTTTCAGTAGAGGGAGGTCTTGCCTGCGGGACCTCTCAGTGACCGTTGAATCGAAAAGCCTAGCTTCAAGTCGTAAAATTCGTAACTTTTCTCGTGTCTTTCTCTGAACATTTGACTAGGGAAGCATTTTCTTCTGACAAACTAAGGTCCTGTAGACACAAGTAGATTGTGTAGCTATACATCGGGACTACCAGGTAGTACTCTATATCACGACAAGGGCGCCATGCGTCCGCCCAGACCGCCCAGACGACCCCCGGCAAGCCGGGGCGAGAGATGCCTGCTGACGGAGTTAGTTTGGACCGTCACTCTGCTGCTCACTGTCGCCTCTGTTGGACAGGGTAAGCATGAGCAAATTTTGTCACTAAAATTTTCTTTTAATAATCAATATGTATGTTTTGTTTGATCATGTCATGACAAGCTTGAGAAAATTTTGTGTCATTGAAAAAACCTTTCAGTAACCAATGTATGTCTTGTTTGATCATATCATGAGGCACTAGTGGGTTATCAATTATTGATCAAAGAAATGTAAACCTTACCTTTACCCAGGATACGTTTCCCACGATGAATGTTTACCCACGATTTGACCCGATAAATTTGCTGAACCACATGTATACTTGTGTGATCTCTCAAATCAATTCATCAACATGTCCTAGCATTAGCAGCTGGACTACAATCATGGTGTCACTCAAACTCCTTTGTTGACTGAGGAAAATAGTAAAAGTTGTCCTTATTGGACCTTCTATGTCTTCCTAAAGTCCGCTGAAAAAGTCTTCATCCTACTTGGCTAACTTTTGCCATTTTCACAGTCACCAAAATTGACAGGTCTTAGATCTTGTGCATGTGGTTACTGACCAGTGTAATCGCGCATTCTCTTTTTAGCGAACGCCCACGAAAGCCCAAAAATTGTCGCACGAATCTTAAATTTTTTTGGGTGGTCATGTCCAGAGTGTGCTCCCGCGTGTCCATGCCAAGTTTGAAGCGAATCCATCGAGCCGAACTTAAATAAATCGAAATTTACTGGGTTTTTCTCTTCTTGGCGAACGCCCACTTTACTTCCGGGTTCGCTGCGAACGCCCACTACTCTTTGCAAAATTTCGGCCCTCGCGCAACGCCGGCAAAATCCACCACCACAAATATGTTCCTATATGCCTCCCCTGAATTTCTGACAAGTTTCCGTGCTTTACGAGCTTTTAAAGTACCCATTTTTTGACAAAATATGCGCTGCAACGAGCTCGCCGCCTCGGCATATACATTCTACCTGGTCACATGAATTGCGGTCGGGGACTGTTCGGTAATTTCATGATCAGCGGGAGGGAGGAAGGGCAGAAAAACGCAATCTACCGCACAAAAGGGGAAGAATTTCGTGTTTGTAACATCAAACATAAATGATTTCCTTTCTTACATAATTTTCACCTCGGTTCTAGTAGTGACACCGCCGGCGACAATTACCATGTTGTAAAATTGTTCTGCTGAACTATAGACAGACGCAACGTTACAGTACGGAGGGGGGCCTTAAATTTTTGTCGGCGCCGCTCGCCACGTTCGTTGTAAACCACGTCCGCGCTTTTTGTCCGCCCATCAGTGAGCAACAAATGATCGAGGCGGAGAAGTTCGACCGGGCGGGGAATTTTAATGTGCTACCGTATTTAAAAATTTGACACCGAACCCAAAACAACAACGAGACTGCTGAAACGCGAGCGAAAGAGTTTTTGAAAAATATCTCGTTTAGTAAACTACTGCTCATGTCACAAAATCAAAGGAATAAAAACTTTCCAGCATTGAATGCTTCTGGCCGCTGGCTTCCCATGTTGTGTTGTCAAGACGACGGCACGTCCTGATCAGACACAGCGGCGTCACGCCCACAACAGCAAGCGCACGGGCCCCACCCACCGGCGGGCAGCAAAAGATTTCAAAGACTTCGCCCAAAAAACCCTATCATTGTAAGGCCATGCCTTGTACATCTACCCATCATTTTAACGTAATACTGGCTGGTATAGTCCCGCTACAAAATAATTTTCTGCGGCATTTGTTTATATTTAAATAGATTTGTGATACGAAGTAAAAAGATTTGTGTCATTTGAACCTTTGTAACGGCATGGCTATAACATTTGTTGAAGATTTCTGTGTTTAACTATAGCCGAAAGTGCATCAGAACTGACCATCAGTTGAAGCACAACTGTCATGTTATACTAGTAACGTTATTCACTACGTTACGACGATCAAGAACGTTCACGGCTTGCGGACCATTTTAAATCTTACCATCTTACCACTGATAACCCTATTTAATAGAATTGCGTTCATACTTACGGGGGTATTTATTTTCGGCCGGGGTTCCACTGAGATATCGGCGGCTGGCTGGCGACCATCCCGTCAGCATGACCGAGCACCGCGACGTGAGTGACCTAGATTATCTTACCTTGCGTCTTCTCGTTTTACCGCAACTTCGTGTCAATATCGACGATACACACATGAAATACGTTCATGATCATTTATTAAAGTTTAACTTTATTTCCACGCGTCAACATTATCATCCGACATTTTATGTACGAATCGATGTAGTGCAATTCTCCTTGCCGGTTTTCGCTATATTCGTCGGTAGTCGTTGGATTTGTCGGGGAAAACCTCAAATAAGGTAATTACCCCGACTTTGGCGGCGGCCTGTGACACTTTTTGTATTTTGACAAGTTTTCAAAAGTGCGTACTTTATTCGGCGGTGTCACTACTAGAACCGAGGTGAAAATTATGTAAGAAAGGAAATCATTTATGTTTGATGTTACAAACACGAAATTCTTCCCCTTTTTGTGCGGTAGATTGCGTTTTTCTTCAACCCTTCCTCCCTCCAACTGATCATGAAATTACCGAACAGTCCCCGACCGCAAGTCATGTGACCAGGTGAAACGTATACGCCGAGGCGGCGAGCTCGTCGCAGCGCATATTTTGTCAAAAAATGGGTACTTTAAAAGCTCGTAAAGCACGGAAACTTGTCAGAAATTCAGGGGAGGCATATAGGAACATATTTGTGGTGGTGGATTTTGCCGGCGTTGCGCGAGGGCCGAAATTTTGCAAAGAGTAGTGGGCGTTCGCAGCGAACCCGGAAGTAAAGTGGGCGTTCGCCAAGAAGAGAAAAAACCCAGTAAATTTCGATTTATTTAAGTTCGGCTCGATGGATTCGCTTCAAACTTGGCATGGACACGCGGGAGCACACTCTGGACATGACCACCCAAAAAAAATTAAGATTCGTGCGACAATTTTTGGGCTTTCGTGGGCGTTCGCTAAAAAGAGAAACCCGTGTAATCGCGATAATATGATCGATATAACGATCATTTTTTAGATACGTGTGTCTTTTTAAACTGGTGTGATTTTTCTCTGGTCGATATTCCGCTCGTATCTCAGGTGAAGAGAACATAGACTGCTACAGGTGGGAGGACAAAGGTGCGAGTTATATCGGCACGGTCAACGTCACCATCAACGGAATAGTGTGCATGCGGTGGGACGTACAGGACCCATGGGTGGGTAGAACGGTTGTCGCCATGGCAACGGCAGCAACACACTATCGATTCTGTTGAACAAACTGATTGGACAGAATGAGTCATGTACAGAACAGACGGAAGCCCATGACTCGTTACTTTTCATGATAAGGGGAAAAACATAGAAAGTTTTGTCAAGTAATGTCCTATAATGATTTTGTTTCTTCTTATGTAACATTATTTTGTGAGTGCGGAAACAATAGGATTTTTATTTTGCTAATATCACAATGGCGACATATACGTGTTTCAAGTATGTGTATTACAGGGCTTTAGCCAGCGCCCGTTTTACCGTCAATTGACGGTAATTTGTCCCGTCTGACGGTAAAAATTTTAGTCCTTACCGTCAACATTGACGGTCAAAAATCGTGGGTAAAGACATGGAAAAAATCTAGCGAATTTGAATGAGCCACGGCGCGGCGTCTTTTCCAAACGCACGGCGGCGGGAAACCTGATTTCAAGGACCGTGCCGACGTCTGTTGACTTGGTTCTATTGTTCAATGTTGCTGTCTGTTAAAACAACATGTGCTAACGGCCACATAAGAATAAAATAAAACAATGGCTCGACTCAGACACACGCTGCTAACTGTACATGACAATACGATAAATAAACATGTGACAACGAACAAAGAAATATCAAACGTTTTTGAATAATATACTGTACTTGAATAATCATACTATCGCAAGAAAACGGAGATTGATCCACACAATGTGGCCTTATTTAATCTAAAACTTCGTCAGACCTCCTTCGCGCGAAGACTTGAGCGGCAGCATAAAGATTTCTGGAGGATCGCTGACACGCGAGTTTTTGCCGGCCACGTAACTCCCTCCGCGGCAAAATCCTCTATGCCGTAGCGAAATCACGTCTCAGCGCTTCCCCAAGTCAACTTAATGGCCGCTAAAGTCCGCAAAGGAGTTGTAACTTCCTCATTTCGGTAGAGAAGCGAAGCTGACAAGTAAAATCATGTACATGTCGGCCATTTTGTTTGCTACCCGAAGTCTTCCGAACGCTCTAAATAAGGAAATCGTCGGAGATCTGAGCCACATCGCCCGCTGTCGGTCAGCGCTCGGGCCCGGCTCGGTGGAAATCGGAGGCTGTGACGTCATGAGTAGGTTCATTTGCATGGCCGCGGCTTGAATCGCGGCGGGATTTGAGCGGATCAAAACAAAGGGCATAGCGGATTGTTCATTGCGCGTTGTCTCCTTGTGAGAACTGTAGTTTTTTTTTTCATTCTGCAAAATTGCAGGTTGTGTAGTTTTTTTTTATTCTGCAATCTTGACGGGTATTTAGAACACAGAATGCATTAAGTGTGCGGGAGGGCGTGATGTCGATCACCGGATCGTGAAAGACATTCTTTAAAAGTAATCATTGACGGAATTTTTTTTTCGCGTTGACGGTATTTTTTTTCGCGAATTGGGTTGACCTGGGGTTGACGGTAAAAAATTTCGAGCTGGCTAAAGCCCTGGTGTATTACTATCACAATAAATGCTATTAGAAAAATATTTTGCTTGTATAGCGCGATGTGTAACTAGTCCTACGCCGGAAAACACACCGACTTCGCAGGCACAGTTGTACATTGGTTGGTACATCTGTACATCTAACTTCAACTGCCTGACAAAGCCAAAGGCACCTTAATGATAGGTGCCTTCCTTCCCATGTAGACCCACCAGTGGGATCCATCCAATCATCCCCGTAAGAACCTGACGAGTAACTACTGCCGGAATCCTGACGAAGGAGACGGTCCCTGGTGTTACACCACTAACCCGGACGTCAGCTTCGAGTACTGTAACGTCTCTGTATGTCCGAATGGTGAGTACTGTATGTAACATCTCTGTATGGTGAGTACTATATAGTCTCATGTTTTTCTTCTCCTGCTGTCCGTTATGTACAAAGATGTACAAAGCGTACGTACAGAGTTTGACATTTGTCTGTCTCTGTCTGTCTGTCCGAATGATGAGTACTGTAACATTTCGTCCTGTTATATACTACACATAATCAAGGTTCAACCTGTGCCTGCATGCCAGCAATGTTTTCATGCCAGCAATGTTTTCGTGATACTACAGCGACTACTCCTCGCCCTACAACGACCACGTTGGCAACAACAACCACGACAGTACCAACAACCACAACCACGGTAGCAACAACAACCACAGCGTTAGCAACAACAACAACCACGGCAGCGACAACGACCACAACGTTGGCAACAACAACGGCCACGGCAGCGACAACCGGCGGCAGGGCAACACCCGTGCCAGGTTTAGTAACGCACTTCTGACAGGAATAACCAGAGTGGTACAGTCAGTCCTACACTGGGCATATTATACTTTTATCTTTCATTATAATTCTCTAAAGATGAGCTTCTTACTAAACGTTTTTCTTGACTTCAAACTTTTTTTAAAGTTGAGAAAACTTCACCACTCCGGCTATGCCCGTCATTTGTTGATATAGACGTATTTCGTGGTTATGTGAGTCTGTTGAATGTGTGAGCATGACTGGTGAAGTGAGAGTGATCATTCTATCTTGTCTATTGTGTCTTCATCACACACGCACGCACGCACACACGCACAACGCATAGTTAGATATCTTTGCAGGTTGATACGTCGCCAGCTACAGCCGACTGATTGAGTCCATGGGTGGCACAAGTACAACTTTGCTGTCAACGACCTCTGAGCGGAACAACATTAAGCCATGCCGACAGATGAGCAAAGACGTGATGGCAGAGAAGACTTCAGTTGGAGCTGACCGGGACGTATACAGGACGTCTTTCAAGCAGTTATGAAATATTGAGGCATTGGTTGCTTGTCAAAGATATCAGTCTCATAGATTGCAAGGACATTGTCAAATAGATGTTAGAACGAACTTCTGACACGATTTTAAGTGTGTTTTGACTCATGAAACTGACCCAGACATTTTAGCGATCTCACGGGTCGACATGTGTGCCGAGCGAGCCGATTGTCTGAAGTCCCCACAGTCATGTTCGCTTGTAACTTAACGTTTCGTCTTACAAAAGAAATTCTCGAGAGGCAGCGGCCATGTGTGCCGTGTGTAAACGGGAGGCGAAGCGTAGCAGGGGCACAGTTTATGTCAGAACTGGATACGTCATGAGAGGTATTTAAAGCTACGAGGGTTGGTGCACTTCAACCGTGGCCTAGCGTTTAGGCTAAGCTTTTAAGTTTCAACAAAAGATCGTTAAAAATAACAACAACGCCTCTCACAGTTATGTCTTTATTTACTTAGTCGCCTGAAAGATATGTGATTTTTGCGAACAAAAGCAAGTGATGCAGTACTACAGGTCTACCCGGCGAACTTACACGACATTCCTGCACGAGAAAGTTGTCCCTTTGCAGTACTGTGGTCTGAAAGACAAGCTTTGTCTGTTTTCAATAGTTTGTTTGCACAGACAAGCATTCTTGTAATGCCGATGGATTGATGTGTATAAATACTCGAATGAACATTGTCCGATGCTTTCAAATAAAGCTGTACAACTTTGACTTTTCTTTGTTTGTCTTTGTTTGCGTAAATCCTTACAATATCGATAGAAAAGGTATCCAGCAACTTCTCCTTTACTAAACTCATCTCCACCACCACCACCACCACTCTTCCCCTCCACAACTCCCCTCCCCTTCTTCGCTGGCGAAAGTGTAACTGTCTGGCCAATGGATACAGCCAGTCTGGCCAATTTGAATATGTCTTTGCAGCCACCAAAAGATCTACTTGGAGATAGCCTTCCGAACAATTGAAAAAAAAGACCTATATTTAGAAAATCTTATCAGTGCACTTCCTCATATGGCGCTTGCGCAAAGAAACATGTACACCACATACGAGTGTAGATATCACCATTGGCCATAATTTTACTAGAGGAAAACTTGTAGTTTATGATGGCTAGCAGATACTACAACTGTCCTACCGCCGTGCTAGAATATAACACGCTGGACCACGTTCGACTAGTACTTGTTTGTAAATGTACACAGTGAAATGTAACTCCGCTAGGGAAGACGGATGCCCAAGTGTGTGGGTCTCAGATTCGCAACCTGTTATCCACCTTAAACAAATCCACGCGAAGGCTACTGTGTCAACTGTGACCCTCACTCAGGTGTAGGGACTGACACGGTCATCCTACTCGGAAAGTCTGTATCTGTATATCTGTAACATCTGTATCCGATTGCAAATAAAGATCACGAGTGATAGATAGAGAGAGAGAAATGTAGCATTGCATGGCACGCCCTATTGTTACATTCTTTTGTTGTAGACACGCGCCCTTTTGTGACCTTGTCCGGATGAAACGTAATATTTGCTAATTTGTAGATATTATGTATGAGTAATGTGCGAACACACACCGAGGTAATACAACATATGCCGTTTCTCTCATATTATCAATGAATGTCCGATAGATATCGCATTGCCATGGCATCTAGTCACCGTACGGACTCCTAGTAGACAGGGCGTTCCTGTGTGGAAGGATGTTTGCATTAGTTATGATAACAAAAATGCATTATGAAGCATATCAAATATGACATTTGGCGTGTGAGAATAAGACATATGGTTTGGTACTCAGTGCACGTTACTTAGAAGTCAAGTGGACACATGAGCCTTACTTTAGAATCGATGACATTTAGATTAGTATAGGACTGCAAACACTTAGATCAATCTCATACAACAGACATTTTAAGGAAATTTACGCAAAGTGCATTACTTTCTTTAGGCTGAAACAAAATAAAGTTCTCATTTTATTATAATTCCCCATAATCTGCACAAACTATATTAAACCTCACGGAAGATAACAAGTGATCACTCATGAAGAGACAACTTTAAAACTATCATAAATATAAGACGCTGGTATGTGAATTTTAATTCTCTTTTGCACACAATAAATGCGACTTAAACATACAAGAAACGTATGCTTGAATCGTAACGCCAAACCTGATACTGTATTACTCCTGCCCGATGCACTTTATATTGGTCTCGCACACAGTACTTTGCACAGGAAACTTTGTACTTGAGTTGCGTTCACATCGACAGAGAACCATACTGTTCCGACTTTAGCTGGCGGCAGTGCAGATAGAACTGAACGCGATGGAACTTCTGGCCGCAGTACTGATTCTCCTTGTTCAAGCAGCCCTGGCACAGGGTAAGTTAAGATTTCTTTAAGACACGAATTGGGATTCGTTTTCATTGTTAGTAACGTCTTCAATTGTTAGCAACGTCTTCAGGAAGCATATTACGTTAAAACGTGGACGCCAGACAAAGTCGCCAAGAAATGGCAGAAGGAATAGATAGGATTTACTAATGTGCAACCAAATGCAGGCGTTTAATTGCCTTGTTTTGTGTGTCTTTTCCCTGACTTTATATGACTGATCATATGGCGACCACTGATCATGAAAAACAAAAGACGTACGAAAGGAGCCTAAGCCACAGGCCTGCTCGGAGAAAAGTAGCTTTCTTTTCAAAAAGGGCTACGCTTTAACACTAAGTTCTAACATCAATCAAAGTTTGATATTCTTCCGAACATTATGATGAAATTTCCTTGCAATCTGCACGAGATATCGATTATCGATAGCGTAGACTGTAAATACTCATGAATCTGGTTGACTGTTTATCAATTACACATGCATAAATCGATTAGTACACCTCACGCGTTACCAGCCCTTAGACAAAATAAGAACGTTGTCTGTCGCTCACCCATCTAGCTTTTTCACTAGGTTTTAGAAGAGACCCATCTCGAGCAGGTTAGAGAACCCATCACACTTAAGACAAGGGTAGGGGGTCCATTCTGTTGTGGGTGGATCAAATCAACCCTTCTCCTGCGTAGCCTGTACTTACACAAACAACCTGACATGAATATTGTTTCTCCGATGTCCATGTCCAGGCCAGTGCATGAACCTGTCTCCCCTGTGCGGCCAGAGCCCCGGCTGGCCCGACCCCGCCCTCTGTACGACTAACTACGTCAGTTCCAACTGCCAGGAGTTCTGCGGAGGGTGCTGTAAGTATGCTTCTTACCTCCACCCAGATGTTAACATGTATGGCTTGCTTATGCGTGGAGATGGATTGAATGAATATCGACTATATGAATATATATTTTGCTGGGCCCCCTTGGAAAACAGCTGATTCAAGCTGAATTGGGGCTACCCAGCCGTCTTGAGATGAAATATATATATATATGTGCCATTTGGAAGAATATTAAATCTGCTTATTATTACACCTCTTGAAAGTTGTCCAGAATGTAATTTTTGCCGCTACACTGTCGACGCCTTGCGCATCTACGACTCACTACTACTATGTCTTATATTTTTGTTGTAATTGAAGTGTGGCTCAAAGTAAACCGTTAGATCGAAGTAACGTCGTTCTTCTCGTCCCCAGCCTGTGATACTGACCCGCGCGGCCCGTGCCAGAACGGCGGCACACGGGGAGGGAACCCGAACAACTACGGCGCCCACACCTGCGACTGTAACTGTCCTGCGCCGTGGACGGGAGACTTGTGCGACGGTCAGTAACATGCCCACAGTTAGAATACATTCTGCGCAATCACTAGTGATATTCAGTCGCATTCAGATACAAATTCATGTACAGATACAGATTCATGAACAGATACAGAAACAGATTTTCCGGATGATGACCGTGTCAGTCCCTACACTTGCGTGAGGAGGGTTGAATAGAATATTGAACATTGTTTTATCAGAAAACATATGCATGAAAGGGCGCAATATATCCGTATATCCTGATACGTAAACATCCAACATCTATCACCACATCACCAATCTATAGGCTGTAAATATATAGGTACTATCAAAGGTGACCCAGATACCATCACAGGTCGCTACAGATATCTATTATTGGTCGGGTGGGAATGGACTATTCGTGAAGTTGACCTCACGGCTTGATATTTAGAAGATAGGGGTCATAGGAAAAGCGAACTGACGCTGTGTGGTCGCTCGTACATGATACGTCAGACTGTACATACGTACATGCACTGTTTGCTAACTACAACATAAGTGTATCCTATAGTACATTAACCGTGTCAAAGTTCGCCGTACCTTATCGCTGCTTGACTGAGCGACTTTGCCCTGACGTCAGTAGCGTAGCGGTAGTGCGGGGTGACATGTCAAGGCGACTGGAATAGGTTATCATAGATGTGACGCAACTTCACGTGTATACATCCACACAGTCTTCCTTTTATATACGAAAAATGTGTATATGGAGTAGGACATACTGGCATGTTTCATCAGGAAGCGGAACTGGGCGTTGTTGTCACACTTGAAGTGCGTACATGTAGGTGTGCTAAATACACAGACCTGCCGGACTAATTAATAAAAAGAATGGACGAAAGATGATATTGCAATCCTAGTAGTATAAGTCCTGTGCTGAATAATTTAAAAGTTACTTAAGGAGTACTTCTATTAGTTCGTCAAGATGATAAAAATTTACGAAAATTAGTCATATTACTAATATGACTAATTTTCGTAAATTTAAAAATTAGAAAAAGGTAAAAGGGATTTTAAGCAACTTTTAACAGCTATACAATGATCGCGCGTGGAACATTTCAATTGATTGTGGCTTTCTCCATCCCCCTCCCCACCTCAGCGTGCACTGTCACCTGTTTCAACGGAGGCGTGATAGACCAGACAACCTGCTCCTGTCAGTGCGCTCCTGGTTACTATGGCGACGACTGTTCAGGTGAGGTTGACGTCTTCAGGATGGTCAGTATGATACAGAAAGAACACACGTGGCTACTTGTAGATGTTTCGGAAGGTTCGACGTGAACCAAGCAGAAATTGTCGACATGCATTCTTCATGGTCAAGTTTCTGTTCGTGCAATAATGTACACAAGCAAGCAAACAAACAAACAACACAGGATACATAGAGAATACGGAGCATTCCAGAAAATATTTAGACTAGCATCATACGTATAGCAAAGTAGAGAATGTATGACGTATTGTCTCATATCATTTCGTTTGATACCGTACTATTCTCTAGCTATTGATGAGATGAAGACAAGACTTTCCTTCCTCCACAGAGACGTGTAAGAACCTGGACCCGAAGTGTGGCGCGAGTCCTGGCTGGCCTTTGACCTCCATGTGCTCTGACTATGTCCTGGACCTGTGCCCGGAGTTCTGTGGCACCTGCAGTAAGCTGTGGTTTCTTTGTTGTTGTTTTATACCAGGCATGTTTCTTTGCAAGTTGAGACGGTTGGCTCGTTGACCGTAAGCAGGATAGTAAAAAAAATAATTTTAAAGGTGTGTGTGTGTGTGTGTGTGTGTGTGTGTGTGTGTGTGTGTGTGTGTGTGTGTGTGTGTGTGTGTGTGTGTGTGTGTGTGTGTGTTTGTGTGTTTGTCTGTGGGCGTGGGTGCTCGGCCTTGTAAAAAGTAAATAAGTGGGTCAAGATCCGGACATATCAACATTTTTAAGTATTTAACCTTTGTCAGACGTGTGCACACACACACGCGTGGGAACCAAGTTCCTGCATGGCACAGAATGCAGGTCAGGCAACCGAAAAACATTTAGACTGGAAGGCCGGTAAACGAAAGACACTTCAGACACCTGTACCCTGTACATGACGTCAGCCATCACTCAACGTAAACTTCACAACGCTTTTGACCAATATTGCTGACACCATTTATTCATAACGTCACGTCCAGGGTTGGTAATTTACCTACTGAAGGCTGTATTATGTGTGTGTGTATAGTTACACTCGACAATCAGTCAGGACTTTCTTGGTGGTGTTTGAACACATTTTACCTCGGATCTTTTTGGCTGCATTTAGCTCGTCAGTTCAGTTTTCATCCGGCCTCTTTCCGTGGAACCTCGGAGAGCCCCTTTCTGCCATTTTCGAGCGTCCTATCAATGTCCTAAAACTACATACAAGGACGAACTTTCCAGCTGAAATTCCTGTCTTTGCTTCTGCAGGTTGTGACGACGACCCCAGAGGTCCGTGTCTGAACGGCGGTAGTCGCGGCGGGAACCCGGCTCTGTTCGGAGACGACACCTGCAACTGTAACTGTCCTGGCAACTGGATAGGAGAGAGGTGTGAATGTACGTGTCCTCTCTTTCGACATTTTTGTCAGGTTCTCATCATACCCAACAAGTTTTGATCTGGTCAACCAGGGTCGGAAATTAGCCTCTACCAGGCTTCGAGAGGCGGCTGGAAAGAGTTGACATTGACCAAAGAGAGAGATAACTTTCCAGGAGAGTTAGTCCGGCTACAAGAGTACATTTTGCCGCACCTGAACTGTACTCTCTAGCGGGTCAACTCTCCTGGTATGCTCTCTCTCTATTTCGCCAATTTCGACTCTTTCCAGCTGCTTCCCGAAGCCTGGTAGAGGCTATTCGGAAATAGTTTGGGACAGTTGTCAGCCCTCAACATGTAGAATTCGGGATTTGCTGACGGAGACGGCACTTTTTAAAATGAAGCAAATACTAGTATTTGAAGAGATGCTGTTATGAAGTTCTTTATTTTATTAAAACGTATTATAGCGTGGTAGTAACTTGTAAGTATTTAATACTATATAATAATAGTTATCATCTTTACGTGCCCAACGAAATAATTTACCCATCATTTGTCTCTAATGTACAGACAAATAATTACAGCACCATTTACGGTAATGACTATTTTTGTTTATTTGTCCATTTCTCGCCTGTTTTCTCCAGTCTGCGGTGTTCACTGCGCCAATGGCGGGATCCTCGACCCCGTGAGCTGTACCTGCGCATGCGCTGACGGCTGGGACGGCCAATTCTGTCACCGTAGGCATTGATAAAGAAAATTCGCACAGTTGTCCGCTGTAGAAATGTTTTTGTTTGTTTGTTTGTTTGTTTGTTTGTTGTATGACCATGCGTGTCCCTTCCCACAGAACCGTGTATCGTTGTGCACAGTTGTCCGCAAGTGTCCCTTGTAGAAATGTTTGTTTGTTTGTTTGTTTGTTTGTTTGTTGACCATGTGTGTCCCTTCCCACAGAACCGTGTATTGACTCCAACCCGCTGTGTGGAGTCAGCCCGGGCTGGCCTGACGACAGCATGTGCGGGACGGATTACGTCATGGAGGGCTGCCACGCCATGTGCGGCGTCTGCTGTGCGTAGCATATTGTTTTTGCTAGGTTTCCTCTTCTCTTTCTTCTCCAAACCAATTGAAAAGGTCAATGACCTGAACCAGACTGTCTGTTACCATAGTAACCAGTGTTACCCCACAAGTTAAGATCATGTTGCAATTTTATAGCGGGAGGGATTTAGACCCCTGTCTGGCCATATATATGAATGCGTTTGAGTAAGAGTCAACAGAGCAGACTATATGAGAAGGTAAACATTATGTTAACTTTCTAGTCCTCTTTGTCCAAATCGGAATTGAGTTTAGAAGTGCTTACACACTCTCGGTCATCTCTTAATTCCTGCTTGGTGCTGGAGATCTGGACGCTTCTATAGACGTGACGTCTACTGACGTGATTCCGTCCTTACAGTCCGGGCCTTGCTGAGGAGTGCACTGACTTGATTCTGTCCTTACAGCACTCGTTGAAGAGTGATTGACGTGATTCCGTTCTTACATGTGCAGCGCTCGCTGAGGAGTGTACTGACGCGGACTCCGGCGTGATCTACCTGAAGGGTCAGCAGTGGGCGAAGCACGACGCCACCAACCAGCACACCATGCTCTGCACCTGCCTCGGGCCCGACTACTACGTCTGCGAGGACGTCCCGGACTGGAACGGGCCGTGAGCGGGCCTCACCTCACGTCGTACGGCAGCAAGATTTAGTCAGTAACGTCGTACGGCAACTTGAGCACACCAAATTGAGTCAGTAACGTCGCACGACAACTTGAGCACACTAAATTGAGTCATATACGTTGTACGACAGGTTAACCACAGCATTTTAAGGATATCCATCGAACAGTTTAGGATGTGCTGTATGTACGTACAAGTTTTAGCCTTTTTGTGATGGAAAATGTTGACATCTCGCTGAATGTCGTACGACAAAAAGAAAGTAAGAAGAAATAAATCAACCAAGACATGAATCGACACCTGTCATAATTTATCTTTCTTTAATGTTGGAGTTGTCAGATGGATGGATGGATGGATGGATGGACGGACGGATGGATGGACGGATGGATGGATGGATGGATGGAAGGGTTGTTGGTTGGATCGATCAACGCATATCTTAATCACCCCGTGAATTTTACAGCGTGGACAAAAGCACTCTTCTAGACATTGAAGGTCTAATAATTTATGTAGAGGGATTCAGCCAAAGTTATTTTACAAGCGCATATGATTCCTCCTAAAATCTCCGATACCCCAAGTTTTTGGAGTCATAGTACAATTCCCAACTTAAGGCCAGACTGATGCTAAAGTAGTCAAGTCAGTGTGGCCTTACGGAAGCCTAAGCTACGGCAGAACATCGGCCCTCTATCCGACATCTAGACGTATGTTTATAATCATAAGATTGCGCGAATTCCGGATACGGTTGTGTACCCAGGTCAATTCGACTCTTGTACTATCCCCCAGTCCATGGACTTAGATCCTTCTAACTCCATGCCCAGTCTAAAGATCCCATTCAAACCCTGGTCTGCAATACTAGTACGAATCGATGCGAATTCCGGGACGATTCGTTTTAAACTGAAATTTTTTTTCTGGGATTTGGACGGCTCAAATGCTCCTAATTACTAACTATTGAGTACAGACTATTTCAAGTTTTCAGTCCTTTCTCCTGTTGTACTTGAACATCACAATGTAGCCTGCGTGTTGCACTCGTACTCCTCCTTAGCGGGGACCGGGGTTCTTCTTCTCTGGGGCAGCCGGAATCTGGCCAGCGGATCGCGGTCCCCGAACAGCTTCTGCTTCAGGCTCCTGAACCTGCCCAGGAAAGCTTCGGGCATCGTCTGGGGTTTCTGGACAGTGGAATTGAAAGAAAAATACGTTATCCTGGATCTACACAATGGACAATAACTTGACCCAACACAAGAAAAAAAATTCTTGGAAACACGCAATAAAACATCCCTTAGTTTTTCCCCAGGAGGTAGGTTTTCCTGTTTCAGACGTAGATTTGACTGTTGTACGGTGACACTATTTGGGTAAGATAATAGAAATTTGACCCTTGACCTTCAGGAGTTTGGCGCCGAATTCGGTTTCTGTGAGACCCGTGAGTGGTGAGTGTTTTGTGTGGATAAAATGAGGTTTTTATGTACCAAAAGTCTTCCGGTATTCCTGCAGGTATATTTCTGGAAACTAGTCAGATTATAGACGTACAGTCGAGGAGACTATACTCCACCCCCATCATGTCAGAACATTTCTGCCAACAAAAACAGAGATCAGCTCGTTATTCATGCTATGTACCCCCTCCCCCAGTATATATACGTCCTAACAGTTGCATTTTTACTTATCCTTGGCTCCCCCCGAAGATGTTTTCTGACCTTTGCACTTTTCTTGTCCACGTCCCCGACGCAGACGAGGATCCACTCGAGCGTGAGGACCACCAGACTGATGGCCATGGCGCCGTACACCAGCACGAACACGCCCAGCATGTGGTCCAGACCGATCACGATCGTACTCAACTTAGCGTCCTCACGGGCGCACTCAGAACCTCCGGTCCTGGGGGAAGGAATGAGGGAATGAATGAAGGTAAGAACGAAGAAATGAGTGAGTGAATGAACACCAGCACGAACACACCCAGCATGTGGTCCAGCCCGATCACGATCGTACTCAGCTTAGCGTCCTCACGGGCGCACTCAGAACCACCGGTCCTGGGGGAAGGAATGAACGAATGCATGAAGGTAAGAAGGAAGAAATGGGTGAGTGAATGAACACCAGCACAAACACACCCAGCATGTGGTCCAGACCGATCACGATCGTACTCAGCTTAGCGTCCTCACGGGCGCACTCAGAACCTCCGGTCCTGAGGGAAGGAAAGAAGGAATGAGTGAAGGTAAGAACGAAGAAATGACCGTACACAAGCACGAACACACCCAGCATGTGGTCCAGCCCGATCACGATCGTACTCAGCTTAGCGTCCTCACGGGCGCACTCAGAACCTCCGGTCCTGGGGGGACGAGGGAAGGAATGGGTGAGTGAGTGAGTGAGTGAGTATGCATTCTTGAATGTACGCTAGCACACGTTGCTGTATTAGCCCAGAAAAAGTATTCATACGCATTCATACCCATTAGTAGAGCTACACTGTGCTAATGTATGTCATCGGCATTGTCAGAACTAGTGAGCGTTGTCATACATAGTTAGTCAAGATTAGTTGACAATGATACATTTCTGTTCATGTATGTCAAGAATCAGGTACAAATCGAGCTCTCATGGCTACACAGCCGAATGGATGGCAATTCAGCACTACGGACACCACTTTCTATCAAGATGAAAATTCCCGTATAACAGACTAACTCGGATTTACCACTTGTTGAAGAGCTCCTCCAGTTTTCCGGACTCGCGCGCCCACAGGATCTTTTCCGTGAACTCTTTAGTGTACGGGGAGTTCTTCTGCAGGGCAAAGCCGTACCCTGTCTTGGAGAACAGCCTGCCGACCGTCTTCAAGTCGCATGGTGGCGTTTTTGTCTGGGGAGAGACAACAAGAGAGACATCATATGGCAATGTCCCAGTCTTTATGATATTCACACATACCTCCCCACATTAGCACATTTCAATCAGTATTTCATACTTTAGATATTTAAAACTGCAGAAACAAGCCTCAAGATGAGTCCTTTATTTTATGGACGGTATCCCAAAATTCTGACGGAAAATGGTTACTAGAAGGGTCATTGGCCAGACTTTTGGGTATTTTTGCTCCATGAGGGTCAATATACATTGGGATAGTGTGGTTTCAAGTCAGTATGTAGCTAAGGGACTAGAATATTGACTTTGATACAGTTTACCTGCTATTACATAGTAAGCGGTGTGTATTAAAGTGCCCGAGGACTTTGGGGACATCTTAAAAATACTGGTTAGAATTACTTTTGGTCATTGAATTTTTTCATATAAGTACCTTATTGCAAGACAATAATTTATGCAAATTTTAATGACGTCACCATGACTCTTATTATTGCAAAAGCTAGAGAAAGCACTCACCACATAGTCGAGTATCCCGCTGTCCCAGACAAAGGCGTAGTTCCCCCTGCGCGCGCGCGCTATCCCCTCCTCTGACGTAGCCACCATGACGTCATGCGTTGCCATGTAACGCGCCATAGTCTGAAAGGTCTCTATGCCTGACTGCTGGAAGAAGCTGTGAGGGCCCGACGACAGGACAGTGCCGTACGCGATCTCCGTCTGAAGGCAAAGGCGGGAAAAGGAAATGATTAAAAAGTAATTGAATTTTTGTATGATGACCTCGAATTAACTGAGGAAATGTTGGTGAGCCCAAATTAGATGTGTACGTATCCAAAGTAGTTGTATTCGTTCAGTAACGCCAACGTAGGTAAGGTGTACATGTGTTGCTCAGTGTACTGTCGGCCACGGTAGTGTACCTTTATTCATAAGGTTTCAGGAAGCGAATCTAGTCAGACCCAGGTTTTCCCTCCTAGCCATATGTTGTCATCTTGTTCTCTTGCTTACTTTCTTTTCTGATTGTGAAACATTGTAGGAGGTAGACTGTTGCGGCCTTGCTGCTCATTATAACCATCATTGCTGCCCCGTCATCGTGGGGCGGGCGATGGATACAGGCGGCCAACATAAAGTCCCCTTGCCCCACTGAATCTGCTTGGAGATTACTGTAATTACACCCGCTTGAAACTGACCTGTTTGGCGAGGTCCTCCACACTGCCGACCGTCTCCTGTAGCCTGCCAATGGTGAGGTGTGCCGCCAGGTTAGCCGTGTAGGTGGCGATCAGGATCAGGATCACCAGCCACCACACTCCTGCCGTGAACCGGCCTGCAGACGGACAACACAACGTCGTATTATACAAGTAGTAGACACCATTTGTTGTAAATATACAGGAAGATGAATAAGATAGTATACGATCTAAGCTGGGTACTATTCTCTTGTAAAACAACCAACTATTCTGGAGTTTCGAGAGCTTTCGAGTGGTCGTTGGCGTACATAACGTTAGATGACTGCAAGGGGGTTAGGGTTAAGGTATCTAGATTCCCTGTGTGCATGCCAGCATGTTCTATGTACCATGTACGACCTACTCATCAGTCATACTGCGGTTTAGGACACAGTTGATAAGAACTACTACATTTGTAGTAACGTTACGTGCTACCTGCGTGGGTAATGTTCGGATGCTCATCAGTCGTGCCTACCTGCGGCAGATTTGGGGTACTCCTCCGGTCCTTGTTGGAACAGCGTACAGAAGGAGTTCCAGATCCAGTCTCCCAGGGTGATCCTCGTCTGGTCATTCTCATCATCGTCATCATCATCCTCATTCTCCTCCGCTTTCTCTGTCTTCTCCTTCTGTTTCAGGGACGGCTCTCTGTGGATGGAAAACACAACGCGTCATCTGTACCTTTCCACAAGGCTGTCAGTAAAACTGGAATGAAGGGTTAATGCATCAAATATGAAAATCGTGAACTCATTGAATTGCTATCTGATATTAATGTATTGAACCCTCTTTTCACTAAAATATGTATTTAGGGGTAATAGCACCCATTTCCAGGCATTGCCGAAAAAGAGTTGTGAAGAAATAGACTTACCACTAATACCTAAAGTACCTACTCATAATTCGAACACCAGGTCCGTTTTTTTTCATTTGCTTGTGTGTGTGTGTGTGTGTGTGTGTGTGTGTGTGTCTTTGTTTGTTTGTTTGTTTGTTTGTTTAAAAAGTTGTGTCGCCGTGACTAACCTCTCATGATTGTCCTGTCCCGGTTTTGTGACGGCGACAGGCCGGCAGCTGTAGGGACTGAGTTTGTTGACGATGGACAGAAACACACCGACAGCTACCGTGGTGATGGCGATCAGCAGCCATAACCTGCCGGAACACATAAAGAAAAAAACAGTGTGAAAAGAGGAAAGAAGGAGAGTGAACGAAAAAGGAGGAAACAAGAAGGTTACTCAAGCTTATTTTAGACGGAAAAGCTTGACACCTTTTTGTCCCATTGTCTCAAGACTGTTGCATGACTTACTAATTCCCAAGCATAGGAAGGTCCTACGGTGGAAAGGCAGTTTCTATTAGACTCCTTTGCTTTGGTGGCTCGGTGCTTCACTGCTTTGCCATCGTAGAATCGGCTTGGAGATCATGACTCCGATCCCCGCTTAGCACAAAATGAAAGTACAGGAACAGATATTTTACCTCTAAGAGATTTCTGACCGGAATATAATTAGGACAAGTGATTCCTCTAGACGTAAACGCAAGCCACGGGAAACGTTATGACAACTGACCTTTTCTCGAGCGGTCCGAAGAAGTTGAAGAGTGAGATCTCCTTCCTGCCCACCTTACTCATGACGAAGGTGAGGCCCACGTCTATATAAGGCGTGGTGAAGTCCACCACCTCCTCACGGTCAGCCCGGATCGTGATGGAGGCCACCACCATGTCCGCTTTCTGAACATAGAGGCGTTATGGTAGCTAATATAGTCATGCCTTCAAGTATCAAAGTTATCAACCAAGGATTGAGGAGTGGAACTTGCTATCACCAAGTACAATAGGGGCATATAATATCATTAGATAATAGCTTTGAACAATATTTAGAGTTAGGTGTTCAAAGGTAAGGTATAACAAGTACTTCGGTGTAATGTAGCCAGCAGCCGCCGCGCCGCGTGTCTGGGAAGGGTGGTTATACCGGCTATACAGATACAGATATGTGCTGTATATTAGCTGCTTTAGTGTGGATGGGAATGCATTGATGGCTCTCACAACAAGGTGATAGAGGTTGATCAACAGCATAATCGAAAACGATTTAGTCCTGTATCTGCATTGATTATCACACTTTGTGGTCACGAGTTTCAACTTTTGCACTGGAGGCTTCCTCGGCACCTTTCTCAGCAGATGTGACAGAGAAGTAAAAAAAAGACGCACAGAAACAAGCCTCCGTTCTACTTCTGCTCGTTAATGACGTCCTGCTCACCTTGTAGGCCACGTCAGCGACCACCCCGTTCCACCTCCCGGTGATCGGGTCCTTGGCTCCCCAATTGTTGTCGGCCACGTGATACAGGTCATACCTGAACCCCATCTCCTGCGACATCCAGTCCAGGAGGTCCACACAGAAACCTGCAACAACAGGGACGGCGGACGGTATAGACTTCCTGGCACTTTTTTACCGATTGCTGACGTCACGTCAGATCTAAAATGAGATGTAGATACTAGCCTAAAAGAATTCGAATTTTTTCCAGAAGCTGGTCTAAGAGTAATCTCCAAGCAGATCATACGGTGGCAAGGCAGTATCCATTGGCCAGAGAAGTGTCCGTTACCCACCGAAGGATGGCCAATGGATACTGTCTGTCTAATGGATACTGCCTGGCCAAGTTGATACTGTCTTGTGCGGCCACCGAAAGATCTGCTTGAAGATTAGTCTAAAAGTGGCTCTGGAAACGAGACTTACCCGAAAACCTCTCGTTCCCATGCAGAATCCTGCCCTGGTCGTCCTGGTCGCGCATGATCATGAAGGGACTCTCCTCGATGGTAACAACCTGTGGTTAGACATAGTAACGCTTTTCCTTAAGATGCCATATAGTAACGTCTTGATATGATGAAAGGAGCTCATAGAGGAATTCCCTAATAGAGCTAATAGAAGTATTTCCGAGAAATTCCAAGATTGCCACGAAAATAGAACAAAATTTAAAGCTGGATATCTGAAGATGGAGGTTCAAAAATAGTCCAGGCCAGCTAATACCTCCAGTAAATCATTTACCTTGTTTGGACAATCTATACCATTAATCTAGCCACTAAATACGTCTGGTGAAGACCTCTGACCTTGAGGGTTCTATTGCGCAGGTCCGTCCTGTAGTCCTCTGGAACAGGGTCCGCCATGCCCATGAAGGTCACGTTCCTACTGGGCATGCTCAGACCGCGCGCCTCGTCCCACCGACCCACCTGTAGGAACAGTGAGACACGGTCAGACACAATTAACTCGTTAAGAGAGTGATAATTTCCTTTTTGCGATGAGTAGTTTACGATAGTGGCCTCATCGTAGCAGAGGTCAAGGGATAGGTGAGGTGAGGTGAGTTTACAAAAGTTGTCACAGTGCCACGACAAGTACTGTTACGACTGAATCTGTTTCTTTTATATTTTGGTAACCTTCCCTTGAATTCAGTAGACATCAGTCTTTCCTAAACATGATACAGTCGCTATAGAAATACTTGACACGTGCCGTACCGTCTGCCAGCCGTGCTTCCTGAGGTTGACGATGTCGAAGAGCGGTTCCCGCGGGATCCTGGCGGCCGTAAAGCGGAGCCGCTGGGAGATGCCGGGCTCGTCTACCTGGGGAGGAAGGATCAGCAAAGTGACTTTTTGTTAGACGTTCTCGAATTTAGGGTTGTGAAGGAACCGTACCACGCCGTTTTGAGCAGTTTAAGTCATAGTCTTTTAGGCTGACTGACTGACTGATTATCCTTCGGGTAGCCATAACTAAGTAACCACCTAGATGTAGAACTTCGTAGATTCGTAGAAGCTCGTAAGTTTTCTACGGAAATTTCCCAAAAGGACTATCTTGTTTTGCCTTACTTCCTTCAGTGCATAAAGTCGCGGCACATCGGACTACTATCATAGCTAAGTATACGTATTCATTAATTGAACACATCCATGTTACTACCTTCTTGAGGTACTCCAGCATGGCGGGTCCGTTGCTCCACTTCCAGGAGACGTTCCCCTCGCAGAAGAGCGGCGTCTCGGGCCGGTAGAACCCGTCCTTGATGATTTGTTGTAAGGCGTAGGCGAACGTCAGGACGGCGTCCGCGTATTTGGCAGCCCTGGCCTGGTATAAAACGACGTTAAGAACATATTCTTTACGTTCAATCAAATGCTATCATGAAAGTTCATCTGTGTTGGTAGTTACTTTAGATCCATCACAAAGAAGCTCTCCTACCTGCAGCTGTCGACCAGTCACTCTTGCCTTCCTCGGTCTTCAAAGAAGTGTGACAAGTCTTACTGGGTCAATCTACTGAGGAAGACCAGAGTGACTGGTCGAAAGCTCTAGGCGAGAGAACGCCTTTGTGTTGGATCTAATGTTTTAACTTTAAACATATCCGTTCAATCAAATGTATGTAATTTGTGTGTTTTGTATGTCTTCTGCCTCGCCGCAAGGTGTGCGTTTTGTTTGCCTTGAACGCATTGAAATGTACAAAACCAGTACAGAAAGGTGTTTAGAAGACACTTGAAAGTTTTTTTAAGCCGAAAAGATGCATATCCCAGCATCTAATTAGCAAGGGTGAACCACTTACTTCAATCTTCATCCTGCCGGCCCCTGGGTACAAGATGGGGTCCGCCCCGCGCCAGACCTGCCGGAATGACGTGTACAGGTCACCGCTGCTGCCCACGGGTCTCGTCCCCAGGACACCCACCAGGTCCTCCGGCACCTCCTCACTCAACTCCGACTAGCGGAAGGGGAAATGCCGCAGTTTTAGGTTCACCGGAAATGACGCGTTGAAGTTACGACTGGCGCGAAAACATAGCCTCTACCAGGCTTCGGGAGGCGGCTGGAAAGAGTGCGGCAAACAGTCCTCTCTAGCAGACCAACTCCCCTGGCGTGCTATCTCTCTATTTGGCCGATTTCTACTCTTTCCAGCCGCTTCCCGAAGCCTGGTAGAGGCTAGCGAAAACATACCTCGATTATCATTGTCGCCAGTCGGATTCATCATTCTCTTTTGGCTACTCCCTGGCCATTGATCAAGCTTTTCTGATTTTCTTAAGATTGAGGAGCCTTAATGAGCTTATTTTTGCTTGCCTTGCTTTTGCCCAATGATTAATCCTCCCAAAATGAAAGTGAACAGAATATGATAGAATAACAAGCTTTTGCAAAATAAGTCTATCATTCCTTGTGCGCAAAGATTCTAGGTATCAAAATCACATGATTAAAAAAAAGACCAGAGAAAAAAGGTCAAGTCTTTGCATTTTGAACAGAACGAAAGCGGTAAGCGGTAAGACGAAAATGAGGAAGAATGACGTAAATTCTGGCCACGTCTTTGTACAATGGACATCACATGGTGTACATGTTGCATGCAGACATACTGTAGTCTCAAAAGAAGGCAGACTCACAAACCACGATACAAGAAGTGCTCACGGTAGTGCATGGTAAATCACGTGGCCATCACATGCCACATGCAGAGGTTGCACGTGATGTGAACCTACCTTTACCTTCGTCTCTCCAATGGACTATGACAAGCGGGGAGACATAATAATGACACAGCTATGAGAAAATCATAGAGCAATAAGCGAACTCCGGTGTCCTCTAGTGACCTCGGAATCAATACCGACCTCTTCACCTTATATTAAAAATGCATTAAGGAGCCTAATGGGCCGAATTAGGCAGAGAGATGACAACTTATTTCTTTACATATTAGATTATCGCTCCTTGACTCACACGCTGATCTGAAAATTCACTCACAAGTCACAACCCTCTGCATATATTATAAACAACGCCTCAAAACGAATAACGTTCAGAGTAAAGTCAACAAATCGACCACACATTGATTTCTGCCCCATGAGCGAAAATGGCTCATCCTAATAACTCCATTAGGAAAGAGTTGACTACACTGGAAGGTAAAGTACCTGCACGACCCATTATGACTTCAGATAAAACGGGAGTGCCCCTAATGGCCACTCATCAAAGATGCATCCAGGCTCAGTTAACATAATGTGCGTTTCCTGGACATGTGTTTGTGCGATTGTTTTCTATTTATCTCAAAACTGAGATCTGAAATTTTCCTGCAGAATCGATCTTGATTACTAATATGAAAAAAAATCAAAGCGTTTATTCATAGAACATATATTCTGCAATTATAATACTACTAATATCAGACAAGCAAGCACTCTATCTGATTGAGCTATTAATAATACTAGTCCTATTTAGAAAATAATCCTGTTTTAGTACATACATGTATCATAACATGCAACGTGCTGTCAAACACTAACCCATAGACTATAGATACGTTTGGATATGGGCTTGTTTGTTTGTTTTTGTTTCTTTTTTTTTTTAAATACCGGAGATTACCATGCCTGAATGGGTCTTTCAACGACGTAGAGTTTTCTGATAAGTTTCAAAGTGCTGCAGTTCACACGACTGCCAGTAGGTGGCGAGACCCGAGGCTTACCATGCTGGCGATCCCGTCCGTGACGATCCAGACCCAGCCCGTTCCCGTCATGCCCATGGTGGAGGCTTTCCTCAGCACCTCCATCCCCAGCAGCCCGCCGCAGTTCAGCAGGATGATCCGGGCGCCTGGGGAGGCAAACGCCGGTACAGAGAGCATAAAAGAGAAATTAACTAGAAAGGTAACATTTACAAAGCAAATGCATAATGTTTACCTTCGCATATGGTCTGCTCTGTTACTTAAAAACATTCATATATATGGTCAGACAGGAGTCTAAATCCCTCCTGCTATAAAATTGCAGCATGATGTAACCCAACACTAGTTACCATGATGACAGATGTTTGGTTCAGGTCATTGACCTTATTGGTTTGGAGAAGAAGAAGAGACAGAGCAATAACAATACGTTTCCTCCGGTATACATGATAATCTCCAACAAGATCATACGGTGGCAAAGCAGTATCCATTGGCCATATATAAGAGTGACCTTCAGTGGCTAATGGACACTCCTATGGCCGATAGATACTGCCTTGCCATCGTATGATCTGTTTGGAGATTAGAAATAGAGGAAGATTCTTTATTGACTCAACAAAATAAGGTCTTAACACAGACAGGTTTAACTTTGGAAAGAGTTTGGGGGCCGGGGATAGGTGAAGGCGCTACAAAAGACCGTACAGAGGCTTCCTATTGGTCATCGAAAACTTGGAAAATCCCGGACCATTGATCTATGTGAACTATAAAGGTTGTTTGTTGTTGAGGGTTTGGGGGTGTTGGATAGAGATATTGTGATATAGATAGAGTCAGGTATTCTCTGGCTGCAGCTGGTTATTCTGTACTTCAAGTTACGTATCAATAGGCTGTCACTGTGTGGATACAAAGTATATTTCAAGATTTCAAAGGCAAACAAAACATCTTCCAATTCCCCTAGCACAATGTCTTCCCAAATCCTTAGCGTATAGAGTTTCTTAATATACATGGATAAAGATTACTGGGACTTATTTTGAGATGAATGCGGGTCATATCATCCCGATTCCCATCCTGCAATTAAGCAGTTAAGATGACTTTATGGGCCCCGGTTGGGCCATCGCAGGATGATCATCAGGGAAGAATGAGCGACCATTGATTAAGTCTTTTCCAAACCACATCAACGTGAACTAAAAATACTTTTATGTCGTGTTGTGGTATATACGGTACCAATGATGATCTAAAATAATCACCGAGTACCACAGAAATCCATAGACAGAGAGTACCACATTGGAACGAGCTTCGCTTTGATCATTTCCTCATTTCCCGCATAGTGATTTTGTGATTGACACATATGGATCTCAACAACCGAGTTTGTTAAGGAAAACTTCACAAATAAACATCATTGTGCCTGGGATGTTTCAGACATGCAAAATCTTGGAATGCTTATAACGTTACATGTATTTCCTGTTAAAATGTAACTGGAAGTCGTCAAGGCCTGCAAAGTGTGCATCCTTCATCTTGTGTATGTGACAAATTACATACTGATACATATTTCCCGTTACAGTACCCAGATGCAGACATCGAACGTGGGATTTCCGGCTTTACCAGGTTATTGGTTTGTGTCCTGTACCACATGCCATGGTGTACGGGGCAGGTGCCAGGTGTGTCTATCTGTGCCGTTAGAATGTGGGTCAGTACCACAATTTCAGTCAAACAGGCATCATTCAAGAAAATATCAATATTAATCTATTTCACAGCGGGGATTACACCTAGATGATGACATAAATCACAGGGTCAGTAGAAGTTCCGATGAGAAATGAAATGTTACCCTTACCGCGGGTTCATTGTACTGCCCAATTATGGACGAAAGCTAATTAGCTAGTCTCTATCGCAAAACAAACAACATTCTGGATGAGGGAATCTGATAATGACAATTTTACTGCCCTTTCTTTTACTGCCATTTCTTAGTACACTCTCATCATCATTTCATACTTGAAAGCACTGGAAATGGCCTCAAAATAGTTACTGTTATTAGGAAGGCCTGGTGGAGGCTAGTTCTTAGTACACGAAATAGAAACTCTGTAACATGTTGTTGCGACGTTTGCCACAACCTGAGCCCGTCTGTCCCGTCTGTCTGTTCGGTAAGCAGATGGTTTAATTAATCGGTGACTGCCTGTGAAGACGGCAGGGTTGTAAACTAACGTGCTGTGCGCGGCAAGTGCAGACTGATAATGAGCTTATATATAGTAAGCACATATCGGAGTTCACCTAAGTACACAGTCGGTCTCATCTGTTGGCTTTTCTAATACATTCATCAAGTCTTGTTTTTAGTTAGCTTGAAAAAATGTTGGCGTTTGTAATGTCCCCACTTCTTTTTCTTATTGCTCACAAGTTTCTGATTGCTCCAGTGTTTTGATACTTACATGCGAATGGCAAGAAAGTGACCAGTCATGAAAACGTATCTACAACTGAATCTAGAAATCAGTGCGTGATTTATCAGATTATAAGATGAAACTTCACCTATAACTTGCTTAAAGTTTAGACTATTAGTAACCTTGTGTTTGTCATGCCTGGCTATAGGAAATACGGCTGTTCATTTTGCCCCCTTTGTCTGTAATTTTTGGTCCTGTGACATTCCTCTTTCATAAATAGCTGACCTTCCATGAGCTACTTGTACTAAACCCGATTCACCTTGCAAAATTGATCAACATGTCTGAGCCGCACAGCTGAAGATACAGTGCAGGGGTTGGAAGCCCTCCGACATGTCCAAATCTACTTAACGGTCTTATCTTCAGGGCGGGAAAAGGCTCTGTAAATCCCCAGCAGAAAGATAGCAATATGTCACACAGATGGTTGACAAGGACTGTACATCCGGCTTCAACGCACGGACACATGTCAGATTTACCGGGTTACTCTAAGTCTAAGGATTCCCTCAGATTTGTCAATTATAAGTCCAGAGGTGTAACATATTATGAGATGGCTCCAGTGGATTTATATTAAGAAGCTCTTTAAGAGAAAAGCAGACATTTTTTCCTCTGAATGGCTGTCAGGCTTGAGAGGCTGTCGGTCACGATTTTTGGCGGGAAGCCACGTTTCTGTCAGGTTATCGTCCGAAAGGGAAACGCGCGCAACTGCAGCAGCGCGGAGGAAATCCCTCTGCTCTATTTTCAAGTTTGACACTAATTGATAAGAAGTGAATCCCCGAAACTATTTGTGGCGTTCGCGGTCTTTATCAGATGGAGATAGCGACTGTTGTGTGAAGTCTGGCCGTAATTGCTTCGTCCTTTGACGCAGACGGGTATATAGACGAGTTCTTCACTGTCAGACTTGTATAACGTTATGTGTGTTACACAACGAAACGGTATCGGTCAGACGCAGACAACGGAGAAACATCAGTTCATGATCAGTTGCCACTTTTTCGGACATGTCAGCCCGTTCATTCAACCTTAATTGGATGTAGCACTACATGTACATCCTGTAGCGAAACAAATCAGCGAAGTGCTTAAAACAGATATAGAACCATTCATCCTCACTCGCACTCACTCACTCACTTACTCACTCTCTCACTCATTCCCTAGCCTGGTTACCAAACCGAGTCTCTTTCGTCCTCTCTAGATTTGGTAACCCAGGCTAGTAGGAAATGGGTAAGTGAGTGAGTGAGTGAGTGAGTGAGTGAGTGAGTGAGTGAGTGAGTGAGTGAGTGAGAGTGAGTGAGAGTGAGTGAGTGAGTGAGAGTGAGTGAGTGAGTGAGTGAGTGAGTGAGAGTGAGTGAGTGAGAGTGAGTGAGTGAGTGAGTGAGTGAGTGAGAGTGAGTGAGAGTGAGTGAGTGAGTGAGTGAGAGTGAGTGAGTGAGTGCGTGAGTGAGTGAGTGAGTGAGTGAGTGAGTGCCCACCTGCGGTTTTGATTGCCTTGAGCTGCCTCAGCACGTCTATCTGTGCGGGGTTCTCCTTGGGTTGGAACTGTTGGACGGTCCGGATGAGCCAGCCGCGCTGACTGGCCAGCGTCTTGAACTCCATCAGTCCGTGCGTACCTGTGTGGGGTTGTGAGAGAGTTCCGTATGGTTGAAACACGTTCTTTATAATGGATGATTACCGCAATACATAGAGATGTCATGCTTGTATGACCCACCTGTCTTACAATTATTGATTGTGGCCCGTTTTTGCACACTAACAAAGTTTTGAGCAAAGACTGGATATGCTTAGGTCACTTTTAAAAACTTTTTCTTCGTTTTGTTGTCTTTTATTATACTTTCCGTTGCTGCAAACTCAAAGGTATTGAGACCTTAGCACGACCAGTCGTTGATCAAAAGTTTGTCAGTCAACAATCAATGGCAGGTAACTGTGAAAAAAAATCCGGATTTCACGCAGGCGCACGGTACGGTCCGTTCTGCCGACGTATCTGGGACCTTACCATAGTCGTCCCGTGAGACCAGGATGCTCATCTGCTGCCAGCCGAACTCGTTGACCAGGTCCACCAGCGCGCGGCTCTGCACGGTGTCCGGCGCGGACATGCGCAGCAGGTACGGGTACTTCTCCGGGTTGTCCAGCATCGGGTCCGTGGCGATGGGCGCGATCTGAGGTATCGCGAGACCCGCCGAGACCAGCTGCGTGGTTTTGACGGAGGAGGAACTTCCCGGTCCGATGAAGGTCGCCACACCCTTCTCAGCTTGATGACACACTGTAAGGAAAATATTCCTAGTAGTTGAAAGACACAGCCATACAAGAAAAAGTCCCAATAGCATAATTTCCAAGCAGATGTTTTGTTGGCTGCAAAAGACAGTATCAAATTGGCCAGACAGTATCCATTGCCCTAATGGACACTCCTCTGGCCAGTACATTGGATGCTGCCATCCCACCGTATGATCTGCTTGGAGTTTAAATAGCATACTTGTTCGTGACAAATTCAAGAACAAGCGTACATACACTTCATTACAATAACTCTGCTCTCATCTCATGTATCCTTTAGTCTACCACAGATGATCTGACAACTAGTTTTCTCCACCCTTTTCGGTTTTTTGTTCCTCTTAAAGTTTGACTTAGTGTCGTGCTTGTCCATTGTCATGTTATGGGCCTATCTTTTCCGTTGCCTACCCTTCTTTCTTCCTACCTGTACTGTTCCTTTTATGATGGTTTTGGGTCTTGATGACCGTAACATGTACGTGGCCATGCCGTTGCCTTTTATTTACTTTGGTTAGGATCGATGTGGTCGTACGGACCTAATAACTCTGCATGTGCGTAAAAATAAAGTTATTCATGTACATGTAACAAACTTATCTGATCTAGAAACAAGGCTTCATTCCTTCTAGAGTGAAACAAAGGACAGGCATCCAGATAACGGGACTTATTGCAATATTCACTTGCGTCACTCAGCTGTTACACAACGACTTTTATCACACCTCTCGCACTTTCGCGTGTGATAAAGGTAGTGGTCATGGGGAGGGTTATTGATGGGGTTGATACCAGGGGAATACCTGTATGTTTTATCTGTGAACCTGGATTTGTAGGGCAAAGTTGGAGAGTAGTGGAGTAATGAAATTATTGCAGGGGAAGGGTGAAGGTTGTTTTAGTAGATGTATGCCTCTGCGTGCGTGTGTGTGTGTGTGTGTGCCGTGTGTGTGTGTGTGTGTGTGTGTGTGTGTTTTGTGTGTCTGTATGTGTGTCTGTATCTACATGTGTGTGTGTGTGTGTGGACTGAGTGGACACGAACACATCTGCATGTATGTGTATATCGTGCGTGTGTGTATGTGTGTGTGTGTGTGTGTGTGATTACGAGCAATACATAAGTTAATGAGAAAAAAAAGACATTTAATCACCCATCCAGCCAAGAAACAAGATGCTGCTGTTGAGTTTGTGTTGATCAATTTCGAAAACAGTGCAAACGAGAGGGGTGGGTACCAACTACCAAAGCACGGTGGTATTCTTCAAAATGTCGGCTCTAAGATGGATCGACGGGTGCGCAGAGTTTAATCCGTTCTCACATTCTGTAAATTACAAAACAACGATGACTGATGCCCCATCGAGCAGCAATCCGTCAGTCCGTGGTAATTCTCCAATTTGGATGTGGAGATGAGGCTGTTCTAGATAACAGCCCAAAGTCCCGATGTGATTGTTAATTGCAGCGCAGATACAGAAGGGGAGATCATAACGTTTTGTGGTTGACTGATTGTCCCTTTCTCTTGCTGCCGCACATTCAACCGATAGGATGAAGTAAAAGATAATCAAATCGGCGGCTGGATACTGCCTTGTCGGTTTCACGGTTACGATTTTGCCACCACAGGATCTGCTTGGCATTAGTAACAGAAAGGGTTGGACCTGTATGTCGAAAGGGGGAAGGTGCAACCGAAAAGAAACTAATTTAGTCTCTGTTATAATCTTTCGACTTCTTCTGAATTTCCAAAAACAAAGCATTAAAGATACTCAAAGATACCTTACAGATCAAGTAAAGATATGTGATCCTAAAAGAGGCTGCTTTTTAAGTGGGGCATTTACGATTACGTTAGTTAACTTACTTGAACACTGTTAAATCAGGATCTAATATGTAAGCCATTAAGCATTGTTAAATGTCTGATTTGTTGCAGTGATTTCCATACTGACCTGTCAGTACGCTGTCCAGGTTAGCCAGCATGACCACAGTCCCCTCCACTATCCTGATCCTGGTGGCCGGTAAGATATCTGTCCTGTTGTTCACAAACTCCACCGCTAGGCGGACAGCCGTCCGGTCCGTGGGGCTCTCTCCGTCATACAGCGCACCTGGGGTAGAAAGAAACCCGTGCTTTATCGTGTATGATACTGTAGTAAAGGTTTAGAATACCAGAAAAATTCTAGTCTACTATAAAAAAAGTTTGTTCTTTTGTATAGCCTGTCATGATAAAGAAAGGTCAAACAGTGTAATGATGAACGAACATATAAGACGATGTTACGATGTGCGATGACAAAAAAAAATTCGGCAAAAAAAATCTTTATTTGCATGTTCATGCCCATGGGGCTAAATGAATACATCGGAGTATGATGTTACATGTATATCATACTGAGTAACATAGCATAGAAGGATAAAAGAATAATGCAAAAGTCTTAGTAACTACTAGAGAATACATCCCATCTAATCAAGGAGGTGGTGATGGAAGATCCTCGATCCAGTGTAGGCCTTGTAGATTTCTTCTCTCTTTTTAAAGCAATTGGAGATGAATTCTCATAGGTTTTCTATTGTATGGTCATTACTGGTGGACATGAGACGACTGAATATCTCTTTCTTTGTTCTACCTTTACACAGTTTGTCTAAGCAGATTGTTCTAAATAGTGTGTCACGTTCGGCAATTTAAAACAAAACTAATCACAGGTCTCCTAAAAGTTTTAGAGGCCACTTAGAGAAATCTAATTGGCAAATATTCCACGAACCTTTTCATTTATTAAAAAACATATTACATGACATGTACTATAATATCGTAGAAAGCATTCACTGTCAGTTGGAATCTTGTTAGTGTCTCTGCACAGGTCGCCAAGGTCAATAGATAGAATCAATTGCCCTTGGGCACATCTCAAGTCTGCAAGTTCAAGATCAGGCACGTAAGATAGTGCCGGCACTCACACGTACTGCGGTAATCTCAGGGGTAGTTGATACTGCTCTTAACTGTGTCAGAGCTTTCATCTTTACTGTGGGAGTGAATTAATGACGGCCACGTGCACGGTCTCATAACGGAACCGTGCGTCATACGTCAAGCCATTACCGGAAGGAGATAGGAACTCCTCGATATTTCTCGAGAGTCGGATTTTGACAATGAAGGATACGTCTGTAGTACGGTAGCAGAAATCTGTAGAGGAAAGGGTCCTACAAATCTTTACGAAGTACACTTCAGAAATCTAGGTCACATTGTTCACAATGTCATTTTGGGGTATGGCTTCTAGAAAATGAAGTTTTAAGCAGGAAGTTAAAATGGAGTGACTCAGCAATTTGTCAGCAATTATCTTTCTCTCTAAACAAACTTCCCCCATTAGAGCCTACGGCGCCGGCGTTATTGAACCGATCGCTATCGGTGTGTTTTATCCCCCAAATTGAACTGAAGTGCCCCGTATATGTGTCAATGTCTAAGCCTCCATTACGGCTCGCTTTCCCCGCATCTTCTCGCCTCTGGGGGGAGTTGCATCAGCGGAACGTACGGCCGTAAAATCTCACGTGGAAGAACATCCGTCAAATTAGGCTATACCGTCTTAATTTTATGGATGACATCCCCTGAAGACACCCACTGCGCGCGGGTGAATAAATAAAATGTCCAGCCAAAAACAAAATCAGCTAAACCACAGAATACAATGCTGGTATTGTACGCGAATTTCAATCGTACATAGCGCCTTTAACGTGTGCTGGCCTTTTGCGGCATTTATGAGTCTGCACTGTACTGATTTCTTGACTTCGGTGAAGCTTTGGCAACCTTGGTGCCATCTGTAGTTACCGCCGGCTCCGTATTGTCGCTGGCTGCCATGGACTTCGGAGGATGGCACCCAGACCAGAGCCTCGGAGGAGGTGATTTTTTGTTAGAACCGTGAGGCGAAAATCAATGCGCGCGCGGATGTCATCCATAAGATTAAGACGGCGTGGCCTTACCGCACCACGTGACGCACCAGCGCTGAAACAGCCGGGGCCGTGAGAGATAGGGGCGAGTGTAATGCAGGGTTTATTGAAGACGGCTGTTTTTACAGGCCGTCTATGGCCCGCCGGTGAACCGCAGGTATCTCAACCGCGATCGCGCGGTCGGTGAACCTGTTGAACTACGGCGGCACTCCTGGCCCGACTTCTAGCAGATCACCCACTGCACTGGTCAGGCTCAGGATCGTGATGAAAGAAAAGTACTCTCCAAGTAGAGGTTTCGGTTTTGGCCTATTTTGGGCGTATTTTCAGGCTTTCTTTTTTGTGTAAAAAAAGAAAGCCCCCCCCCCCCAAAAGCCTAAAAACACACTAAAAATAAACCTAAACCCATGATTGGAGAGAAGAAAGAAGAAGCTTTATGGCCAACACCTCTAAGTCTGGAAAATTAGGGACATCGTAATACTGTGAAAGTATCCATACATATTACAACAATGTGCTATGTCAGAGTTACAAATGTCAGTTTCCATGGTGACGGCGGATGTTGTGTCTGGTTTCCATAGTAACAGAGAAACCCGAGCTCTTGTTGCCATTTCTATTTGTTAAATTTAGTCGAACAGCCACAAACTCTGCGAGCGGGGCCTTCATACACCGTAGCAATAATCCTATTGTAATGTATAACTGTGTCCCTGCATGGGGGTTACGCAAAGGCTGAAGTGCAACTGATTGTTTTCGTGATAGAACGCATTAGAGGGCTAACGAGAAATTCAGCCACCATAATGGGAAGATGAAATGATTTCTCCATTACGTGATATTGTGCGGACCGCTAACGGCAGTTTTGACTTTGCAGAGAGGTAAGGTCGCCAGAAAGCGGGGTCGTGGGATCATCTCATATTCATTAAACCACACAGACATTAGAGTTGTTATTACTTTCATATGCAGACTGGTTCTCCCAGATGACGAGTAAAATTCCTACTTATTCTTCTTTCTGGCAAGGCCGCCCGACTTGCGAAATGCTGTGGTGAGTTTGGACCTGATTGTTTTTGGCCTCTGCACACCTAGCTAGGCTCACTCCTACTCTAAACGATAGGTGTGATGAGCTCTTTAATGTAACCGGGGTGTGGCTATCTTTATGATACGTGACGTTATTTTTGGCGTGTTTTATGAGTTTTTATCGGGCTTTTTTTACTGGAATATTTTTTACGCCTAAAAATCCAATACAAAAAGGACGCCCGATGAAAACGCCTAAACACGCCCAAAATAAGCCAAAACCCTAACCCTCTGCTACATGTAGGAGTACTCAAATTATTCCCCCGTGTGAATGAATGGTTGCAGCGTCCTTGCTTTTATTGCTTTATTACTTCAGTGAAACAGATGATGGTTGGAGAACGATGCGCTTCCGGAAATTGCCTAATAAAAGCGCGCTAACGTTTCTCTTTTCAGTTCAACACTCTAATGAAGTGATGGACGGTTTTAGGGCTACATCGGACAAACATATTGGCATCCTGGCTATCTAGGATACTTGGATGCAAAATTACTTCATTTCACCCCAACTATATTTTATCTATAGATAACTAATGTATCTGCATAGGATCTACAGCGAAAGTAGGGCAAGGGAAACAAGACCAAGCGAAATGGAAAAGAATGAGTGATAGAGCCAAAAACAGGAAGTAGTATGTTCTCGCAACTTTCCAACTTGCAACTTGCTTTCATTCAAAATTTACATGCATGCATTTATCTGAAACCAAGTATGGAAACGAAAAAATATATAACATGACAATATTTTTCGATTACATGAAACATCACAGAATCATGTGTTAGCAGCAGTTAGCTCAGTGATGATGGTAATAAGTTGTCGTCTCTCTAATTTTCATGATTGTCCTCGGCACTAGATGGTAAGTTTTAACGTTGAGAAATTACCTATGAACATCTCGGTCGTCCTCAGTTGCACCTGTGAGTATTGCCCCGAGGAAGGTAGCAGGAATCTCCAAGTCGTAGATTCGGTGGAGCAAGGAGACTTTATGTTGGTCGCCTGTATGCATTGGCCGCCTGTATCCTTCGTCCGCCGGATGCAGGCGGCGAATGGGTACAGTCGGCCAACATAGACTCTTTGCCCCACCGAATCTGCTTGTAGATTAGGCAGCAGGAGGGTTGGCAGGTATTTGGAAGTAGTTTTGTACCAGCTGATTTACCAACCCGATGAAACAAGTCATTAACGACGGTTACTGTTTGAACGAAAAGCATTAGGGGTTATTGAACTTTGCACGTCATCGTAAGAGGGTGTTTATGGGGGTGATTGTCTTCATTAGTGAGCTTCTAAAGTGATCCCCAGGTATGACAGAGTCGTTGCGACGAGAGGTCAGTCACCTCAGTACAGGATAGATCTTCAGCAAATGATAGTTTTTGTGACTATGGCAATAATGGCAGGGACTGTTTTTACAAGGCTCAGAGGTAGTTCTGGTTGTGATTTTGTCTTCCGCGTTTCATTGCAAAATTAACGATTTAATTATAACATCTTCTTAGGCTACGTTACTGTCCGCTGTCATCAAGCCATTAACAACAAGCAAACAAAAACACAACAGGTGTCATATTACCGTATGATACAAACTTTCATTACGATGAGAGAACTTTCCGTGCCAATGTTTTAAATCACCGAAGTTTATCTTAAGTAACAAACTTACATATTTCCATTGCCTTAGCCGCTGAAACAATAGTTAGTAGTTGTCATTGGCGCGCTATGGTACAGACCTTCGCATGATGTAAAGGTCTTATAAGATGTGCTCTTTCGTGCCTTGAGGTAAACCGCAGTGACCACGTTACACACCGTGAGGAATAGTTCCCAACATGGCGTCCATGGATCAACTTTCAAAAGGTCGCACAAACTCGACGTGACCTAGTCCGCCGCCGAATGACACCTCCATCTTCCACGTACAATTTACGGTTATGGTTCTCCACTAGGTAGTGAGCATCACGTGCCTGATCCGTGAGACGTACGGAGTGTTCAGACGGATGGTCTGCCGCTGAGGGTTCCAGGACAGACTAAGCCGGCTATGATTCCCCCTAATCTCCCTGTGGACGCCCGGAGGCCCGTATAAATTTCTCCAGTGAACCCAGATTGTTCGCCGGAAGGCTGAGAAAATCCGCTCATTGCGAGGTGTGAGTGAGACCTGCACGG